AGATCTGTCAAAGCCACAAGTGGCAGTTTCTGAACAGTTGTATCTGAATCTACTTAGTGGGGAGGTTTATGCCGATACAGGCGATTCGTTACCTTGTCTGTGAAGTTTGGAGAACCGCTCCCTAAGGATGATGCTGATAGACTGAGGTCTCACATACACCAGTGACATCGTCAGTCGTGTTAAATGGAACATAAGTTTGGACTTACTCTGAGAATGTAGCGTGCACAAATATATGTCAGGCGTTCCTTGAGGTCGTGGTACATATTGACTGAATCAACAAAACTAACAGAGTTGGGTGTGTGAAACAGTTTGTTTACCTACAAGACCTCCACTATTCCAACTAGTTGTTGCCAATGATATGAGCTATTGTCACACTGCAGTGGATTATACATGCAGAAAAGAAAGAGTCAAAGATGTTTGTTTGTTTCTGCGAATGTTCACGGGTACCATGTGTGGTATGGATGGTGTAAAGGCCTTTGTAATAGACTAAGCAGCAGCCGAAATAAGTGCTATTCAATTCACTCACAGCTAGGCTAATGTAATTTCATGTTTTGAGGATATTCTTTCGAAAGGTAAGGAGTTCTAATTTCACTATGTCAACTACACTTCCCTACTGTCTGAGATTCCAAGTGTAGGTCAACCTCAATCCAGTTAGTCATGCTTCCTTTCTAAATTCCTTAGACTCTGCAGATGATTTAAAACATTTACCAAGGTCTTCAGCCAAAATCATTGTGCAATACTATCAATTAGTCTGTGGATTAAGGCATGAAGCCTTAACTAGTAAGTAAATACTTTGTTTCTACAAGAGGGTAGGGGTGGTGTATACTATGCGATCACAGAGGGACTACATCTACCTTGCAACCATCTCTACATGGATAACGAAGAATTACTACATCCATGTAAGGATGCAATTTCTAAGCATTACTTGACGAGTCGAATGTAGCACATGATGTTGTATGATTCCATTCAGAATCTGTACTTTAGACATGAATCTTACAGCAGTAGAAAATGACAGTAGCTCTATAGTCGACCATAGGCAGACCACTTCAAATAATTAGAGCATCCAGGGAAGCAGTGTTAAGAAGGTGGAGAATGCATCTGAGAAAATCTAAGAAATACGACCAACATAAATCAGATTGAATCAATTTATAGATATTCAAACCAAGTTGGGATTTGATAGTGTGAAAAAATTTGGGCATTGAGTAAATGATATTCAGTAATTTGGCATTTGTATTTCCTAATGAATATAAGATAAAATAAATTTGTTTCAAATGATATTTCGCTATTTAGTGCTAATAGCTTTATCAAAGTTATTATTATTATTATTATTATTATTATTATTATTATTATTATTAGTCCCTTGGGTTCCTAGTGGAACATAGGGCTTCAGTAGCACGTCTCCAGTACACTCTGTTCTCTGAGATCTTTTCAACCTGGCTCCACGACAGCCCACAAGCTCTCATTTCCTCCTCGCACGACCTCCTCCATGTCACCCTCAGCTGGGACGTCCAACTCGTCGCTTCCCATGGGGATTCCACTCGAGCAACTGGCCTGACGCGTGATGTCCTCAGTCGGCCTTCTCAGTGCATGGCCAATCCATCTCCACTTCCTCCTGCATATTTGTTCAGCGATAGCTTCTTGGTTGGTTCGTTCCCAGAGCTCCTTGTTGCTTATTCTTATTATTCTGGCCATCCCATCTTCAGTAGCGAGACAGCGCAAGCAGTTGTTGATGAATGTCTATAGTTTATTGGGAATCCCTCTCGTGACGCGCCAAGTCTCTGAGCCATACAGAAGCACTGATTTGACTGGGTTGGTGTTGAAAATCCGCATCTTGTTCCACATGCTGAGTGGAGTGCAGAAGATCTCCACACTGGTTTTAGGCTAATGAACGCCTGTCTTGCTTTTCCGATTCTGACTGGCTTTGACATCCTCGTCTGTGCCTGTGCCGCCTGTAGTTGAAACAGTGCTTCCTAGATAAGTGAAGGAGGTTACTTCCTTTAAGTTTCTCCCGTTGACGGTGATTGGAGTTTGTTGTTGTTGTTGATGGCGGTGGTGCGGTATCTTCATCACTTCTCGTCTTCTCTATATTCACCTGAAGTCCCGTCTTAGCTGCCTCTTCTATCAACTTGTTAGTTTTTGCCTGTAGATCAAAGTTATGGTAAATGGGAATTTACAATATCCCCCAAACTGATATATAATAACTTGAAATGTGTTTTTCTGCATGAATGATTCTGTATCGTCAGAATTGTAAAATAAAGATGATATTCATATGTAGTATGTTGTGTGTGAATTACAGATTGAGATTTGTATGTATACATTTGTTGATAGCTCTGATTACCTGTGTTGGTTGGTTATGTCAGTATGTTGGAGTGGGTTGAGACCAGGTCAAACTAAGTTTAACTCCCTCATTCCTTCCTATTTGGATAAGTGTAATTTCACTAGATGTGAAGAGATTCTGCTGTGAGACGTTCTTTATAATTTCTAAAGCCTTTCTGAATAATTTCGATATTGTTAAAATCGACGTTGTGACCGGAAATTATAGCATGTAGAACTACGACTGATGTGTTTTCAAGCATTTTCAATCCCACTAGATTTCTAAGGCGTCGGGTGAGAGGTCATTGGTGTTCAGTTTTCCTAATTTTGATTTCACAAGAAGTTTTTCCTTTGTATATTGCATTATGCCTTTGAAGTGAAGACAGGAGTAAGACAAGGCTGCCTGCCGCCTACTATCACCCATCATCCTCCTCATTCCGGTCGAATGGATTATACAGCAAACCGTGAGGAGTGAGAAGATGGGCATACGCTGGACCAATGAAAATACCTAAAAAGAAGATTTGGATTTCGCCAATGATCATTTATGTCTAATGTCTTGTTGCACAAACTCGAAAATCTACAGGCGAAAACTACGCAGTTGACAGAAGAGGCATGGTAGCGAAGACGGGACTTCCTTCAGGTGAACATAGAGAAGACAGAGGTGATGAACAGAGATGACGAACAACAGCATCATCAACAACAACAACATGCACCAATCACCATCAACAGGAGAATCCTAAAGCAAGTGGCCACTTTCACCCACATAGGCAGTATCGTCTCAACTACACGCGGCACAGACACAGATGAGGATGAGGATGTCAAAAACAGCCAGGATGGGAAACACAGTAAGACAGGCCTTTCTTCTTCATTCATCTGAAATCAGTGTGGAGATGTACTGCACTCCACAGCACAACACTGCACTGCACTGCACTGGTGGTGGTTGAGAGAGTTGGCACATCACGAAGAGCATTTCCAACAAACTACTGACATACATCATCAACAGCTCCCACCTACGTTCACTTGATACTGAAGATGGAGATCAGATGGATGACCAGAATAATAAGAATGAGGAACAAGGAACTCTGGCTGGTTGGCTTGTTGTCAACGAACCAACCGACTAAGAGCGTATTGCCCAACAAATATGCAGAAGGAAGTGGAGATTGATTGTATTGAGCATACACTGAGAAGACCGATTGGTGACATCATGTGGCAGGCCATGCCATGCCAGGTGTGGCCCTCGAGTGGAAGTTAAAGTGGAAACGGCGAGTTGGGCGTCTGAGGCGAGGGTGAGATGGAGGAGATGATGTGAGGAAGAAATGGAAGTTTATAGGGAGCCGTGTAGCGAGGTTGAAAAGACTGCAGGGAACTGGAGAGTGGAATGGAGACGTGCTACTGAGTCCCTATGTTCTACTGGGAGCCGAAGGGACAAATAAATAATATTGAATTACAGTCTCAGCATTTTATTTTATAAACACAGTCAGTTTATGGATCTCATCCTTCAAATGAACTAAGGTGCTCTGTAATGTGTTTGATGTTCTGTAGAATGCTCTGATATTGTATTCGTTGAAGACTCCACTTCTTGTGCAGTTTTTTAGTATATATAATTGTTTTAATATGATAACCTGTTAATACTGGAGGACCCATTGCACAAGAAGTGGCTCGGTGGTATAGTGGCGTTTGAAGCGATCTCTCCTGAGTCTAAATCCCGGTGGGAACAACATCACTCACTGGGGTGCAGGTACATCCAGGTGACGAGTCCCGAATAAGATGAAATGTGCATCCTGGATTCCACTTCTAGCTACCGTCCATCATTAATATCATAAGAGTACAGGTAATATCGAGGCCTCCACACAAGATCCCATATACCAATAGAGACTCATCAATTCGGTCCAATCAATGACGATATGATATAAAAACAATCATATACTAAAAACTATACCTTTCGCACAAGAAGTGGCTCGGTAGTGTAGTGGATAACGCTCTGCCGTTTGATTCGATTGCTCCTGAGTTCGAATCCCGGTGGGAACAACATCACTCACTGGGAAACAGTTACATCCAACTGACGAAAAGTGCCTCCTAGATTCCTCCCACTGGTAGCCACTGTCCATCATTATTTACTCGCTTACACTTGGTTAATTATTCAAAAGAAAATTCAGTATATAAAAATTCAATTTTACATTAAATATAAACTCTTTCTGTACAATAAATAATACTAAGAAAGATATTTATAGATTTATCTAAACTCAGAATTTAACAGTAATCAGTTAAAAATATTCTCTGTAGAAAAGAGAGAAAAACACAACCCTATTTGAATAGAGAATGCAGATTAAAAAGAAAAATGAAATAGACAACAGAAAAGTAGTGTACAGAATACGACAGAAAAGAGAACGGATAAAGTAAGTGGTTGACAATTAGTAGATCTGATAAGATACAGACGGAGAGAAACGAAGAAACTAGAAAAATTCCTATTTACAATTAGTATACCAGTGTACACGCAGATTGTAAGTGTTTAAAACAAGGAAGATATCATAATATAACTCTGTATGTTGTAGCTTGATAATAATAATGATAATAATACTACTACTACTACTGACAATAATAATAATAATAATCTTTTCCTCTAAGATACATACATATATTCTCTGCATAGGAATGACTGAGGATAGAACACGAATGATATTTATCATTTATTCATTGACATCTTCTTTAGATCGATATGGTGGTGGATATTGACTAGGTGTTAAACCAAATAGAAAATTATCATCTTGATATAATGGTGGTCGTTGTCCAGATGATCGAGTTGAAGGATAGGTGGAGTATTGATGTTGTTGTTGCTTGATCTGGTGTCGTTGACGTTTTAATGCTCTCTCTCGATAACCAAACACTGAAAAGATAGAAAAAAAATTAGAAAGCACATGAATATATATATCAATTGTAAATCAACTTGATGCATGTTTATATACACTAGGCTATAAGGCTGAACTTGTGTCAGGGCTTTATGATATTACCCAGACCAAGTGAAGTGAGGTTCAAATCTAAGACCTATTGCTTCAAAATTGAGTTCCTTAGCCAATAAACTATGTCTCCAAAATAATAATCACTTTATTAAAAGCAATATTTTGGTACAATTTGGAATTCTCAGCATGATATATATATATATAATTATTTGTCCCTCGGGTTCCTCGTGGAACATAGGGACTCAGTAGCACGACTCCATCCTACTCTGTTCTCTTCAATCTTTTCAACCTGCCTCCACGACTGCTCAGAAGCTGTCATTTCTTCCTCACACCATCTCCTCTATCTCAGACGCCCAACTCGCCGTTTCCACTTCAACTTCCACTCGAGGGCCAGACCTCGCCTGGCCTGGCCTGCCACGTGATATCCCCAATCGGTCTTCTCAGTGTATGCCCAATACAATCAATCTCCACTTCCTTCTGCATATTTGTTGGGCAATACACTCTTAGTCGGTTGGTTCGTTGACAGCCAGCCAGAGTTCCTTGTTCCTTATTCTTTCCGTCCATCCATCTGATCTTCAGTAACGAGCCAGCATAGGCAGTTGTTGACGAATATCTGTAGTTTGTTGGAAATGCCTTTCGTAACGCGCCAAGTCTCAGAACCATCACATAGAAGCACTGACTTGAAATTAGTGTTGAAAATCTTGATGTTGCACGCTTTATGCTGAGTGCAGTAGATCTCCACGAAACAATTTAAACATCGAAAATAAGATACGTTGCCTAGGTATACTATTCATTTGAATCTATGGTTCTATATAATTACTCAAATGGGTTACACACAACGAAAATATTCTCTCTGCTTCTTTGATTAACGATCATCATCATCAATATCAACATAGGACCAGGCATTACTGCGTAACGGTCCGAGTTGCCACACCTCATATCAGCACATCAAGTAAAAAGGTAGTGAGGTGAAGGATGAAGATAAGTGAATGCAGTCAAAAGAAATATAAAGTATGAGAAGAAAGGAAAGAGGAGTGACAAAATAGTGAGATTCGGTATAGCATTGTTAAGATGAGGATAATGTGTGTGTATACATCTGCTCCACTGACTTCGGTTCTCAGCCATATCACCTAGGGTCTGCAACCACTGGTTCCTCTTGTCCCGTGGACCCCAACCACCTAGTCTGCATCGTCGTACATGGCTTAAACCAACAGTCAGAGACTTCATACATTGGTGCCATGTTTTAGTCTGGCCACCTCGGGCCTTTTTCCAGCCTGGACCCACCTCAGCCAACATTGTGTGACGAGGCAATCGGTGACTGGGCATACGTAGTACGTGTCCCAACCATCTCAGTTGATGAAGGTTCACAACCTCGTCAACTGACTTACCTCTTCTCCTCAAAGCTCTACACCTGACTTCTGCATTACTCATGTGGTGACACCACAGAATACGTCCTATACTTACTAGGAAGGCAACGGTGGTCAAACACCTGAAGCCTTTTTATATCTTCCACTTTCAATGGCCATGTTTCACAGCCATACAATAGAACAGAGCGGACTACTGTGCAGTACACGCGACCCTTAATAGACAAACGAATATCACGGCGGCGCCATAAGTGGCGCAAGTTGGAAAAAGCCAATCGAGCCTTCTGTATCCGTGCAGAAATCTCATCGCCAACTAACCCACCGGGGCTGATCCTACTTCCCAGGTAAGTGAAGTGGTCAACACACTCAACCACTTCACTCTCTATTGTTAGCCGCGGTGGGGCACCGCTGAAGACCAGTTCTGGAGCAAAAGTTCGCATTTGGGTGGTGAAAACCGCATCCCAAACATTCTCAAATTCCCACTCAAAGTGTTCAGAAGACTGCATCTTGTCAGCGTCTTCACTTAACAGGACTTATGTAATAGAAATAGTACAAAACTTATTTTGGTGATTGATATAAGAGTAAAACTTGGGCACTGTGGTCGATTGTAATTCCAATGAAGAGACGGTATCATTTACTGGATAACAACGTTTCGCACACAATTTTTTGTCCATATTCATATCGGATAATTAACTCCACAACTCTGACACAGAGTCCATATAGTCCTAATTTTCTCTCCTTCTCTGTGATGACAAAGGTAGTAGAATCTTCCATATATCTGGGACACGTGTAGAATCATTTCTATTACTGTATGTATTTGGTGTTGATTCGATCAACAAAGATTCAGTCGGTTATCGATGTCTCCCTCCGTGCATCCAACTAAGTTAGTGTTGAACACTGTCACCCTATCCTACCCACCCTACTGTGGGATTGTGTATCATCGCATGCAGAATTATAACCGAGCTTTTCTCTAAATTTCTTATCTTATTACGATCTACTAATCTTGATTTAGCCAACTTTTTCTTCACTGTTATCCTAATCGACCCTTGTTGACTACTTTGTTCCATGTATTTGATCTCACAATCATTGCAACGGATTTGGTAAGTCACATTATTTTGCTCAATTCTATCGATAGGATCTTTTAATCTACAGGGCTTTCTAAGCGAGTTTGTCGGTTTAAATGCCACTTTAATTTCAGCCAACCTTATTGAGAATTTTTCGTAATGCTTGTGAGGTGCCTTCCTTCTATAAACAGACTAAAGCCTCTGCTGTCTTACCATACAAGTAAGGCGCCTCACAAGCATTACGAGTGATTCTCAATAAGGCTGGCTGGTTGGGATTAAAGTGGCTGGCATTTAAACCAACAAACTCGCTTAGAAACAAGCCCTGTAGATTGAAAGATCCTATCGATAGAATTGAGCAAAATAATCTGATTTACCAAATCCCTTGTAATGATTGCAAGGTCAATTACATAGATCAGAGTAGTCGACCATGGCCGATTAGAATAACAAAGCACAAAAACGTAGCTAAATCAACATTAGTAGATCCTAATAAGATCAGAAATTTAGAGAATAACTCGCTTATAATTCTGCATGCGATGACACACAGTCCCACAGTAGAGTGGGTAGGATAGGGTGACAGTGTTCAATACTAACTTAGTTGGATGCACGGAGGGAGACATCGATAACCGACTGAATCTTTGTTGATCGAATCAACACCAAATACATACAGTAATAGAAATGATTCTACAAGTGTCCCAGATATATGGGAGATTCTACTACCTTTGTCATCACAGAGAAGGAGAGAAAATTAGGACTATATGGACTCTGTGTCAGAGTTGTGGAGTTAATTATCCGATATGAATATGGACAAAAAATTGTGTGCGAAACGTTGTTATCCAGTAAATGATATCATACCTTTACTGTGTGGTATTTCTAAAAGAATAGACTAAAATGAAGTTGTTTCGATGATGTTTGAAATTCTATAAGTACTGAAAACAAAGCGTATGAGTTAATAGAACGAAAATAAAGGGGTCATTAACAGTTTCGTCATCAGTCTAGTTAGTATGACTGATGATAGTAATTTATACATAAAACATCATCTAGTAAATAATTATTGTACCATTCATTGTATGGTATATCATATCAAAAATTCCAATATGAAATTATATTATACTACAGTATCTAGATTTTGAAGATCAATTTAAGCTGATAAATAACAAAGGAATATCATAGGATATAGAATACCTTCACCTTCACCTTATACATATACAACCTTTTGAGGAAGTGAAGTGAGAATATTTTATGGATAGTAATAAGTTTTTTCACTTCTCAAGCGAATATAGACACTTTACAAACTCAACCGAACACACTATACAGTAATAATTTATGCTTTAATCTGTGTAATTATCATTAGTACAAGTGAAAAACTTGGGCACTGTGGTAGAATGTAATTCCATATTAGATTTGTTTATTTGATATAAAAGCGCACAGTGATACAGTATTATTTACTTGATTACGTTTCGAGCATAAATTATTACTGCTCATAATCATCACATCAATGTAATCACACTTCTTTCGACATCTGATTTTACAGTCCTGTCACCTGATCTCTCTTTGTTTTTTGATGGGTAGTAAAGTCTTGATGGCTGCTTTGAAGATCTCCTTTGTAGTTTCATCCTTCAGTTTCCGAGTGTTGTACTTGAATTGAGGTCTATCACCAGCTTCCTTGAAGGCTTTTAACTTGATTTGGAAGGTTCCTTGCACTAGATAGTGGTCTGAACCTACATCTGCTCCTCTTCTTGACAAGGTGTTAAGTAGACTGCGTCTCCATTTTCTTGAGATTGAGATAAAGTCGATTTGATTTTTAGTGTGTCCATCTGGTGAAGTCCATGTCGCTTTGTGGATATCCTTGTGCCTGAACACACTGCCTCCAATCACCAAATCGTTGAATGCACAGAATTCTGCAAACAATTCTCCATTCTCATTCATTTCACCTAGCGCCTCTCGACCCATGGTTAGTTCTCTTCCCGTGTTGTCCCCTCCCAGTTTGGCATTCATGTCGCCCATCAGAATTTTGATATCGCCAACTGACGTCTTGTCCAGTGTTGATTGAAGTTGTCTGTAGAATTCCTCCTTTTTCTCCTGCTCTGCATTATTTGTAGGTGCATAACATTGTATGATTGTGACCTTTCTTCCTTTTGAGTTGAATCTTGCTGTCATGATCCTGGAGGAGATTGGTTCCCACTGCATGAGAGCCTTCGATGCTCTTGAGGACATCATGATAGCCACTCCCTCAGTGTGCTCGTGGTTGGCGTCTGGGTGACCGGAGTAGATTACTGATTCTCCAGTTGACAGTTTGGAGAGTCCACTCCCATTCCATCTGCTTTCGCAAATCCCAAGCACTTCGATGTGATACCTTCTCATCTCCTTTGCAATCTGGGCTGCCTTACTGGGTTCAAACATGGTGCGGACATTCCATGTCCCCACGTTTACTTTCGCTTTCATCGAGAGAAGACACATCGGCCAATTGGCTTCCCGAAGGCTTTCACCAACTGGCGTCATTTCGCCTCTCCGATTCCAGCGGGGAATAAGTTTGTTTTCATTTTTTATATTTCGTTCGTGCTTTGAAGTTTCTTTAGCGGTTAGATTTGTTTTACGGGGTAGGGTTGCTAGCCCTATGCCCAACCTTCCCTCTTTACCCGGGCTTAGGACCGGCTAGTAACTAGTAAACTAGTTAACCAGGCGAGGTTGTTCCTCTATATACTACTGTGAAATGTGTGGCAACTTGAACCAATGTACTCCTGTACGAGGTTCTACGTTGATTTTGTCAATCAATCAGTCAGTCAGTCAGTCAAGGATGCGTAGAGAGATTTTCTGAAACAATAACCATACACAAATCGAGACCACCTTTGTGTTCACAGAAACAGATTGTTCTTACACTATGCTTATCCTGGTAAACTTTGTTTTCTAATCCAGATATCTAAATGCTTAAGATAGTATCTTCACTGAATATTAGTACAAGTTGATGCCTTTTAAACAATTAGAGAAAACAATTACAATTCAGCTGTATAATATATGAATATTATAAGTAGAATAAAAATAGCTGAACAGTTCTAGATGTTTACAAAAGGAGGAGAAATAAACGTAAGGCAAAAAAAAAACTTGAAACTAGACTTCAGGCAACATCATCTTTCATATGACTTCGAGCATATTCATGACCAACTACCATAATTTAAACATTGCAGAACAAAATGAGCTCATCTTACTTCATGGCCTTTCATTAGCTGCAAACAGTCTACAATTGAAATGAGTTATTAGTAATAATGCAGTAGGCATTGCTGATAAGAATGGATATAAGTAGTATATGTTGAGAGGGTGACAGAAATCATATAGAATTATCAGCAATGGGTAAGGATTCCGTCAAGAGAAACGCAGGAGAAGCAAAAGGGGAAATGAAGCAAAATTTGCAAATGATGGATTTAGTGCAAGGCGTACTACATTTAACGACCACTGCCCTCCTTGTTGACAATAAACATTCCTTCCTGCGTACCTGTCTTTTGCTTCTTTCAATAACACATAACATAACATACTTTAAACATCTTCAGACAAGCTCGTCCAAATATTAACTATGCATTGGAATCTGAAAATGAGGAGAGATTCAATTTTTTGAATCTAAGTATAAGATGGAGCTGTAATGATACAGTTGAGAAAAATATCCACAGAAAAGCTAAGTGGATTGATCAGTATCTTCACCACAATAGTTTATGTTCTGTCACCTATACACGTGGTTTAGTTAGGACGCTATTTACTAGGATAAAAGGGGTCTGCTCAAAATGTAAACAACAAGAAGAATTCGAGATAATTGAGAAGGCTCTTATAGAGAGTGGATACCTGGAGAAATTCATCAGGAACCATGGAAAAGAACTTATTGAGAGACCAAAATATTCAACCATTGAGAAGCCTCTTTTCCTTCACCTAGCACTCAAAGGTGATGAGACATCTGAGAGAATAGACAGAAGAATAATAGCTGCACTGAGAAGAAGCCTTCCTGCTGCCAGACTGATCTCAGTTTACAATACATTATGCTCAATAACAACAGTTGAAAGTAGACAACTACCTAGTGTACGTCACCTCCAACTGTATACATCAATTCACTTATGCTTTGAGAAAAAAGTATACGGGATGGACTGAAAGAAGGGTATCTACTCGATTTTATGATCATATACTGTGTCTGAATGGTAGAAACGTCTTTAAAAGCGCAATCACCAGGTATCTGATAGAAACAGGACATCAAATAAATGTTTCTCAATCTTCCAGGATAGTAAACAAACAAAGGGATGCCATGTTTATTATGGTTTGCAAAAGCTCTCACTATCAAACATTTTCAACCTGACCTTTGCACTCAGAAGGAGATTGTAATTAACCGTGGTAAGTGTATAAAACGTTTTGCATATGAATGTATATAGTCTTCCTTTTTCTTTCAATTGCATCATCTCTTCATTAATTACTTACTGAATAGTAATCATTTAACGATTTCCAAGTTTTCCATGTAATTACGTAACCTACTGGCTCTTAAACAGTCCCTTCTTTTACATAGCTTTTCGTTTGTTGTCCCCCTCCACTTCACAATTCCAGAATTTTCTATCTCATCAGATATAAATAGCCACAGATTTTCCATATTAGATTTGTTTATTTGATATATAGGGCACAGTGATACAGTATTATTTACTTGATTACGTTTCAAGCATAAATTATTACTGCTCATAATCATATCAATGTAATCACACTTCCTTCGATATCTGATTTTATAGTCCTGTCACCTGATCTCTCTTTGTTTTTTTGTTTTTTGATTGGTAGTAAAGTTTTCCATATCTCTGGTATAGGTGTTGCGTCATTCCTATTCCACATGTGTTGGGTGTGGATTCGATGAACAAAGATTCAGTAATTAATCTCTCTCTCCATCTAGCTATATTAGACTTAAGTACAGTGGTTTTGTCCCACCCATCCTATTGTGTGGTTGTGTGTTAATGAATGTAATGCAATGGCTGAGTGTTTTTCTAGGTTATTGATCTTATTGGGGTCTGTCGTTCTATGTTTAGCTAAATTCCTATGTTCTGTTAATCTAACTGACCCCGACCGGCTAGTTTGACCTATGTATTTGACTTCACAGTCATTACATGGAATTTGGTAGATTATATTATTTTGCCTAATTGGTTCTATCGGATCTTTTAGCCGACACAGCTTACCTCTAAGTGAGTTTGTTGGTTTAAATGCCACCCTAATTCCAACCTTGTTGAGAATCCTACGTATGGTTTCTGATGTTCCTTCCTTGTATGTATCACCCTAACCCTAATCTCAGCCATTGCATTACATTCATTAACACACAACCACACAATAGGATGGATGGGACAAAACCACTGCACTTAAGTCTAATATAGCTAGATGGAGAGAGAGATTAATTACTGAATCTTTGTTCATCGAATCCACACCCAACACATGTAATAGGAATGACGCGACACCTATACCAGAGATATGGAAAACTTTACTACCAATCAAAAAACAAAGAGAGATCAGGTGACAGGACTATAAAATCAGATATCGAAAGAAGTGTGATTACATTGATATGATTATGAGCAGTAATAATTTATGCTCGAAACGTAATCAATTAAATAATACTGTATCACTGTGCGCTTTATATCAAATAAACAAATCTAATAATTATCATTAGTGCCTGTAAGGGATCCAATATGATTTAAGGTCACTGTTCCAACATTAATCATTGGTCAATATTAGAAGTCATAGATAGGATTATTATCATTGGAATGTTCAATATGTGAAGGTTACTAGTTATTGTGTCAGAACCTATAAATTAATGATATAAACCAATAATATTGATATATTTTGTATAAAAAATTCCCTAATTTTAAGCAGAATGTTATGAGAACAAAATCTATAGTGTATATCACTTAAAATATTATAAAATTTTTATTAAATCAAGATTTTTTTTTTTTACTTGATATTCTAGTATTCAGTGAATTTTGAGAGTTTTGCATACCTTTAATCATTCTATTATTTGGATTGATTGCTGGCCATAATGCAGGTATTTTTGGCCTACTTGAATCTCCATTATTATTATTATTATAACGATCTCCTTCATTATTATCATTATCTTCATCATCAAAATTTGCTACACTTTCTTGTCGTATTAATAATCTTTGATTAGATAGTAAATTTTCATAAAATGTATGATAATTTCGATGAAAACGTTTTTGATACTGATTTTATTATTCATTATTATTATATTAGGTGTATCGTTATTACTATAAGTAGTATTAGATTGTTGTTGATTATTTGTTCCAGGAGAAGAAATACATGCTGCATCTTGAAGATATGCATTATTAACATTTGTAACAGTAACAGTAGTAGAAGTAGTAGTATCAGGTGGTACACCTCGAATTATTTGACTACTTAAACTAAAAAGTCGAACTAAATGTGAAATAATATGAATTGGTGTCTCAGTTATTGTAGCCAATTCTGTACTATGTTTTGAAGGATTAGATATTCCATTCATTGTTGTATAATGTTCAAATTCAGTACTATCATCTATATCAACACCACTACCAGCATGAACAAGATCATGAATATATACTCCATGTTCAGTAGATCTATTGATATTTATTTCAGAAGTATAAGATGAAATATGATTCATTGTAGGTAAGATAGAAAATCGATTTCTCATCATATATGAATATGGTACACGTAGTAAATAAGACTGTAAAGGTAAATGTTTACCACGTCCAAAACGTTTTGCAAGCAGATTAGCAACAGTATCCATACTGGGATGAAATGTATTTTTTATTGTAATCATAAGCAGTCTGTAATAATTCCAATAATAATAATAATAAGGGAAAAATGTAAGTTAATATAAGTGTAAAACTTGAGCACTTTCGTAGAAACTAATTCCATATTAGATTTGTTTATTTGATTTATAACACACAGTGAGTGATCTAGTATTACCTATTTACTTGATGACAACATTTCGAGCATAAATTACTCATTGCTCATTATCATATCAATGTGTAATCACACACAGAACACAGAACTCTATAGTTATGTCACTTTATATGGGTTGTTTTTATTGATAGTAAAATTTTCCATATCTCTGGTACAGATGCATGTTATGTCATTTCTATTACATGTGTTCACTGAGTTTTGATTCGATGAACAAAGATTCACTAATCAATCTCTCTCAATCTCCACATAATTATATTCGATTGAAACATAGTGGGTTCATCCCACTGACCCTATTCTGTGCTTGTGTGTTAATGCATGCATAGCAATAGCCCAGTTTTTTTTTCTAGATTATTGATCTTATTCACCTCTGTCATTCTATATTTAGCTAAACTCCTATGTTCAACTATTCTAACTGACCCCGACCGACTAGTTTCACCTATATACTTGACCTCACAGTCATTACATGAAATTGGATCGATTATATTATTTTGCTTAATTGGTTCTATCGGATCCTTAAGCCAACAGAAAAAGTTTATCTCTCAGTGAGGTTGTAGGTTTAAATAGCACTCTCAATTCCAGCTCTGTTGAGGGTTCCACGTAAAGTTTCTGAGGTACCCTCTTTATAGGGTAATGCAATGGAGGCTGTGAGCTCCTTTTTTCTCATGTTGTCGTTATAAGTCGAACTCGTATGACTGTTATTATTTCGGTTCTTATGCGTCCGTAAGAATTTCTTAATAAACTGTGGAAGATAATTATTAACTATCAGCACTTCTTTCACGTGTTTCAATTCATTGTTTAGATTCTTACTCTCACTAGTCAGTTTGCTACCTCTATCATTTAGATCTTTGACTAATCCTGCTTTAACTGACTGACATCGGATGGGATGATATGAAATCTAGATACCTGTTGGAATGTGTTAGTTTTCTGTAGACAGTAGTATCTAAGCCACCGTCTGTTCTTCGTTTCATTCTACAATCCAACATACATAATTCTCCTTGTTCATTTCCTACCTCCCCGTAAGTGAATCGGATTGCGCCAACTGTTGAGTTTATACACATGAGGAAATTGTCGATACGTTCCGATTTCAATACAGTAGTGAATGTGTCATCCACATATTGCCACCATATCTTAGATGCTGGACTGATTCTTTGTAAAGTCATGTTATCCCAACTATCCATAAATATATCTGCTACGATTGGGGATATTGGCGATCCCATTGCTACTCCTTCTCTTTGTCTGTATATTTTGTCCTGAAACTTGAAGACTGTGGAGGTCAGGAATAACTGTATGACTAATATAATCTCATCAACCGATATCTTAGTTCTGTAAGTTCTGAGTCAATATTTAGTTGATTTCTGACTGCCTCAAGTGCCATGTTGATTGGTATTTTAGTATACAGACTAGTTACATCGAAGCTAACCATTTTTTTCATCCTCTTCTATGTGTAGGTCATTAAGCCTAAGTTTTAACTCGTAAGAGTTTACTAATGTCGCACAAACGCGAAGATCTACAGGCGAAAACTAACAATTTGACAGAAGAGGCAGGGCAGCGGAGACGGGACTTCATTCAGGTGAACGTAGACAAGACAGAGGTGATGGAGATACCCAACCAACAACAACAACAAAAAGCACCAATCACCATCAACCGGAGAAATCTAAATAAAGTTGTTTCTTTCACCTACCTAACTACCCATCTAGGCAGCATCGTTTCAACTACAGGTGGCACAGACACAGATGAGGATGTTAAAGACAGTCAGGATCGGAGAGACAACAGCACAGGCCTTCTTTCATGAATCTGAAATCACTGTGGAGATCTACTGCACTGCACTTCACTACACTCAGCATAAAGCGTGAACAATATCCAGATTTTCAATACTAATGTCACTTAAGACAGTACTTCCATGTGGTCGAGAGACTTGGGACGTCACGAAGAGCGTTTCCAACAAACTACAGACATACATCATCAACATCTGTCGCTTACGCTCACTCGATACTGAAGATCAGATGGATGGCCAGGAAGAATAAGCACCAAGGAACTCTGGCTAGCAACGAACTAACCAACAACCTATCGCCCAACAAATATGCAGAAGAAGCGGAGATGGATTAGATTGGGCCTACACTGAGTAGGTCGATTGGGGACATCATGCGCCAGGCCAGGTCATCCAGTGGAACATACAAGGGAAAAGATGAGTTGGGCGTCGGAGGTGAGGGTAAGATGGAGGAGATGGTGTAAAGAAGAAATTAAAGCTTCTGGAGAGTCGTGGAAGCAGGTGAGAAAGATTTCAGAGAATAGAAGAGTGCAATGGCGACGTGCTACTGAAGCCTTATGTTCCACTAGGAACCCAAGGGAAAAAAATCATAATAAAGCTGGATGTATATCCAGTCCAGTGAGTGATGTTATTCTTATTGACATTTGAACCAAGCATTCATCGTTCTAAACGCCAAAACAGTTATCCAGTAGGCCACTGAGGCATGGTGAACATCTTTTGTACAGTGGGTATTAGTTAGTACTATGTACTGATACTGGTATTTTCCCATGGTTATTCTGGATTGAATTGACCAGTTCGTCAAGTCAAATTACCTAAGAGTTCCAGTTATTAGTTGTAATCACTGTTGTTGAATGAACAGAAAGAAGAGTTTGTGACCGTATGTCTAGGTATATTTCAAGGAATTTGCTACTGACTGGTGGAAAAGTCTTCAACACCACTATTACTCCATCACCTTATTGTTTTGTTATTTGAATTTGAACTTAGGCCGGATTCGAACCAGCGATCATCGGGTTACCGACCGAATGCTCTACCAACTGAGCTACAAGGTTCCTAACAAATTTTTTATTTCACTTCAATCACCAAGGGTTTTGCCCGATTATCATGCGTATCTGTCAAACTATGACCATTTCAGATAGACAAACGATAATAAATCTTATGGCGTTTCACACATTTTGTGTAAGCTTTCTTGAATACACTTGTCTCCCCCCCTCCCCTACTTATCTAACTTCTACTCTAGAATATTCGTCCAATCCTTCTATATTTTGGAAAACTTTCCTCTGCATATTTACTTACTCAGTGAGTGTTTTCAATCACTTCATATCGATGATACCTTTAGTTGAAGCCGACAATTTTCTATCAAGCTAATTCGAGTATACAAAACATTTTATATAAATTGAAGTAAAAATTGTTTTAGGTTGTGAACAGTTGATGAAGAACTATGAAACAAAATGAATGCATGCTGTTCTGTTAAAGCTGTTGTTCTTGGTTTATTTATTTAACTTGGTGAAGAGTAAAAATTGTACAAAAAAAGAAGATGAATTGATATTACTCTAAGTAAGTGAAGTGACTTGACGAATTGGTAGTTCTATTCAATTTAGTCACCTCATTGGATGTAAACTGATGAACCCTTATCATCTATATCAATTTATGTTAGTAGCTTTAACATAACATATAACTAAATCACCTCCTTCATCTATCTAAGCAGCACTGTTTCAAACTACAGACGGCACAGACGAGGATGTCAAAGTCAGAATCGGAAAAGCAAGATAGGCTTTCATTAGCCTGAAACCAGTATGGAGATCTACTGCACTCAGCATAAAGCGTGAACAACATCTGGATTTTCAACACCAATCCAGTCAAATCAGTGCTTCTATGTGATGGTTCAGAGACTTGGCGCGTTACGAAAGGCATTTCCAACAAACTACAGACATTCATCAACAACTGCCTACGCTGGCTCGTTACTGAAGATCAGATGGCCAGAAAGAATAAGCAACAAGGAACTCTGGGAACGAACCAACCAAGAACCTATCGGTCAACAAATATGCACTGGAAGGAAGTGGAGATGGATTGGGCATACACTGAGAAGGCCGATTGGGGACATTACGCCCTAGGCCAGGCCGTCGAGTGGAACCCCGATGGGAAGCGACGAGTTGGGCATCCGAGGGTGACATGAAGGAGATCGTGCGAGGAGGAAATGAGAGCTTGTGGGCTGTCGTTGATTCAGGGTCAAGAGATTTCAGAGAACAGAGCGCATTGGAGACATGCTACTGAAGCCCTATGTTCCATTAGGAACCCAAGGGACAAATAAAAGAAAATAAATAAATAATAACTCACCTGGGTAATAATGCCAAAAGTATAGTTATAATTGTTAACAACCAAAAATTTGCATTACTCATAGCATGAAAAATAATTCGATAAGGACATTCTGGTGGGACAGCAGTAACAGCTAATGCATGATATATCATTGTAAATCCAAGATATGCTAGTACATAACTGGTCAAAAAGCTGATTACATGCATCAAACCTATTTTTGATAGAAAAAAAGCAAAACAAATAAAGAGGAAAAAAGATGCGTTCATAAAATTATTTTGAATTTTTATTGGATAGCTTTTAAGGTTTTATATGAAAATAGTCAGGTTAGACGAAGACTTGACTATTAGATGATGAAATCTCTGACTATTGACCTGAACCATGTGGGGGAGATAAGAGCTAGCTGGTTGAGGTCCTCAAGACGAAAGGAGTCAGTAGTTGAGGATTCTTGGTTATATGACTAAAAATCGGTCACTTCTTGACATCTAAAACTTGAATATTCATCCTAACCTTCATGTTCAAATTGCTTATTCTCTCATGCAATTTCATCCAATTTGATATCACTCCTTTAATGTTTATCTGTTCCTCTATATACTACTGTGAAATGTGTGGCAACTTGAACCAATGTACTCCTGTACGAGGTTCTACGTTGATTTTGTCAATCAATCAGTCAGTCAGTCAGTCAAGGATGCGTAGAGAGATTTTCTGAAACAATAACCATACACAAATCGAGACCACCTTTGTGTTCACAGAAACAGATTGTTCTTACACTATGCTTATCCTGGTAAACTTTGTTTTCTAATCCAGATATCTAAATGCTTAAGATAGTATCTTCACTGAATATTAGTACAAGTTGATGCCTTTTAAACAATTAGAGAAAACAATTACAATTCAGCTGTATAATATATGAATATTATAAGTAGAATAAAAATAGCTGAACAGTTCTAGATGTTTACAAAAGGAGGAGAAATAAACGTAAGGCAAAAAAAATACTTGAAACTAGACTTCAGGCAACATCATCTTTCATATGACTTCGAGCATATTCATGACCAACTACCATAATTTAAACATTGTAGAACAAAATGAGCTCATCTTACTTCATGGCCTTTCATTAGCTGCAAACAGTCTACAATTGAAATGAGTTATTAGTAATAATGCAGTAGGCATTGCTGATAAGAATGGATATAAGTAGTATATGTTGAGAGGGTGGCAGAAATCATATAGAATTACCAGCAATGGGTAAGGATTCCGTCAAGAGAAACGCAGGAGAAGCAAAAGGGGAAATGAAGCAAAATTTGCAAATGACGGATTTAGTGCAAGGCGTACTACATTTAACGACCACTGCCCTCCTTGTTGACAGTAAACATTCCTTCCTGCATACATGTCTTTTGCTTCTTTCAATAACACATAACATAACATACTTTAAACATCTTCAGACAAGCTCGTCCAAATATTAACTATGCATTGGAATCTGAAAATGAGGAGAGATTCAATTTTTTGAATCTAAGTATAAGATGGAGCTGTAATGATACAGTTGAGAAAAATATCCACAGAAAAGCTAAGTGGATTGATCAGTATCTTCACCACAATAGTTTATGTTCTGTCACCTATACACGTGGTTTAGTTAGGACGCTATTTACTAGGATAAAAGGGGTCTGCTCAAAATGTAAACAACAAGAAGAATTCGAGATAATTGAGAAGGCTCTTATAGAGAGTGGATACCTGGAGAAATTCATCAGGAACCATGGAAAAGAACTTATTGAGAGACCAAAATATTCAACCATTGAGAAGCCTCTTTTCCTTCACCTAGCACTCAAAAGTGATGAGACATCTGAAAGAATAGACAGAAGAATAATAGCTGCACTGAGAAGAAGCCTTCCTGCTGCCAGACTGATCTCAGTTTACAATACATTATGCTCAATAACAACAGTTGAAAGTAGACAACTACCTAGTGTACGTCACCTCCAACTGTATACATCAATTCACTTATGCTTTGAGAAAAAAGTATACGGGATGGACTGAAAGAAGGGTATCTACTCGATTTTATGATCATATACTGTGTCTGAATGGTAGAAACGTCTTTAAAAGCGCAATCACCAGGTATCTGATAGAAACAGGACATCAAATAAATGTTTCTCAATCTTCCAGGATAGTAAACAAACAAAGGGATGCCATGTTTATTATGGTTTGCAAAAGCTCTCACTATCAAACATTTTCAACCTGACCTTTGCACTCAGAAGGAGATTGTAATTAACCGTGGTAAGTATATAAAACGTTTTGCATATGAATGTATATAGTCTTCCTTTTTCTTTCAATTGCATCATCTCTTCATTAATTACTTACTGAATAGTAATCATTTAACGGTTTCCAAGTTTTTCATGTAATTACGTAACCTACTGGCTCTTAAACAGTCCCTTCTTTTACATAGCTTTTCGTTTGTTGTCCCCCTCCACTTCACAATTCCAGAATTTTCTATCTCATCAGATATAAATAGCCACAGATTTTCCATATTAGATTTGTTTATTTGATATATAGGGCACAGTGATACAGTATTATTTACTTGATTACGTTTCAAGCATAAATTATTACTGCTCATAATCATATCAATGTAATCACACTTCTTCGATATCTGATTTTATAGTCCTGTCACCTGATCTCTCTTTGTTTTTTTGTTTTTTGATTGGTAGTAAAGTTTTCCATATCTCTGGTATAGGTGTTGCGTCATTCCTATTCCACATGTGTTGGGTGTGGATTCGATGAACAAAGATTCAGTAATTAATCTCTCTCTCCACCTAGCTATATTAGACTTAAGTACAGTGGTTTTGTCCCACCCTATTGTGTGGTTGTGTGTTAATGAATGTAATGCAATGGCTGAGTGTTTTTCTAGGTTATTGATCTTATTGGGGTCTGCCGTTCTATGTTTAGCTAAATTCCTATGTTCTGTTAATCTAACTGACCCCGACCGGCTAGTTTGACCTATGTATTTGACTTCACAGTCATTACATGGAATTTGGTAGATTATATTATTTTGCCTAATTGGTTCTATCGGATCTTTTAGCCGACACAGCTTACCTCTAAGTGAGTTTGTTGGTTTAAATGCCACCCTAATTCCAACCTTGTTGAGAATCCTACGTATGGTTTCTGATGTTCCTTCCTTGTATGGTATCACAATAGAGGTGTTGATTTCCTTTCTACTTATGTTGTCACCATTATTTGTATTTGTATTAGTGTTATTATTTTGCTTCTTATGTGTCCGTGTGAATTTCTTAATAAAATGATGGGGATAATTATTGATTATTAACGCTTCTTTTATGTGTTTCAATTCCTTTTTAAGTCCTTACAATGACTAGTGAGTTTCTCAGCTCTGTTATTTAGACATTTGACTAAACCCGCTTTAACTGACATTGGATGAGATGACCTGAAGTCTAGATATCTGTTAGATTTTGACTAAGATATGGAACTTTTAATCCTGTATTTACTTGACCTATTACCTTATTGTTAGTCCTGGATTTCAAATCCCCATTTATTTCTGCCTGTTTAAAGTATGTCATGTTATGATTACTACTAATAATTCATTTTAATTGTAAGCTGTTTACAGCTGATGAAAAGCCATGAAATAAACTGAGTTCATTTTATTCTGCAAATGTCTTTGTTTTTGCATTGTTCAAATTTGTCAAAGGAACTAAATGTACTACAATTGCTTGACTTCGAGCTTTGCTTCAATTGTGCACCGATCGGTTGTGTTTTCTAGTCTTATGTGTTGATCGATGTGTTGTCTTCATCATAGACTGACATCAGTTGGGGAACCATTGGAAATCTGGGAGCACCGGACAGCTGTTTCGTCCTAGCGTGGAACTCCTCAGCAGTACACACCCACGACCTGGCTAGGGATCGAACTCAGGACCTTCGGTTTTACGGCGAACGCGTTGACCATTCAGCCACTCGGTCGGTTTTCAACTTCTGTCAATTCACGACAGAACGCGACTATCACCCACGTCTTCAGTTAGCATCCGCTTCACTTACGACTGGTTGACCTAACAGGTCACGGCTTCTCATTAGAGCTTCGTGACATCCATCTGGAAGCAAGTCACGAGTGAGCACTATACAGTAATGTATTTTTGAGATGAATGGGAATTTTTAATTTAAAAGTAGTATTCATCATGGACTGACATCAGTAGGGGAACCATTGAAATCTGGGAGTACTGGGATACCTGTTTCCTCCTAATATTGGACTCAGCAGTACACACCCACGACCCGGCTAGGGATCGAACTCAGGACCTTCAAGTTCACGGAAAATGCAACAGTCTATGATGAGTACTACCTCTAAATTAAAAATCCCCATTCATCTCAAAAATGAACTAATGATATATTTTACTGAGAGATGTAGTACATCTAAGCATCCGAGATCAAGTTATGCGCTCAACTATATCCAGTCAACCAACAATGTAATTATGGTGTTGTTGTTAGTATTATCCCATCGTCGATTGGACCGAATTGATCAGTCTCTGTTTGCATGTGGGCTGCTGTGCAGATATCTCGATATTACCTGTGTTTTCCTAATTATAGTAAAGATGGATAGTGGCTAGCACTGGAATCCAGGATATGCATTTCGTCCTATTTGGGACTCAGTGGTCAGCTGGATGTCCCTGCTTCCCAGTGAGTGATGTTGTTTCCACAGGAATTCGGACTCGGGAGCGATCGCTTCAAACACCAGAGCATTATCCAATAGGCCAATGAGCCACGATAGTGTCAGTGAATAACGCTCTGGTGTTTGAAATGACCTTTCCTGATTTCGAATCCCGGCATCAACAACACTCACTGGGAGGCAGGAAAGTTCAGTTGACGAGTACAAAACAAGACGAAACGCGCGTCCTGGATTCCATTGCTAGCTACTATCCACCATTAATATAATGATAGTCAGTAAGCATCTAACACGTCAACAAAATCATGTCGGCTGCTATTCAGTAACCAACTGCGACACGAAGATTTTTTTTATAAGCTCGAGTTTACTATTCAAGGAACGACTGAGTATAAGTGTTCCTATCTCATACTTCAAATTAAAACAATCATTTGTAAAGTTTATAATCGTAGATGAACAAAGAATAAGTAGGTATGATCCAGTCAAAAAGGCATACAGCGCTTCATATGGAACTTAGGATGTTCAGACCATTATTTGCAATAAAGAGGTAAAAATATCCAGGCTATGCTATATATGCTACTAAATTACATAAGTAGTAACAAGTGATCCACATAAAATGGTAACATATTATCTATTAACGGAGGAATAATAGAAATATCTAAAAGTCATCTAGAATCTAAACTAAGTAGATTTCTATGCAAATTAAAATTTGTCTTGTAAAAACCAAGTTCTATAACGCTTAAAGTCATATAGACAATGAAACAACTTGAGGATAACTATAAAAAAACATGCAGCATTTTAAAAAGTTATTGAATCAGGATATAGAAACATTGATGTATCATCCTTTTAGATATGAAAAATGAGTGAAAAGAGAATTCCATCTGAACACCACTAGGCTAAAAGGTTGAGAATTCAATAATCATTGTAGCTACAGTAAAATGCAATTATTGTCATATGCAATCATGTAGTAAAGTTACTTTGTATACATATATAAACTTGTAATCATAGAAATGAAACTTACCCATGTTCTAGTAATCAATAGTGAATGTATTAAAGTACACAATGTTAATGCATGTGTTTGAAATAATCCAAACTCCCATAAACCGATAACATCATCAGCATAAGCAAAATATGATAAAAAGAATATAACTAAACTTTGCCATAGGGCATCACATATATTTAACCAAAATAACCATGGATGATAAGCCTAGAAAAAAAGAGGAAAAATTTGTATAGTATTAAAAAAGAAGACAATCTGAACCGCGGCCGATTCGAACCAGTGACCGTCGGGTTACCAGCTCGGTGCTCTACCAACTGAGCTACAAGGTTCCACGTCAATAGGTTGTATAACATACAAGGATACAGTATTTATTACTTACTTGATAACGTTCCGAGCGTAAATTATCATTACTGATAATCTTATCAGTGTAATTATACCAATTTCAACATCGAATTTTTATACTCCTGTCACTTTGTATTCTGTGTTTCTATTGGTAGTAAAACTTTCCATATCTCTAGTATAGATGAGTGTTGCATCATTTCTATTACATATGTTAGTTGGATCTTGATTCGATGAACAACGATTCAGTAAACAATCTCTGTCTCTCTCTTCACCACTCAAACTGTTATCTGGTTGTGTGTGTTAATGCATGCATACCAACAGCCGAGATTCTTTCGAAATTACTGATAGAACTGAGGTCTATCATTTTATATTCAGCTAAATTCATATGTTCCGCTGTTCTAACTGACCCCTAAGGGCTAGGTCGACCTACATACTTGACCTAACCCACAGTCATTACATGGAATTTAATAGATTAGATTATTTTACTTAATTGCTTCTATCGGATCCTTAAGCCAGCCAGCCAGCCAACAAACCTTATCTCTGAATGAGTTCGTAGGTATAAATGCCACTCTAATTCCAGCTGTATTGAGGATCCTACATAAAGTTTCTGATGTACCCTCCTTATAGGGTAACACAATGGAGGCTGTAAACTCCTTTATACTCGTGTTGTTGTTATTATTTCGGTTCTTATGTGTTCGTACGAATTTCTTAATAAACTGTGGAAGATAATTATTAACTATTAGCACTTCTTTTATGTGTTTCAATTCCTTGTTTTAGTCCTTGCACTGACTAGTCAGTTTTCTAGCTCTATCATTTAGACATTTGACTGAACCTGTCTTGACTGACATTCGATGGGATGGGATGACTTGAAGTCTAGATACTTGTAGGAATGTGTTAGTTTTCTGTAGACAGTAGTATCCAAGCCACCGCCTGTTCTTCGTTTCATTCTACAATCCAACATACATAATTCTCCTTGTTCATTTCCTAGCTCCCCGTAAGTGAATCGGATTGCGCCAACTGTTGAGTGTCATCCACATATCTGCTACGATTGGGGATAATGGTAATCCCATTGCTACTCCTTCTGCTTTTTCGTATATTTTTTTTATATTTAAACTTGAAGATTGTGGAGGTTAGGCACAACTGTACGTCTAATATGATCTCATCAACCGATATTTTAGTTCAATGAGTAAGTTCTGAGTCAATATCCAGTTGATTTCTGACTGCCTCCTCTATATGCAAGTCATTAAGCTTTAGTTTTAACCTGGTAAAAGTTTATTAGTCTGGGATTTGAACGGTTTCTAATCGAAAAAAATATCGATGCTAAGCACTTTACTAGTTCATATGTTTTACTACCGACGGAAACAAAGAATAAGAGGTGACAGGATTATAAAAGGGCAGATATTGAAAGCAGTGTGATTACATTGATATGATAATGAATAATGATAATTTATCATCTTTGTTTTTTACTATTCTGAAGACTGATGATGAGTGTTGTTATAGAATTGATGTAAATGATGGATAATATGGCATTAGTGATAGCTTCCAGTTTGCTTACCATGACTACTTTTTTCATGTGAACCAATACAAGGACTATTACACATAGAACACCTCTTAATGATAAACTAAGACATTTCAGAATTTCATCTAGTAGGATTTCCTCTTTAATAAGATTTTGTCAAATGTTTTACATAGAATTTGAGATTTTTAAGGATTTATTGGTTTCAGGTTGGTATTCATCATGAATTGACATCGATTGGGGAAACATTGAAAACATGGAAGCATTAAACATTTGTTTTCTCATAATAGAAAAGAAAGTAGGAAATATGGACTATGGAACTCCAACTTAGTGGATTAATGGTAACATACTAACCGCGGAACCTGGAGGAGCTGAGTTAGATAACTGGAGGTTTCATGGGTTCGCACTTCTGAGGAGTCCCATACAAAGACGAAACAGGTGTCCAGTGCTCCCAAGTTCCAAATGTTTCTTTGAATGGTATTAGTCCATGATGAATACCAACTTAGAAGGTTTTATATATTGAATTAAATCATTCCATTTGTAGTCAACGACCTACAAGACGAATAATAATTCATTATCAGGCTTCAGTGATTTCACCATTTCCTAGTAGATATAGTCATCAGCTTTTTTTCTATTGAGTTGTTTCCTTTTCATGAAAGCATACAAGTAGAACTGATGAGATTCCTTTGTTAACTGCACCATGTAAAGGAAACTCCAACAATAAGTCAGTCTTGAGTATATTGTTTTCCATAATGAATTATTTTTAAAATAGTGAATCGACAGTATAGGTTATCATCTAGTCTGGATATAGAAGGAGGAGAATAGAGTAGCCGATGATTTGTGTCTAATATCGCACAAACTCGAAGATCTATAGGCAAAAACCAACAAGCTCACAGAAGAAGCAGAGAAGATGGGACTTCGAGTGGGCATAGAGAAGACAAAGATGATAAAGATACCCAACCAACAACAGCATGAACAGCTAGTACCAATCAACATTAACAGGAAAAACCTAAAGGAAGTAGTCTATCTCACCTACCCACCTACCTAGGCAGCATCGTTTCAACTACAGGTGGGGCACAGATGAGGACGTCAAAGCCAGCAAGGATCGGAAACACAGCAAGACAGGCTTTCCTTCATTAACCTGAAACCAGTGTGGGGATCTACTGTACTCGGCATGAAGAACAAAATCCAGATTCTTAACACTAATGTCAAGTTAGTGCTTCTGTATGCCTCAGAAACTTGGCGTGTTATGAAAAGCATTTCCAAAAAAACTATAGACATACATCATCAATGGCTGCAACCTACGCTCACTCGATACTGAAAATCACATGGATGGCCAGAATAATAAGAATAAGTAACAAGGAATTCTAGCCTGACTGGCAACGAACCAACCGACCAACAGCGTATCACCCAACAAATATTCAGAAGGATGTGGAGTTGGATTGAATTGGACATAGACTGAAAAGGAAGATGGTTTGGGGACATCACGCATCAGGCCGGGCCAGGCCATGCCGTCGAATGGAATCCAAATGGAAACGACGAGTTGGATGTTCGAGGCAAGGGTGACATGGAGGAGATGATGTGAGGAAGAAATGAAAGGTAATGGGTAGTCATGGTGCCAGGTTGAAAAAACTGCAGAGAACTTGAGAGTGGAATGGAGACGTGCTAATGAAGCCTTATGTCCCACTAGAAACCCAAGGGACAATTAATAATATAATAATGAGCATGTTTAGTGATAGTTTCTTTAATCAACATGGAAATATGCAGTTGGAGCTAAGTATTTCACGATTAGTTACATAATACATTGTTATTCGATTAAGGGCTCATTGTAAAGTAAGCCATTCTATTCAATGTATAAGTTAAATGATAATGCATAGAAAAGAATATTAATACTTACATTGCCTTGTATTCCAGCTCGATATAATATAGGATTACATAATAATGTCTCATGATCTAATGGATTATCCCATATACCCATAATAAATGGTGGTAAACTAGTCATTGTAACACTGAATAACATTTGTGATAATTGATCAATTGCATTACTACCCGAAAATCCGTTGAACATTTGAAACCAAAATAATAGAAATATATATATCTACAAATTAAAAGAATATTACCAATGGTAATTAGACATTGATGTATGAAAAAAAATATACCTACGATATTGGTAGTGGGATTTGTTCAAGGGGAAGAAATAGAAAATGGATCACTAAATAAGTGAAGACAAGAGTAAGACAAGGCTGTCGCCTACTCTCACCGATGATCTTCCTCCTTGTGGTCCACTGGGTCATGCAGCAAACTGAGAGGAGCAAGATGATAGGCATGCGCTGACTGGAGCGGTGACAAGACCCCAAGAAAATATTTGGATTTCTCCCATGATGATTTATGTCTAGTGTCTTGTCACAGTCGGATCCTGAATGGGACATAGAGACAGGCCCCCCAACACTAGAAGAAGTTGAGAAAGCGGTAGGTAACCTGAAACGAGGAAGGGCAGCAGGACCAGACGGACTACCTGCTGAGGTATACAAGAATGGTGGTAGAGTGCTCTTAGTCAGGTTAACGGAAGTGTTGGCCAGTATATGGGAATCAAATACGATCCCCTCCGACTGGTCTAAGTCACTCATCATCCCAGTCTTCAAGAAAGGCGAGAAGTCCTCTTGTGATAACCACAGAGGAATCAGCCTGACAAACATAGTGTCTAAGATCCTAAGTTCTATAATTCTCCGACGCCTGAGTGGAGCTCGGGAACAGCAAGCCCGAGAAAACCAGGCAGGCTTTAGACCTGGCCGTGGATGTATCGACCAAATATTCACACTGCGCCAGGTCCTGGAACATAGGCATGCTTACAGACGCCCGACAATAGCTGTATTTCTCGACCTGAAGGCGGCATTTGACTCCGTTGATCGAGAAGTCTTATGGCAATGTCTGTCACTGAAAGGCGTGCCTAGTAAGTACATCACGTTATTGAAAGCTCTCTACTCGAACACTTGTGGGCATGTTAGAGCCTATGGTGAGTTGTCCAGGGAGCTATACTCATCAAGTGGTGTCCGTCAAGGATGCCCACTATCCCCATTCTTATTTAATTTTATCATAGATATTCTTATGGAGGTTTCCCTCTCGTCACCTAATTACACAGACGTTGACCCAATCACAGGTGAATTTTCTTTAGATCTAGAATATGCAGATGACATAGTCCTGTTAGGTGAAGACGCTGACAAGATGCAGAGTCTTCTGAACACTTTGAGTGGGAATTTGAGAATGTTTGGGATGCGATTTTCACCACCCAAATGCAAATTTTTGCTCCAGGACTGGTCTTCAGCGGTACCGCGGCTAACAATAGAGAGTGAAGTGGTTGAGTGTGTTGACCACTTCACTTACCTGGGAAGTAGGATCAACCCCGGTGGGTTAGTTGCCGATGAGATTTCTGCACGGATACAAAAGGCTCGATTGGCTTTTGCCAATTTGCGCCACCTATGGCGCCGCCGTGATATTCGTTTGTCTATTAAGGGTCGCGTGTACTGCACAGCAGTCCGCTCTGTTCTACTGTATGGCTGTGAAACATGGCCATTGAAAGTGGAGGATACAAAAAGGCTTCAGGTGTTTGACCACCGTTGCCTTCGTAGTATAGGACGTATTCCGTGGTGTCACCACATGAGTAATGCAGAAGTTAGGTGTAGAGTTTTGGGGAGAAGAGGTAAGTCAGTTGACGAGGTTGTGAACCTTCATCGACTGAGATGGTTGGGACACGTACTACGTATGCCTAGTCACCGATTGCCTCGTCACACAATGTTGGCTGAGGTGGGTCCAGGCTGGAAAAAGGCCCGAGGTGGCCAGACTAAAACATGGCACCAATGTATGAAGTCTCTGACTGTTGGTTTAAGCCATATGGGACGATGCAGACTAGGTGGTTGGGGTCGGTGGGACAAGAGGAACCAGTGGTTGGAGACCCTAGGTGATATGGCTCAGAACCGAAGTCAGTGGCGCAGATGTATACACACATTATCCTCATCTTAACAACGCTATACCGAATCTCACTATTTTGTCACTCCTCTTTCCTTTCTTCTCGTACTTTATATTTCTTTTGACTGCATTCACTTATCTTCATCCTTCACCTCACTACCTTTTTACTTGATGAACTGACGTAAGGTGTGGCAACTCGGGCCGTTACGCAGTAATGGCTGGTTCTATGTTGATAATGATGATGATGTCTTGTCACATAAACTCGAAGAAATTCAGGCGAAAACTAACAAGTTGACAGAAGAGGCGAGACAGAGAACACGGGACTTCCTTCAGGCAAACGTAGAGAAGACAGAGGTTATGAAGATACCCAACCAACAACAACATCACAACAACAAGCACCAATCACCATCAACGGGAGAAATATACCGAGGCAAGGCAGCATCATTTCAACTACAGGTAGCGGCACAGACGAAGATGTCAAAACCAGGATCGGAAACACAGCAAGACAGGCTTTCTTTCATTAACCTGAAATCAGTGTGGAGATCTACTGCACTCCACTCAGCACAAAGAACAAGATACGGATTTTCAACACCTACATCAATGAAGTCAGTGCTGCTATATAGTTCAGAAAAGTGACGCGTCACAAAAGCACTTCCAACAAACTACAGACATTCATCAACAACTGCAACCTACCGACGCTCAATACTGAAGATCAGATGGCCAGAATAGTAAGAATTAGCAATAAGGAACTATGGCTGGCAAACGAACCAACGAAGCAAGAACTCATTGCCCAACTAATATGCAGAAGAAAGTGGAGATGGATTGCGCATATACTGAGAAGACCGACTGGGGACACCATGCATCAGGCCAGGTCAAGCCGTCGAGTGGAACCCAAGGGGGAAACGACGAGTTAGGCGTCCGAAGCGAGGGTGACATGGAGGAGACCATGTGAGGAAGAAATGAAAGGTAATGGGCAATCGTGTTACCAGGTTGAAAAGACTGCAGAGAACTGGAGAGTGAAATGGAGACGTGCTACTGAAGGCCTATGTTTCACTAGGAACCCAAGGGAAAAATAATCATAATAATTTATAAGTTGTTGCTGGGTTACATAACTCAGTCAGTAGAGTACCGGTTTGGAGATCAGAAGTTGGTTGCTGAAATCCTTCTGCAGCCAGGTTTTCACTCCACCTTCAATTATCAATCAATGTCAATCCCATAGTACAACACAAATCTCCTTCATGGAAAATAAAGCATTTTCTTAATGATTTAGCCATTGATCACATTCAATATTTGTTACTTTGCTTCAACTGACTTTTGTCTTTTTTAATTACCAGTTAGTTTATTTTTTTTCAAAAGATTTATCTTCATTTTGGTTGCAACAAAAGCCTGGGATATTGGATCACAAGAGATTTATTAATGAATAATCATATTGTAAGTTACACTAAATATTTAGATATTGGTTTCTCATACATAAATCATCATCATCATTATCAACATAGAACCAGCCATTACTGCGTAACGGTCCGAGTTGCTACACCTCATATCAGCACATCAAGTAAAAAGGTAGTGAGGTGAAGGATGAACATAAGTGAATGCAGTCAAAAGAAATATAAAGTACGAGAAGAAAGGAAAGAGGAGTGACAAAATGGTGAGATTCGGTGTAGCGTTGTTAAGATGAGGATAATGTGTGTGTGTATACATCTGCGCCACTGACTTCGGTTCTCAGCCATATGATCACCTAGAGTCTCCAACCACTGGTTCCTCTTGTCCCCCACCCCCCACCAACCCCAACCACCTAGTCTGCATCGTCCCACATGGCTCAAACCAACAGTCAGAGACTTCATACATTGGTGCCATGTTTTAGTCTGGCCACCTCGGGCCTTTTTCCAGCCTGGACCCACCTCAGCCAACATTATGTGACGAGGCAATCGGTGACTAGGCATACGTAGTACGTGTCCCACACATAAATTGCTGAATATATCTACATTACTTTCATAAAAGCTACAAGATATGTGTACATCATTTGATCAATGCAACAACCTATAAATTATTATTATCATCTGTCCCTTGGGTTCCTAGTGGAACATACAGCTTCAGTAGCACGTCTCCATTCCACTCTCAAGTTCTCTGCAGTCTTTTCAACCTGGCACCACGACTACCCATGACCTTTCATTTCTTCCTCACATCATCTCCTCCATGTCACCCTCGCCTCGAACATCCAACTCGTCGTTTCCCATTTGGATTCCATTCGACGGCCTGGCCTGGCCTGGCCTGATGCGTGATGTCCCCAAACCGTCTTCCTTTTCAGTCTATGTCCAATTCAATCCAACTCCACATCCTTCTGCATATTTGTTGGGTGATACGCTGTTGGTCGGTTGGTTCGTTGCCAGTCAGGCCAGAATTTCTTGTTACTTATTCTTATTATTCTGGCCATCCATGTGATTTTCAGTATTGAGTGAGCGTAGGTTGCAGCCATTGATGATGTATGTCTGTAGTTTATTGGATATACTTTCTGAACCATATAGAAGCATAACGTATAAATACTCTAGAGAAATGATTCCCTTGTAGATAGGTTTCATCATGAAATAAAATCAATGTAGGAAGATTAGTTGAATTTTTAAACTCCTCAGTAGAGTGAGTGTATCTACAACTCCGCACAGGATTCATTCCATGACATGGGAAACAAAATTAACGTAAAACATCGCATACAAATGCATTATAACAAGTTGTCATACCTCACAGAAGTATATAAAGCTGTCTGAGTTAATAAATAATTTGAAGATAAAGGTAAATGTGAATATATATGTTGTAGAGGATGTCAAGAAGTGAATATATCTACAGCATTGTGACCGATTTTCAGCCGGATCACTAACAATCCTTCATCACTGATTCCTGTGACATTGAGGGCCCCCTACTAGGTAGTCTACATCTCTCCCACACGACTCATACCAAAAGTTATGGACTTCATCGACTAGTGCCTCATCTCATCTGATGCGACCACCCTCAACTCTCTTTCAATCTACTTCATATTACCCTAATATGCTACGTCGAGGTAGGCAATGATTCAACATGCACATCATCATCATCATTATCAACATAGGACCAGGCATTACTGCATAACGGTCCGAGTTACCACACCTCACGTCAGTTCATCAAGTAAAAAGGTAGTGAGGTGAAGGATGAACATAAGTGAATGCAGTCAAAAGAAATATAAAGTAAGAGAAGAAAGGAAAGAGGAGTGACAAAATGGTGAGATTCGGTAGTACTGTAGTTAAGATGAGGATAATGTGTGTGGATACATCTGCGCCACTGACATCGGTTCTGAGCCATATCATCTAGGGTCTCCAACCACTGGTTCCTCATGTCCCGTGGACCCCAACCACCTAGTCTGCATCGTCCCACATGGCTTAAACCAACAGTCAGAGACTTCATACATTGGTGCTATGTTTTAGTCTGGCCACCTCGGGCCTTTTTCCAGCCTACACAGTAGATATCTAAGCCATCTCATTCGACTAGACTTCACAACCTCACCAATTGACTTACCTGTCTTGCTTAGTACCCTTCACTTAACTTGAACATTGCTCATAGGGTGATTTCACTAAACATAAGCAATACTATGAAGATATCTGTGATGAAAACTTTGTAATTGCTTCATATCTTTATTTTTAATGGCCATGTCTTACAGTCATACAATAGGAGAGAACGAACTTCAGTATACTCGTCCTTTGATGGATAATCGAATACCTCATTAGTCGATATTACATACGATGCAAATTAACAAATCACAAACGAAACTTATGTATCTAAACTAAGATTTCATCAACAATTAACCCATTCAAGCTGATATTACTCTTAAAGTATTGGAAGTAGTCGATAGATTCTACTACTTCACTTCCTATCATTGCATTATTGTTATTTTTTATACACATATACTTTTTATAATCAATTTATTATTAGTAATAATTTTTATAATATAAAAATTTTCATTAATTTCATTTACTTACCGCATTTTTATAAAATAAATATAATGAAGCATGTGCTAGTTTATCATAACAACAATGTCCATGAACTAATAATAACTGTTTGAGAAAACAAAATTGACTAATTCCAAAATCTGATGCCATAACCGCTTGCATACCTTCTTGTCCACCGGTAATACCAATCCCAACATTAGCTACTCGTATCATATTGACATCATTTGCACCATCACCAACAGCTAAAGTTTGAACGTTTAATTCATCTTTGACTAGAGTAACTATAGCAGCCTAAACAGAAGAAATTATATAGTTAAATGTTAATGAAATCACCTAGTCTAAAATAATATAACGATGAAAAGGAAACTTTGAAGCTAAGTGAAAACCAAAAATATTTTGTGATATTTTATATTTATGCAGGTTATTATTATTATGATGATTTATTTATCTTTTGAGTTCCTAGTGGAATATAGGGTTTCAGTAACACGCTTTTATTTCACTCACTTCTCTATAGTCTTTTCAACTTGGAACCACGACTGTCCATTACGTTTCATTTCTTTCTCATATGATCACCTATATGTCACCTTCGCTTCGGATGCCTAACTAATCGTTTCTCATCTGGGGGTTCCACTCACCTGCCTGATGCGTGATGTCCCAGTCGGCCTTCTCAGTGTATGCCTAATCCATCTCCTTTTGCATATTTAGAAAAAAATATCGTAATATATCTTCTCTAATACATATTCTTCTTGCCAATAGTAGTCAATTTGATGATTTTTGTGAACTCAAGAAGATAGGTACTATATTGAAGAATTCAGCCTATATCAGTCAGCACTATTTTCACAGACTTTATGGATTTACCTTTTTGGAATGCAACTTACTAATTTTGAATGAAAACTACCTATTCTCAAATTTCAAGATTCGGATTTTCAACACTAATGTCAAGTCAGTGTTTCTATGAGATGGCTCAGAGACTTGACGTGTTACGAAAAGCATTTCCAAAAAACTACAGACATTCATCAACAAATGCCTACGCTCCTTACTGATAATGAAGGTCAGATGGATAGCCAGAATAATAAGAATAAGTAACAAGGAATTCTCGCCTGACTGGCAACGAACCAACCGACCAACAGCGTATCACCCAACAAATATGCAGAAGGATGTGGAGTTGGATTGAATTGGACATAGACTGAAAAGGAAGACGGTTTGGGGACATCACGCGTCAGGCCAGGCCAAGTCGTCGAGTGGAATCCAAATGGGAAACGACGAGTTGGATGTTCGAGGCAAGGGTGACATGGAGGAGATGAAGTGAGGAAGAAATGAAAGGTAATGGGTAGTCGTGGTGCCAGGTTGAAAGACTGCAGAGAACTTGAGAGTGAAACGGAGACGTGCTACTGAAGCTCCTTGTTCCTCTAGGAACCCAAGGGACAAATAATAAAAATAATAATTCTCAAATTTATCTTGGAGACTAATAAATCTGTGACATATTATAGTGTACAAGTAGAGAACTAATAGAAACACCTTCAAAGTGTTAAATATATCAAAGAGATAAATATAAGCAGATTTACCTTTTGTCCTGGTGTTGATCTACAACATATAACATTTGTACACATTTCAGTTAATTTAATGAATCGTGATCTATTCTTTGCATTATTCAATACATAATTTAAGCTTTCACCATCAATTACTAAAGCTAATTGAAATTTATTAGCAAAATTATTACTATATCTTTTATAACTGGATGATTGTCTTCGATGTTGTTGTTGTTGTTGTTGTCGTCGTAGTCGTCGTTGTCGATTTCGATGTCTGAATTGACGATAATGTTCAATTAATTTTAAAAAATTAAAACAACCTTTATGATTTATTTTTAATTTATTTTCATTATCATGAAAATAAGTTATATCTCTTGGTAATGAAGATGATTTCGGTGTTTTATTAATACATACACGTTGTTTTGTACGACCACGATTAGGTGAATGTGAAGTTGAACGATAATGATTTTTGACTTTTTTAATAATCGACGACTATCTTTTCGTGTTTTATAATATTGTTGAGCTTCTGAATAACGTGGATTAATCACTTCATCAAGTCTATTATCCAGATCATTTAATGGATTCCATAGGTCTCCACTAATAACACCATATAAATATGAGTTTAGTAAATATTCTATATGTGCCTAAGAAAAAAAAAAAAAAAAAAGACAATAAGAAAGATGAAACTAATATTATATTAACAATACATAGAATAGTTATATAACACTTAATTGAATGAACTAGATCAAGATCTCGTTTCAATCAATCCGCTGAATGCTTTGATCCATTCTCTATAATTTAGTCAATCCATCACAAAATTATTCACCTTTATATAGACAAAATTCTAAAGGACCATAGGAATTATCAAATCTATACACCTATTTATTATTTCACAATTAGATAAATTTGTATAGAATTTATCCATATTGTATACTTTCTTATACATGAAGATATTCTACTCAAAGTTCTACTCATTGTCTTCTAATAATTGGATGTTCTATCAATCCATCACCTTTGTATCATCAGTTAATGAGATGATCATCAACATAGGATAAGATGTTACTACATAACGGTCCGAGTTGCCACATGTTATATCACTACATCAAGTAAAAAGGCAGTGAAGCGCAAGATGAAGATAAGAGAATGCAGTAAAAAGAAATATAGAGTACGAAAAGAGAGAAAGGAAGAATGAGAAAATGGTGGGATTCGTTATAGCGTTGTCAAGATGAGGATAATGTGTGTGTGTGTGTGCATACATCTGTGCCATTGACATCGTTCTGAGCCATATGATCACCTAGAGTCTCCAACCACTGGTTCCTCATGTCCCACCGACCCCAACCGGCTAGTGTCTGCATCGCCCTACATGGCTTAAACCAACAGTCAGAGACTTCATACATTGGTGCCATGTTTTAGTCTGGCCACCTCGGGCCTTTTTTCAGCCTGGACCTACTTCAGCCAACATTGTGTGACGAGACAATCGATGACTAGGCATACATAGTACGTGCCCCAACCGTCTCAATCGATGAGCGTACATAACCTCGTCAACTGATTTACCTCTACTCCCTAAAACTCTATACCTGACGTCTGTGTTACTCACATGGTGACACCATGGAATACGGTCTATACTATGAAGGCAACGGTGGTCAAACACTTGAAGCCTTCTCATGTGTCTTCTACTTTCAATGCCGATGTTTCACAGCCATACAGTAAAACAGTTAATGAGAACTGATTATCAATCAATTAGTCAATATCAACGTAAGACTAGGCATTAATACACAATACTCCGATTCGCCACACCTCATATCAGTAAAATAATAACCAATTCAGTAAGATGAGATATAAAATAAGAGAGAAAAAATGGGTCAAAAGTAGTAAAAAGAGAAGAGAATGAGAAAATATCGAATTCACTGTAGTCGTTAAGTTAAAAATAATGTGTGAATACATATACGTCACTAACATCCACGAACCCCAACCGGCTAGTATGCATCTCCATATATCACTCATGCATTGATGCCATTTTTTAGCCTCAACACCCCCAGTCATTTTCCAATCTTAACCTACTCCAGCCAACATTTTGCTACACGGCGGACGGTAGCTAGGCATACGTAACACATGTTTCAGACATCTCAGTCCATGAAGATTCACAACCGCATCAACTACCTTACTTCTTCTTCCTAAAACTCTACATCTGATTTTTGCGTTACTCACGTTATGACACCATGACACATAGTCCATGGTACGAAGACAACAGTGGTAAAACACCATAAATCTCCTCATGTCTTCTACCTTTAATGGCCATGTTTCCCAGTCATACAGTAGAAAAGAGTCAACTACAACACAGTACACTCGACCCTTATTAGACAATCAGATATCATGGTGGTACTACAGATAGTATAAGTTGACAGAAGTCAACCAAGCTTTTTCTATCAGTGCAGAGATTTCTTCAGCCACTGAGCCATCAAGGTTGATCCGACTTGCCTAGTGTTCAACATACTCATCCACTTCACTCTTTTGTTAGCCGGGGGACCGTTGAAGACCAGTCGTGTAACAACAACATGCATTTAGGTAGTGAGAAGGGCATAGCAAACACTCTCAAATTGCCACTCAAGGTGTTCAGAATACTGCATCTCGTCAGCGTCTTCATATAACTGGACCATATCACTTGTGTACTCTATTGGTTAGATCACTGACGAGAGGGGGATCTCCATAGGAACATCTAAGAAAAAACTGAACAGAAAGGTAGATTGTGAGAATCCATGATGGACACCATTGGATGTACACAGCTCACCTGATAACACGTCCATAGATGTTCTAGTAAAGAACCTTTAACAGAGTGATGTACTTATTTGGTACTCCTTTCAGTGAGGGACACTACCTTAAGACTTCTCGATCGAAGGAGTGAGACGTCATCTTTGGGTGTGGAAATACAGCTAGTGTCGGGTGTCTATAATTGTATCTATGCCGATTATATGAATATATAAAATATCACTTTAATTTTGGCACTCTAGTCATAAATTCCCCTTTTTGATATATAAAAATAGAACTATAAGATAGTACATACCTCAGAACGTGCATTAATATACATTATCCTATGCTGTGATGTAATCAGATTAGCTGAACGAGCAATATTCACTGCAGTTTCTTGTTTATCACCTGTTAACACCCAAACATGCATACCAGCTTCACGTAATGATTCAATAGTCTCTGGTACACCAACTTGTAAACGATCTTCAATACCTGTAGCACCTGATTAAAAGGTAATGTTTAAAAACGAATCTAAAATTATTTGTTTCTGTCTCCCTATATATACATCAGTTGATACTAGTAGAATAGCATTAAGATATTTCAGTTAAAATCAACACAATATACAACATTTAAATAAGGATGGCCGTAATTGACGTAAAAGTTGAACCTCGTAGCTCAGTTAGCAGAGCAACAGGCCGGAAACCCTGTGGCTTCTGGTTGGAATCCGGCCATGATTCAAATTTTCACTTCACCTTCACTCATCATCACCCAGTATCTAATACTAGTCTGCCAAACTACTGTTATTAATCTCAGATAGTCAAAATGATAACAAAAACTGTAGCAGATATTTCATATTGTATTCGTTGATGCCCATAAAGTTGACCTCATAAACTAATATTTATCTAAATGTCCAGACATAGACATAGTCTATCAGCTTCAAAGTTTTTGGTGCATTGTCAATACAACATCATAGTTTATGCTCCACGTTATCTCATATTCTCTTACAGACTGATGCAGGTGGATCAGTAATGTTTAGGATATGAAGACATCAATAGTATTTCGGGAACATTATATAAAAATCCGAGTTGGATACCGATTCAATAAATTCTTATCTTATCAAAGATGACCTTAGTTCACTAGACTCTCCATAATTCTTCCGTATACGTGGTTTCTACTAAAATAACTTCTATTTTCTTCTCTCTGATAGGGATATTGCTTTCTTGTGAGAAAGACAGACAGATCAATATAAAACCTTATCCAGATGCGGATTAGATAAATCGGTTAACTTCTCAATTTCACGGAAAGATTGAACACATAATGCTCATTAGAAGTTAATCAAATGCAGTTATTACCATTATTTGCCCCTTGGGTTCCTAGTGGAACATAGGACTTCAGCAGCACATCGCCATTTCACTCTACTCCCTGCAGTCTTCTTAAACTGGCTCCACAACTGCCCATGACCTTTCATTTCTTCTTCACACCATCTCCTCCATGTCACCCTTGCCTCGAACATCCAACTCGTCGTTTCCCATTTGGATTCCATTCGACGGCTTGGCTTGGCCTGGCCTGACGCGTGATGTCCCCAGTCGGTCTTCTCAGTCTATGTCCAATTCAATCCAACTCCACATCCTTCTGCATATTTGTTGGGTGATACGCTGTTGGTCGGTTGGTTCGTTGCCAGTCAGGCGAGAATTCCTTCTTACTTATTCTTATTATTCTGGCCATCCATGTGATTTTCAGTATCGAGTGAGCGTAGGTTGCAGCCATTGATGATGTATGTCTATAGTTTGTTGGAAATGCTTTAAGCAACGCGCCAAGTCTCTCAACCATCACATAGAAGCAGTGACTTACTTGACTAACATTAGTGTTGAAAATCCGAATGATGTTCACGCTTTATGTTGATTGTAGTGAAGTGGGGTGCAGTAGATCTCTACACTGATTTCAGATGGATGAAGGAAGGCCTGTCTTGCTGTGTTTCCGATTCTGGATTTGACATCCTCATCTGTGTGGCCTGTCTTGAGAATAATGTTTGTACACAAAATTTCCTATGTACTGTATGGTGATTCCTGTTGTAGTTCAAAATTTCGTCAGTGTGTTTGATTTCCTTGCACATTTAAATTCGAAAAGTCCCATCTTGCCTTCTGTTGACGAGGACATCTAAGAACAGAGTTTCAGTGTTGCCTACCTTCTTCTTTGTGGAGTAAATTCATTCAAATGTTTAGTTTATAAGTTTGAAAGTATTTTCCTTTGCATCCTTCTCTAGAATAACGAACGTGTTATCAAGTAACTGGATCCTAATTTTTGGTTATCTAAAAGGAACCACTATCGATGTTATTGCTTGTATTACACCGTCGTTGATTGGACAGAACAGATCGGTCATTGTTGTCATATGAGCTTCTGTGCGGATGTCTCGATATTGCCTGTGTTCTGAACTACATAGTAATAATGGGTAGTGGCTAGCAGTAGAATTCAGGATGGGCATTTCGTCCTATTTGGGATTCGTCAGCTGGATGTATCTGCATCTCAGTGCGGAGTTGTTGTTCCCAGCGGGATTCGGACCCTGGAGAGATCACTTCAAACGCCAGAGAGTTACCCACTACACCACCGAGCCACGACATTATGCGATACTATACCCGTGGCACAAGAAGTAGCTAACGTGGTTCGGTGGTGTAGTGGATAGCTCTCTGGCGTTCGAAGCGACCTCTCCCGAGTTTCGGTGGGAACATCACTCCACACTGGGGTGCAGGTACATCCAGCTGACCAGTGAGTCCCAAATAGGACAAAATGCGCATCCTGGATTCCAGTGTTAGCCACTATCCATCATTACTACATAGTTAGGAACCACTACTGCTTTAGTAATCAGTCCTGATATTAGCAATCCTGAGAAGTCCGTCTATTTTCTGGTAAATCTATTCATTACACTATAAGTAGGTCATGAAGAGTATTTTGATCGAGTTTTGTATGGGCTAAAAGATTTTGGTTGTTCTTCGGAAGAATATCCGTTGTCTCTTTGGCTAGAATTCAATCCATCGGATAGGAAAGTAAAGTCACATCAAAGGATATAATCCTTTCATCATGGTTTATCTTTGTATAGAAATTTAGTTCCCAAACTGAATGAATGTTCACTTTCATTGACGAGATACTTCAGTTTCCGACATAATTCTTTCGATAGATTAGGGTAAACCAGGTAATGAAAATATTATTCGTACTGGAATATTTGCCTTTCGCATACTGCATAGACCGTAGAACCTCAGTAGAGCTGATCCGCTGTTCTTTTTCAGTGATTTGGTTAGCTTTTACTGAATTCATGAGTTTTCTCAGGATCTGGTTGTCTGATCGCTTAGCTGAATAGTTATCCAGCAGTTGGAAAAACACTTTAGTTGTTGAGTAACTCTAATATGTCTTTTAGACATGATTTGTTTTGTTCATATCGATAGTTTTCCTTCTTTCCTTTAACACTGCTATCGAATAAACGACGGTAAACCGTATATCACTTGTACTAAAGCATAGGACTGCTTACCCGCGTGATAAGAAGTTAAAAGGAGAATTCTGATATCAGTCAACTACAAGTGCGTTTATTCCGGCGAATTTAACAGTAATCATACTGAATTCTTTGTCGAATAAACTCTAAAAATTGTTGATAATTCATATATATAACGTGCCAATGTTGTTGTACAAGAAGCAGCTTTTGTGGTTCGGTGGTCTAGTGGTCAGTGACGAGTTTGAGTCCCGCTGGAGACAACGTTCACTAGTGTGCAAGCACATCCAGCTGACGAGTTCCAGATAGGACGAAACACACGTCCTGGATTCTCCTGCTAGTCACTATCTATCATTAATATATATATATATATATATATATATATATATATATATATATATATATATATAATTAAAACAAAGGCAATATCAAGGCATCCGTGCAGGAGCCTATATTGCCAAAAGAGATGGATAAGTCCCGTCCAATTAACGACGGTTTATACGTAAGTTTACAATGGGGTCGACTATTTTGGGCGTTTTGAGAAGGGTATATCCTATTAATTCTACCCCTCCAATGAAACTGATATTTGCATATAGGTTCATGTGCTTTACCAAGAAACTTCGAAGTAACACGACTGGTTATGAAAGGTTTCAGGGAGTCTGAGCTTCTTATCAGGTTCTGGGCGATTTCATCACTTGTTATAACAATAATGATAGTATGATATCATCGAATAGTTACTTTGTCTACATAATCTAAGTAATACGGTTTTTTCTGTTCGCGACACTAAATTACATTAAATCGAATTATCGCAAGCAGAGATTGAGTTCCGTTAAAACTTGGAACACATCTTAGTGACAAATGTGATCAAACATGAAAATGATGTTTAGCAACTATCTCATAACAAATTGAAGTCAAAAATTCCGCATTTTTTTTTACGGCATTCATTTCCTTTGGAAATATAAAATAAGAATAGCCAGTCAACAAACAATCAGGGATAGAATATCGTTTATTGAAAGTAAAACTATCATCCCTGCATGGTAGTTTATAAAGATATACAGGAATTCAAGTTAGTATTTATCATGGTTTGATATCAGTTGGAGAATCATTGAAAACCCAGAAGAACTGGATAGCTGTTTCGTCCTAACTAACATGAGACTGTTCAGCAGTGCGTATCCACTACCCTTAACACACCAGGGATCGAGTCGAAAATGGTCAAGAAGTTCTGTGGCGAACACTTTACCATCGAGTTACTAGATCGAAATCTGGTGGGAAACATTTTCCTACTTCGTTCAATCCTCAAAATACCGTGACCTTCATCTAACACCTCTTCTCAGTGACGATTTCTCATTAGAAACTTCAGGAAATCTCATCTCAAAGCATACCATTATTGAGCTGTTGACAGTAATTCACTATGAGGGTTTGTAAGGATTTTTATTGATTTCAAATTGATATTTCATTATCGACTTACATCAATTAGAGAACCATTGAAAACCAAGGAGTACTGGATAGCTATTAATTTCAATAGTGGGACCCAACCTCAATGTTTCTCAAACTGAAAGCAGTTTATGTTGAATTCCAATTTGAAATTAATTAAATATCTACAAACCATCTCTAAATTGACATACAAGAATAAATATTATTTGAAAATACTTTTTATATATTACCTAGAAGAATAAAATTACGCTCCAATTTATCCATTAGCATTTGCATAGCTTCTGTTGGATCTTCATTACCTGTTTCAACTTCGTAGACTTCTTTTAACCATTCATTGAGTTCATCTTCAGATAATAACTGTTTTAAAAGAGATAAGTAAACAAACTCTAAAACAATTATTTACATATTTATTCAAATGTCTTCTTAATCATATGAAATTCAATTGGTAAACTGTTTGTAAATATTTAACTACTATTCATCATGAATTCATTGTTTAGATGGAAAGATTTGATAATATGAACACAATAAAAGCTTCATTAGTCTTGATGGTTGCACCATAATTTAAAGAAGTAATAAAATATTGTCAGAAATGAATATTTCAGTGATATATATATACACAGAGAGAGAAAGAGACTAGCACCTTCAAAGAGCGGACAGCATCCCACGAGTCCTTCGACGAAGCCGTTCATATGGTGGTGTTACACAAGTGGGTTGTGTAAGTCAAGCGGTGTCTGTCTAGGATACCACATCTCCATTTCACTCTGTTTGCTGCAGTCCTCTTAAACCGGCTCCACAACTGCCCATAACCTTTCATTACTTCCTCATACCATCTCTTTCATGTCATCCTCCGAAAGCCAACTGGTAGTTTCCTATGCGGGTTACACTAGAGGACTTGACCTGACCTGACGTGTGATATCCCAAATCGTCTTCCTTTTCAGTGTATATCCAATCCAATCCATTTCCACTTCCTTCTGCACATTTGTTGGGAGATATACTCTTGGTTAGTTCGTTGCCAGCTAGAGTTCCTTGTTGCTTATTTTTACTATCCTGGCCATCCATCTGATCTTCATCTTCAGTATCAAGTGAGCGTAGGTGGAAGCTGCTGATGATTCACGTCTGTATTTGGTTGGAAATGTTTTTCATAACGCGCCAAGTTTGTGAATCATATAGAAGCGCTGACTTTACTGAATTAGTGTTGAAAGTCCGGATCTTGTTTTTTACACTGATTTCAGGTTAATGAAGGCCTATGTTGGTGTCTTTCCGATCCTGACTTTCACGTCTTCATCTGTACCTATGCCGCCTGAAGTTGAAACGATGCTGCCTAGGCAGGTAGGTGAAAGAGACTACTTCCTTTAGATTGCTCCCGTTGATGGTGATTGGTGCTTGTTGTTGTTGTTGCTGGTTGGGTATCTTTATAACCTCTGTCTTCCCTACGTTCACCTGATGGAAGTCCCGTCTTCGCTGTAGTACCTCTTCTATCAACTGGTTGGTTTTCGCCTGTAGAGATTTGAGTTTGTGTGACACCAGATACACGTCATCGGCGAAATCCAAATCTTCTTCTGGAGTCTTTTCACCGCTCCAGCAACTGCCTCTCTTCTCGCTCCTCACGGTTTGCTCATGATCCAGTCGACCATAATCAGGAAGATTATGGGTGACAGTAGGCAGCCTTGTTTTACTCCTGTCTTCACTTCAAAGGCGTCACTGAGCTTTCCATTGTGGATCACTTGGCATGTGGTGTCGTCATATGGCTGTTGAATGAGGTATATAAAGGTTTGTGGGAGTAAAACCGCAGTTGCCAAATTACTTCTCGGTCGACGCTGTCGAAGGCCTTTTCAAAACCGATGGAGTTGAGGTGGAAAGTTGACTGCTGTTCTATACTCTGTTCTGTGATGATGCGTAGCGTAGCGTTGCAATTTGATGCGCAGATGATTTGTTTTTCCTGAAGTCAGACAGCCTGCTCCGGTCGCAATTTTGAATCTAGAACATTTTTTAGTCTCTAGAGGATGATGCAGCTTAATATTTTGTTTAGGGTGGACAGTAGTATGATTCCGCGCCAGTTCTTGCAAACACTTAGGTCACCCTTGTTTGGGACTTTGACAAGGTAGCCCTTCTTCCACTTGACAGGTACCTTTCCTTCCTTCCTTCATTGCAACCCTTCTGCGATAGTGGTGTGAGCATGTCCGCTGTTGTCTCTGTGTCTGTTTTCATTGGTTCTGGAGGAATTCCATCTACTAATTCTGCTTTACCGACTTTCACCAACTTTATGGCGTTCAGGACTTTACTTCTGGTTTCGCTGCAGGGCTTGTGTTCGCTGATAGTTCTGTAGCTGCGCTGCTGGTGGTATTTGTGGACGAGTTGCAGGTGGTAGTGGTGGTTGTCGATTCAAGAGTTTTTGGAAGTGGTCAACCCATCGATTTCTTCGTTTCTCCCCTTTGGTAAGTAAGTTTCCTTCATTGTCTTTCATTGCATTCATCAGTGTTGATCTCTTCCCTCCTTAGTTATTTGGTATAATGTTGTCAGGTCTCTGTCTCTCCTACCTGCAGCCTGTTCTGTCCCACTTGCATGTGTGTCATAGAAGTATCTCTTGTCTTTGCGTGCACTCTTCCTCACTTCTTTGTCCAATGTTTTATACGTTGTGTCCAGTTCCTCTTTTCGTTGTTCATCCCTGCACTGCACTTCGCTGGTTCATCTTCTGCTTCACCACCTTCCTCTCCCTCCTCCATCAGCTTCCATGTGTCCGTGATGATCCATTCCTTGTCTTGCTTCTTCTTCCTTCCTAACACGGTTATGCAGGTTTCCTTCCACGTCTCTTTCAAAGAGTTCCAGTTTTCTACCAAGGAGGTTTCCTCGAGGATGTTGCCTAATGCCTCCCCATTTTTTCCTGATAGCTGATGTGAAGATGTCCTTTGAAGTTTCGTGCTTCACTTTCTGTTCTGGGTGTTCAGTAACTTGAACTGTTGCCTATCACCAACTTCCTTGAAGGTTTTTTGCACTAGATAGTGGTCTGAACCTACATCTGCTCCCCCTCGTGATCCTGTGTCCAGTAGGCTGCGTCTCCACTTCATAGAGATTGAGATGAAGTCGATGTGATTTTTGGTGTGTCCATCTGGTGAAGTCCATGTCGCTCGCTTTGTGAATATCCCTGTGTTTGTACACACTGTCTCGCCTCCAATCATCAAATCATTAAATACTCAGAAGTCTGCAAAACAGTTCTCCATTTTCGTTCATTTCACCGAGTGCTACTCGACCCATGATAAGTTCTTTCCCTGTGTTGTCCGCTCCCAATTCGGCATTCATGTCACCCCACCCATCAGAATTTTGATGTCGTCAACTGGGGCGGGGTCTTGTCCAGTACTGATTGCAGTTGTCTGTAGAATTCCTCCTTCTTCGCTTGATCTGCATTATTCGTAGGTGTGTAGTGTAGCATTGTATGATTTTGACTTTCCTTCCTTTTGAGTTGAGTTTTGCTGTCGTTGGTTCCCACTGCATGAGAACCTTCGATGCTCTTGTGGACATCATGACAGCTCGTGGTTGTCGTTTGGGTGACAATATCGGAGTAGATTATTGACTCTTCAGTTAAGAGTTTGGAGAGTCTACTTCCATTCTATCTACTGATTCCTCGCAGATTCCTAGTACTTCTATGCTGTACCTTCTCATCTCTTCTACAATCTGGGCAGCCTTGCTAGGTTCATACATAGTGCGGACATTCCATGTCCCTATCCTTACTTTTGCTTTCATCAAGAGAAGATACATAGGCCAATTGGGTTTCTGAAGGCTTTCACCAACCGGCGTCATTTCGTCTCTCCGATTTCAGCAAGGAATAAATTTATTTTTTACTTTTATATTTTCTTTCTTCCTTCAAGTTTCTTTAGTAATTGGATTGGTTTTACAGGGTAGGGTTGCTAGCCCTATCTATGGTCAACCTTCCCATTTTATCCAGGCTTAGGACCGACTAGTAGTAACTAGTTAACTAGTTAACTAGGCGAGGTTGTCAATACAATAGTCAACACTATATTATATAAGTCAACTTGAATTGGGTATGTTACTGACATGTTATATCTTTACGGTTACTAGGTCAAGCTGTAAACAATAGAATAGTAATGACTATTTTAGTTTTTCTCCATCTGGAAGAACTAAAACAAGATCAGTTGGCGAATTTCAACAATCTGGATTACGCACTGTAATAAAATCATAGTTTTACTGACTAATAGTTGTCAATTCACCAAACTAGATGAGTTAGGGTAGTAAAAGTCTTTTATTCTTATAGTCAGACAGTTTTAAATATACAACATACTACAAATTTATTCATATGCAGTTTAAATGATATTCTTCAAGTCTAGCTGAGACGCTTCAAACTATTTTATCTAGACCAAAAGACAGAACAGTCAAAGAAGACAAACCGAATATCATTTACAGAATCAATTACAGTCACTGTAGTCAACATTATATTGAACAAAGTGATCGCCCTCTTCACCTTCGTCTACATAAATACCAATTGGCTATTAAACGCCACAATATTTCATTACTCATTTCAATACACGTGGATAATCATGGACTTGAAGTTAATTTCGACAATGTAGAAAATCTTGGACGAAGAGAGGAAACACAAAGAACATCGTCAGAGAATTTCTAGAAGTATGGCATTCAAGCCAGTCAGTAATCAATAGATGTATAGACATAGACTCAATCTAACAACGAATAAGAAAAATGATAAACAACAGAAAAGTCAGAGGTCAGCTAAACCAGAGGAACAGCCAAGAGAAAAATCTATGCAGTCAATGATACAATAAACGAAGGAAACAATTAAGTACAAATTGATTCGTCAGGGCAACCTACTGAATCCCTGACGGAGAGATATTGAAAGCTCTCTTCATATTGTCGCCTAGAAAGATGATGAAAGCTTTAAGAATAAACAACTCAACTCAGAGAACACAATACAACCTGAGCTACAAATATTTCCAAAACATTATAGAAGTTTCTATTCATCTAGACTACACTCATGTTCATCCTTTGTAAAAAAAAAAATTCTGTCAACAAGGTGTGATTCAAGCAGTTAGGTCCTTAGCTCGATCTCTGCCATGACTCAAATTTTCATCTCACTTTTAAACAGAATTAGAGCTTAAAATATATTAAATAATTCTGTTTCTAAGGCACTATTAAAATATTTCAAGTTGTTATTCATCGAAGACTGACATCAGTTGGAGGAACAAAGGAAACCTGGGAGCACTGGACAGCTGTTTCGTCCTGGTATGGGACTCCTCAGCAGTGCGCACCCACGACACCACCAGTAGGGATCGAACCCGCGACCTTCAGGTTCCGCGGCCAGCGAGTTACCATTGAGCCACTGGGTCAGAATCCAATGCTCCATATTTCCAACTTCTGTTACCTCACGATATAGCGCAAACCGCCACCCAATGTCATCTTTGAGTATTTGTCCTCACGGCCATCAGGCTTTGACTCCACCGGTCACGACTTGTCATTGGAACTTCGGGAATACTTCTCGAAGCTAGTCGCCAACGAGCACTAGTTCAATTAAATTTTTGAGGGGGTTGTGGAGATTTGGAAATATTTCAAGTTGTTATTCATCGAAGACTGACATCAGTTGGAGGAACAAAATAGTTGAAATGATACAATTTCTAGTATATGAATTTATAGAAGTATGAAATAAGTAAAATAGATTGAAAATACTACTGACTTACTCTTTCAGCTATGACTAATGTTCTTAAACCTATACGAGAATATTGTTCAATATGCTGTTGTGTAGCAGTGATTAATTCGTGTGAATTTATCCCTTGACGATAGAATTCAGTTTATTGTTTGCATACATGTGTACAAAAGAGAATAAAGATAAGCAATACAACTTAAATATACATATATAATAATACCTTAACAAGAATAAGGCATATATATGAGCGAAGAAGAAGCATTTCTTTTCAACAACTTCATTATCAAGCTGGAAACGTAAACCTTTGAAGCAGTTCAATTTAACTTAGTAAATTATTTTAAAGGATGAATCTCGAGGTGTTGAGTATCCTAATTCAACAAAGTGTTCACATATGGATGAAGTTGTTTTCCTTTGCTCGCCTCTGGTAAGCCAAACCGGGTAGTGTTCAGCAACACATTTTCGGAGGGCCTGCTTACAACGTGCAATATAATCAGCTCCATAGGAGCATGTGAACTTGTAGATACATACAGACGAATCAGACGGTGGCGAGAGAATATCAATCTCAGTCTAGCAGCATAAAAGCTACTATTGATACATCTTGACAGACGATGTTCAGCACTTCGGCTGTGGTGTCTCCTTTGAATTCTAGATTCATGGTTAAAATTTTCTTAGAGACTATAATGGGATGAGGAGTGGTTCGTTTCTTCAATAAATCTCTTAGGATATCCGTTACTAGATAGTATTGTTCGATTTCAGCATCCACCGTATATTCCGAACATATTCCATAGATTCTGGAACACAGTGAGTGACTGAGATTTCTCTTACAACCAAGAGGTACCCAACTAAAAAAAGTTAGTGAAATTGGTTTTCGATATACGTCTCGTTTTGTTAATGAATAAATGGGTATATATAATTCCGTTAAAGGAGTTGATAATGATATTTTCCACACCACAAACTAATGAGATATTCGATACTACGGTGAATTGAATAATCATATGATCCTGGTTTACTATTTTCAGACACTATACTTTCATAACCTTATATGAGGCTGAGTTTAGGATCTTCATACCTTAACAATGGGTATGTATTTGTCAAGATATTGAGTTAAAATCGAATGGTTTTCATTTTCAGCAATGGAATACTGAAAAAATCCATCTACAAGAAAGTCATATAGAATGGTTAGCTTACTAATTTCTACAGTTGGATGCTAATCATGAGGAAAAGAAATTTCATTCACTCACTCTATTATCGAATACATAATATTTATAGCATAGACTGTATGAAAATTGAACTTGATTTTCTAAGAACGGATACATACGAAAAACACCAAGCCTAACAGATTTATTTCTTGATATGAATAAGCAAGAAAGATATGCAAAATCCTTTATCAGATCCATTTCTAAAAAGATTTTGTTTACGAAAATGAAAGGATGAAAGGAAATACATCAGAAGTTCATTCTGTGAGCATTTGATCGATTCTAACTATTCAACTGACCTAACACAATGATTTTAAGGTTGTCTATCGAATTCGCATAAACCTAACACATTTCTTTCATCTTCAACCAGTAGAGGCTTTTGGTTATCGATGAAATAAAGCCTTGCGAAAAAAAGTAAATACAGTCTTTGTCTCGTTTAATATTTGGTGTTATTCGATCATTGGATTTTCCTAATAATTACAACTTTAAGAAAACATTTTTTCAATTTATTTCAATTAACTTATATCATTGATATTTCCTAATCATTTCCAACTTATTGTAATCTATATGCACCACATTATAGACGATTTAAAAATCTTATATAACCCCTTTTGTTATCATCCATTTCATTATACTGATCACTAATCATCAATATAATGCTCTCCTTCTCTTCTAATTCAGTTAGATTTGGATGAGAAGTCCTGACTGCTGGCAGCCAGTGTGAATACGATCAAGTGGTAGTAACACATCACTAATTCACATGGTAGTCAGGCAAAACCCATAGTGACTGAAGTCTAGTTAGTAGTCGGATATCGTAGCTCAGTTGGTAGAGCATAGGGCCGGTAACCCAGTGGTCATTGGTTCGATTCCAGTAGCGGCTGAAATTTCCATTTCACCTTCAATCATCATCTAGTATATACACATATACGAATGTTCAGCTTGAGTATAAATTCGTTGAAAAGTATCCCCTTCGCTGAATATCTTGTTTTGGATTCACATGATTATATGTTGTGTTATTAGTTGGTGCGCATAGCTGCGAATTCTCCTCAATACACTTTTAAACGACTTTCTGATACTCTAATAACTTTGAGCGGTCTCTAGGCCAACATTAAGTAGTAATTGAAGATAACCTTCATCTGTTAATGACACATCGAAAATCCATACATATGTCCAAGTCGTTTCCATGTCGAGTGGAACAAGTTGTTATTTTACCAGTATATAAGAATTTAAGTTATAATAAGGTATTTCCTATGTTGAAAATTAACGGTTATGTGTTTTCACTTAGAAAACACAGTCATAGACCAACATGAAGGAAATTTAAATTGTCAAATTGAAAACAAACTGGCCGACTAGTATTTCTATTAGACAGAAGTAATGACAAGAATTTTATGATGAAATTAAAATCCTTGGTAAATTACTACGTTTTAGTAAGAAAAACATATCGGTGACTGTATTTTGATGATGAACATCAGGTTTATTCGGAGTTGATACACTACTGGCAGTTTGAGGAAACTTGAGTGCTGATTGAGTTGTGAGGGCGGTTGACACTTCCCGGCTGCCCATACCGTGGAAGGCTATTTGTTTTTAAGTTACCTGAAAGAGATTTGTGTGACCGCAGAGTCCATCGGACATCTACTTGGTTATTTTGCACTTTTGTATTATTGGGCCGGATGGTCGAAAACAAAAGCCAAATGAAGCAACACACGATCCGGCAGACCGTGGGGTATGTGGAGTATGTTATTTTGGGAGCCGACCTTTTCTACCCCCCCCCCTTTCCACTGAGAAGACAACATCGGCATGGCACTGTCGATCATCCAAGGAAACACCTTACTGCTGTCACACCCCATCCAGCTAGCAGCAGTACGACTTCGCCCTCAGACCCCCATTATAGTGTAGCAATTTACATCACAACGGTAACTGCTTTTCGTCTAACCACTATCTAACAGACCTTTATGGTATGGTAGGACCTCGAGAAGAAGCGTTCCACCAGCATAGCTCGTTAGGTCATTGTGATATGTGAGCTAGACCACCACGTCAAGGTAGTAGCTATCGGTCAGTCTGCAGCTTGTTGCAAGTGCTTTTCGTGACGCGCCAAGTTTTTGAACCATATAGCAGCACTGACTTGACTGGATTGGTGTTGAAAATCCGGATGCTATTGACACATTATGCTGAGTGCAGTGCAGTGCAGGCAGAAGATCTCCACACTGGTTTCAGGCTAATGGAGCTTGTCTTGCTTTTCAGATCTTGTTTCGACATCCTCATCTGTGCCACCTTCAGTTTTAACGATGCTGCCTAGGTAGGTGAAAGTGGCCACTTCTTTTACATTTGTCCGTTCATGGTGATTGGTGCTTGTTGTTGTTGATGTTGTTGTTGGTTAGGTATTTTCATCACCTCCACCTCTGTCTTCCTATATTCACTTGAAGTCCCGTCTTCGCTGCCTCGCCTCTTCTGTCAACTTGTTAGTTTTCACCTGTAGATCTTCAAGTTTGTGTCACATTCGACACAAGTCATCACTGGGGAAATCGAAATCTTCTTCTAGGTTCTTTTCCCCTGTCCAGCGTATCCCCCTCTTCTCGCTCCCCACTGTTTTCTGCATGATCCAGTCCACTACAATCAAGAATATCATGGGTGATAGCAGGCAGCCTTGTCTTGCTCCTGTCTTCACTTCACTTCACTTCAAAGGCATCACTAAGCTTTCCATTGTGAATTACCTGACATGTGGCATCTTCACATAGCTAGTTTTGGAATGAGATTGATAAAGATTTGTTGTATTCCGTAGTGTTGAAGCAACTGCCAAATTACTTCTCGGCCGACGCTGTTGGAGGCTATATATATGGTTAGGTTTTATTTTTTAGAGTAAAACCTGAAGTGGATCTAATTAAAAACAGCATTGTTCGATTATATCTGTTTTGTTTTAAAGGTGAAATCTTTCAGGTTTTAGTTACTTAGATGTTCATTCGATTGATAGGATTCATCTTATCCTTTCTACAAATTTTATTTCACTATAAGATTCTGTCCGCAAACCTTTATCCTCCTCATTCAACAACTATATGAAGATGCCACATGCCAAGTAATTCACAATGGGAAGCTCAGTGATGCTTTTACAGTGAAGTGAAGACAGGAGTGAAACAAGGTTGCCTACTATCCCCCATGATATTCCTGATTGTGGTGGACTGGATCATGCAGCAAACAGTAGGCAGCGAGAAGAGGGGGATACACTGCTGACCGCGGAAAAGAACCTAGAAGACTTGGATTTCGCCAACGATGACTTGTGCCTGATGTCACACAAACTTGAAGATCTGCAGGCAAAAACTAACAAGTTGATAGAAGAGGCAGCGAAGATGGGACTTCAGGTGAATATAGAGAAGACAGAGGTGATGAAGATACCGCACCACCACCACCAACAACAACAACAAACTCCAATCACCGTCAACGGGAGAAACTTAAAGGAAGTAACCTCCTTCACTTATCTAGGAAGCACTGTTTCAACTACAGGCGGAACGGATGAGGACGTCAAAGTCAGAATCGGAAAAGCAAGACAGGCGTTCATTAGCCTGAAACCAGTGTGGAGATCTTCTGCAGTCAGCATGCAGAACAAGATACGGATTTTCAACATCAACCCATTCAAGTCAGTGCTTCTGTGTGGTTCAGAGACTTGGCGCGCTAGTAAAGGGATTTCCAATAAACTACACACATTCATCAACAACTGCTTACGCTGGCTCGATACTGAAGATCAGATGGATTGCCAGAAAGAATAAGCAACAAGGAGCTCTGGGAACAAACCAACCAAGAAGCTATCGCTGAACAAATATGCAGGAGGAATGGAGATGGATTGGGCATGCACTGAGAAGGCCGACTGAGGACATCACGCGTCAGGCCAGTTGCTCGAGTGGAATCCCCATGGGAAGCGACGAGTTGGACGTCCCAGCTGAGGGTGACATGGAGGAGGTCGTGCGAGGAGGAAATGAGAGCTTCTGGGCTGTCGTGGAACCAGGTTGAAAGATCTCAGAGAACAGAGTGTACTGGAGACGTGCTACTGAAGCCCTATGTTCCACTAGGAACCCAAGGGACTAATAATAATAATAAGATTCTGTAATATAGATAGATAGTTATACGAAATACTTAAGTGAAGATTCTTACCGGTATTATCTAAACGATTCATAATTGATGAATCAGCTCCTTTTGTAAATAAGATTACTTCATTAGTATATGGATGACGAAAAAGGATTGACATTCGTTTACGCTGTGAATCGAATGGTAGGATACGTAGAACATGAATGCATACAAGTCCATCATCTGGATAATTGAAAAAAAACGAAACACAACAGATAAAGATATCGAAAAAAAATATTACAGTATAGCAATAATGAAATGTATACAAAGGAAAAATGAAGTAACCATATGAAATTCTCAGTTGTAACTCTATAATTCGAAAAAGTAAGATAGGCCTTCATCAATCTGAAGTCAGTATGGAGATCTTCAGCACTTCACTCAGCATAAATCATGAACAACATTCGAATGTCATTCAAGTCAGTGCTTCCACTTTATGGTTGAGAGACTTGGCGTGCCACGAAAAACATTTCCAACAAACTACTAACATATATCAACAGCTGCCACCTACGTTCACTCGATACTGAAGATCAGAAGGCCAGAATAATAAGAACAAGCAACAAGGAACTATGGCTGTCAACGAACCAACCGACCAAGAAGCTATCACCCAACAAATATGCCAATGGATTGGACATAAACTGAGAAGACAATTGTCGCTAGACCAGGCCAGGTCCTCGAGTGGAACCCGCATGGGAAACGACGAGTTGGGCGTCTGAGGGTGACATGGAAGAGATGGTGTGAGGAAGAAATGAAAGCTTCCGAGCAGTCGGGGAGCCAGTTTGAAAAGACTGTAGAGAAGAGAGTGAAATGGCGACGTATTACTGAAGCTTTATATTCCACCAGGAACCCAAAGGACAAATAATAATAATAATAATGATGAAGGAAATAGAGTAAAGAAGTCGAACAAAAGCTATCCACAGGTAGTTTTATCAGCAATTTTGTTTAGCGTGTTGCTGACGTTGTATAAACCTTTGTTGAATTATTTCAAAGATTACGTTGTAGGTTGTATTTGAAATTTGGTGGAGTAGGCAATAGGATTGAAATAAATGAACACCTGGTTTAGAAACTTAAATATAACCGAAGAGGATGTATTGATTAGTCACGGAAGTGCAAACAATTTTATGAGTGCAGACCGAATCCTATCGATCATATTTGCAATGTGACAACCAGGCTAGGAAGCTCAGCATCACGGTGTATATTAGTAGATGTTAGTTGGTTGGAGGCAATCGACAGGAAGCCTGTGATGTTGAGCTTTCTAGCTTGGTTGCCACATTGCAAATATGATCGATAGAATTCGATCTGCACTCAGGAATTGGTTGCACTCCTGTGACCAATCAATATATGTAAGCCAATCTTACAGCAGGTCACTCATGGCCCAAATACCTCAGTGGTAAAGGCGCTAACCACAGCACTGGGTGACGTGGGTTCGAATCTCAGGTGGGGCATCGGTTCTGTCGAGGTTGCAGAAAAGCCTTGCTGACGAGTGCCAAGAAGCACGAAACCCAGGTCTAGGGCTTTCTGCTGATTGCCTCTGTCCAATTAACAACCGAAGAGGATGATTGGGTAAAGTATGGCTTACCCAATGTTTGTGTACACACGTATGGGAAACCACAAATTCTTCGTACATACATAGATGACCAAAATACGAAGACAAAGGACAGATGAGAAAAATCTATTCTAGGAGTTATGCAAAAATATGTGACACTAGATACCACAGTATATCTATATGCTTCTATTTGAAATGGGTTACCCCTATTGAGCTGCTGTTTATACAAAGCACATCGTTGATTGGACAACTCTGGTTTACACAAACAACCTTGAAAATATATGGAGTCCTTTTGAGAAGTTCTAAAGACCTTTAACGGCATCAAGAGCGGAAATGCCCTCAGTATCATTGAAGTGAAGTGGCAATGCATAGAGTGGTATAGTTTCAAAGATGCTAAAACAAGCAAAACATTTATTAATAGTAGATAAAGTACCTTTTTTTTTTTAATAATTACACTATCCTTTATATTCTTCATTCTGATTGGATAGTGCATACTTGAAGGTGATTGGCTGTCACTAAAGTTTAGTTCTACCCAATGTATGAGTATGCACCACATACTGACTTTCAAGGCAGAAATGTGTTGCATGTATGAATTTGCGCTTGATCAAGACTTATGCAACGGTATTCTCATTGGTTATTTTTATTCTGCGACTTCACCCATTACTATATTTCTGTTGGTTATCATTTAAGTACAACTGAGTCTACGCTACTGCAACAATATTAAAGTAACTGCAGGTATTTACTGTGTTACTGAGAATATGAAAGGTACCTGGCGAATTGCTTATGTAAAAAGATACGCATCATACGTGAAATCATTGTTCTTACTGCATTATTCTAGAGTCAATGAATTCATAGTTCAATATCGAAATCCGAACATATTTATCCATCCAATCTAACCTTACAGGTTGCAGATACTCCTTATTGAACACTGTCAAAAAGCCTGAAACCTATCTCCAGTCCTTCCTGCTGACATCCACTAAAATGTATTCCCATGGTGAACCTTCTAGCTTCGTGGCCTCATTGCAAAATATTCAGCAGAATTCAGTTGATACCCAAGACCCCATAACTTGAAATTGGCTGCTCTTCAGTATGTACTCATCAAATGATTTTTCATATTGTCATTTAGATGAATATGATTCAACTGTATAAATTTCACTAGCCCATGTTCTTATTGTAGCTTGATCCAAGTTATATTAGATGTTTAGGAATTGTCCTGGTGCGAACTTGACAGACGCAAAGACCAATCACTAATTATTCAAACTTGTTATATACCAACGAATATGAGACCGAGAAAGAACACAATAGCGTAGTTGGATGGAATAGTATATTTACAAGATTGTGCCAAGATACCGATGAGTTCCAACTAACTGGCTAGAGAATCGATTAAGAGCAGTGCAACGTAACACGACAGCGTACTAAATGGCGAGGATGCTTAGCGAGTCCAGTTAAACTATCAAGATCAACATCAGTGTTGAATCTCGTCAAACCCTAGGCTATTGATTTTGGGGAAGTGTTTGACGCTTTAGATGAAACAGAGTGGAGAGGGAAATTGAGCAAAGAGGAAGAGGAAATACACCAATCAAGTTGGTTACAACATGTGTTATGTATGCCCATTTACTAATGATATCAACATGATTGATGAACAACCTGAATTTTATATATTGATACAGTTTTGTGCAATATGTTTACCGAGATAGCTGATAATATCCTTTATCTATTCACTAGTTATGACCACATATTTTATACTACATGATTACTTTCTAATATTTCTGTGGGATGTGTATCACCTGATTCATTTCAGAATAATTGCAACTTGAATTTTATCATCCTGTATAATATTTGTAGTTAACCATAGTAAATCCGTTTAGTTGACTGTATGGTTCAGTCGGCGCCATCGGATATCAGGAAAAAAAGGAAGCTAAATATGAAAAACTAGTTACATTAGTACCTACGTTGATTTCATGTACCCTTATGAAGACTGTTTACAGATTAAACTGATGCTGAATAAAAGAGTTATGAATGAACCTTGAACAGAAGAAACCTTATGTAAAGACGGAAAAAAAAACATTCGTTTGTTATGCACTGAATAACAGAGAACTAATCGGTATAGTAGTTATTTAAGTAAGGATGATAGGCAACATTGAAAAAGTATGAATCTTATTAGCAGAATACGGTAATAAAGTAATATCTTGAAATTAGTGTCAGTGACTTTATCATTTTTCAGGAATCTAAGAAAGTATCTGAAGTAATTTACTGACAACAATTACAAAAGGAAATCAAGGAAAATGGTCGTTGGAAGGTGTTAGACATCATGTTCAAACAATTTTTTTTAGCAGTAATACAATACTACTGAAATAAGCAGGTGAGATATGCACAGTTTCGACAATCCAGATGCAAAACATAAGTTTTTCGCTGAATTGTTAATACACCTGTACAACGAATAAACAAACAAACCTACTGCTGACATCAGTGATTAGTTTAGAACTACTTATGTGGTCTCTGAATGCCTCAGTAGACAGTTCAACCGATTGAAAGTGAAGTTAACTGTGAATTGGTCACTAAATTGTTCAGCAATCAATAACAGTCACTTTCAAGCTTCATATGCCTAGAGACAAAAATTAATGTCTACTTCATTCTGTCATGAACAAGTATGTAAAAAAAAAATTTTCTGATACACTTACTTGGTAACCATAAAAGTGTAAAATCTACACCACGCTGTAGTAATTTATAGCCCCATTTACATGCTTCTTTCACTAGACATAATTCATCTGGACTTTCTGATTCATATGAAGTGAATAACGTGCTATCAGATAATGGACATTTTTTCAAATCTGATGGATTTTGTGCACATACATCTTGTTCAACTGGCAATTGAAATGAACTACCATTATGTATAATAACTGTCAGTGTTCTAGACGTGTTTAAATCTATGTCTTCTTCAGCTGTTTTCTTTTCATTATAAGTATCTTTTTCAAGGTCTAGTTTTAATTCACTTTGATAAATATTGTTTGTACTATCGTCATATTGTTCCATTGTTATATCTGTACTCAAATCCAAACCGAACTCCACAGATCCTAGTGATTCGAAATCTATAATGAGAAAGGATTGATCAAAATTCATTTGAAAAATTATGCTACTTAACGTAATTAAGTAGTAATAGAGTGACTACTGAATTTTTAAGCATACTTGTGATTTCATCCATGCTCGCTTATCATGAGGATATTCAGGTAATTAACTAGATATAATGCTTTCACATTACAAATAATCACAGCAATAGAGTGACAAAGGCTTGAACCTCCCTCCGGCTTTCTGTATCGTTGCCTTGATCATCCGCTTAGAATTTCTGAGCGTCAGCTGCTTCAAAACTACGGAATACAACAAATCTTTATCAATCTCATTCCACAACTAGCTTGATTGTAGTCGACTGGATCATGCAACAAACAGTGGGGAGCGAGAAAAGGGGGATACGCTGGACCGGGGAAAAGAACCTAGAAGAAGATTTCGATTTCCCCAGTGATGACTTGTGTCTCATGTCGCACAAACTTGAAGATCTACAGGCGAAAACTAACAAGTTGACAGAAGAGGCGAGGCAGCGAAGACGGGACTTCAAGTGAATATAGAGAAGACAGAGGTGGAGGTGATGAAAATACCTAACCAACAACAACATCAACAACAACAAGCACCAATCACCATGAACGGGACAAATGTAAAAGAAGTGGCCACTTTCACCTACCTAGGCAGCATCGTTAAAACTGAAGGTGGCACAGATGAGGATGTCGAAACAAGGATCTGAAAAGCAAGACAAGCTTCCATTAGCCTGAAACCAGTGTGGAGATCTTCTGCACGGCACTCAGCATAATGTGTCAATAGCATCCGGATTTTCAACACCAATCCAGTCAAGTCAGTGTTTCTATATGATGGTTGAGAGACTTGGCTTGTTATGAAAGGGATTTGCAAGAAACTGCAAATATTCATCAACAGCTACTGCCTACTCTGTCTCGTTACTGAAGATCAGATGGAATGCCAGAATGATAAGAATAAGCAAGAAGGAAGTCTGACTAGCCTGTTAGCGAACCAACAAAGCGAGAAGCTGTCGTTCAACAAATATGCAGTGGGAGGAAGTGTAGATGGATTGGGCATACACTGTGAAGGCCGATTGGGGACATGAGACAGGCGCGAGGCCAGTTGCTTGAGTGGAACCGCGATGGGAAGCGACGAGTTGGGTGATGGTGTATGAGGGTGACATTGAAGAGATGGTGTGAGGAAGAAATGAGAACTTGTGGGCTGTCGTGGAGCCAAGTTCAAAAGATTTCAGAGAACAGAGGGAACTGGAGACGTGCTATTGAAGCACTATGTCCCACTAGGAACCCAAGCGACAAATAAATAATAATAATTGACATCCTAATAGATGGTGTATACCACTAGAGATTTCTATGCACAACAGACTTATTGTAAGTAAGACGAAGAAGTGCAAATAAGCAATGCTTGTTTAGTTTTCGTTAATCTAAACTATTGATCGTATCAGCGTAATATCTGAATACATAATGTGAGTTAACAGCAATCCTCTGTCTAGAACTAAATAACCTCGGTGGAAAAATGAATTTATGAAGGTTAAAAATATTTGATCATAAATTATTGGTAATATTACTAGCCAATAACAAGTTCATTCATTATATAAGCTATCTGGAGGTTAGGGTATTGAGTGCGAGAAGTAAGCCAGCTGACGAGATCATGACCTTATTAGAGAATAAGACCATTGTTACATTTGCCAGTCACATGATCTTTAGGAGTCATAACGTGTCGCTTAATATACTGATCACTTCTCTTAGTCTTCCAAAAAGTCTCATAATTGGCTATTAATAAACAGTATGAGACAAAGAGTCAATGGGACAATATTCGTAACACACCTCTAAGTAACCGAAGTTGGTGTTCCCAAATGACTTCAATCGATAAATGACGACCTCCGTTAGACAAACACATGATGCATGACACAAAAACTACTTACGCATTCCTCCCATCAGATACAATGGTGATCAAACACACACAATCGTTCGAAATCGTCAGCTCAGCTCACATAACTACCTAAATACACGAATCTTTCGACAATTTCCAATAGTTGATCTTCACAAGTGAGTGTAGGTACAAGACTTTGGTCAATCTTGAAAGATTCTCTAAACATAGTCAGTGAAAAGTTTATACCATAATTAGGCACACTGACTGTCAGCAGATCAAGTGCAATTTGAGTGATTCATGCATTGTTGTACAGTATTATGATGTCTTTCATATAGTCTACGTCAAAAACGCTTTTTCTGATAGATCCATGTTGACACCACTACAAAGTATTAAGAGTTGTCTAATGAATTTTCTCGGTGAAAGAGGTAAGTAGAACTGGTAAGACAGTTCTGCGTGGGAACATTGCAAATAGGTAGGTTTGCAACCACACTCTAAATGAGATACTTTTAGATGGCTCATTAAAATGCAGTCCTTCGATATGGTATTGAAGAATTCAGTAATATAGTTCAAAGGTACTGCATTAGCGGATCATATATTCACAAGTGAGAAATAATTTCAGAATACCAAATCCTTCACTCTCATTGCTTAGTTTTTGCTCTTTAGGGCCAAGTCATTTTCTGACTACGTAAGTAATTCCCATTATCAAATCAATTTCAACTACCTTTGATTATAGGTATGACTTTACAGCCTTCAAAAGTTGCATTGCCAGAAAGAGACGTTTGTGCTGTCACGTTTGTATTTTTTCCGTAAGTTTGTATTTTGACGTTACTATTTTACTCTTTTTGTGTCTACAAATTTATACTACTTGCTATTATTCAGTACTACAACTCATCTTCCCTCATAATTTGTCATCGTCAGCAGTTATTTGATTACAATAAGATTCCATTTTGTTCAGTATACCATTCTAGTATCTTGGGATCTTTCCCATTTCACAACTATAGTGTACGAGTCGTTTCTATGATTTTAATCTTTCTTGAATATTTGTTTATCTCAAGCAGTTCACTTTATCCGGTGAATTAGAGACAGCTTTGACATTTTCAACAATGATTCGCTTTGGATACTAATCCTGTGCTTATTTTATTGACGAACTTCCTGTAAAGTCCTGAAGCTAGCGATAATCTCGCAGACACCATATGATTTGGTGTTTACAATTAATCAATCATTATTGTTATTCATCATAACAGAACGGTACTTAAAATAAACTATGTGCTTTGTAATTTTTACGCGTCGCATGAGTGTTTTTTTATTTGTCAAAGAGTCAATCAACTAATCGTAGTTATTTCGAATTTCTATAAAGAGATTTGCGGCGTCTACGTCCTCTAAGTCTGGGCGATTTTCCATGAATATCTTAAGCAGATGATTTAACATACTGATTACTGAAAGGGCAACTGAGGCATAAACAATTTCATAAGAGCTTGAAAATTCTTATCAACCTAAGAATGTGGTGTTATATTTCACGTGGACCCATTTTATTAGATATTGAAGAACCTTGCTATTAAAATTCAAACAAACTTACAGAACAGACATTATGACACTGTTTACAATTCAATATCCAATTCATTCACGTAATGGATTACCACAGGATGTAAGTTATAACCTTCATAATTGATTTTTGTTGTACTGCTTACTGAATTATTATTATTTGTAATTTGGGTTCCTAGTGCAAAACAGGACTTCAGTAGCACGTCTCTATTTCACTCTCCAGTTCTCTGGAGTCTTTTGAACCTGGCTTCACAACTGCCCATTGCCTTCCATTTCTTCCTCATACCATCACCTTCATGTCACCCTCCGACACTCGCCAAACTCGTCGTTTCCTATCTGGGTTCCACTCGACGGCCTAGTCTGGCACATGATGTTCCTAAACAGTCTTCTCGGTGTATGTCCAATCCAATCCATCTCCACTTCATTCTTCATATTTGTTGGGCGATAGTTTCTTGGTCGATTGGTTCATTGACAGCAACAGTTCCTTGTTGCTTCTTCTCATTATTCTGGCCATCTATCTGATCTTCAGAATCCAGTGAACGTAGGCGGTATCTGCAGTTTGTTAGAAATACTTTTCATAACGCGCCAAGTCTCTCAACCATCACGTGGAAGCACTGACTTGAGTGATATTAGTAGTGTTGAAAATTCGGATGTTGTTCAGGTTTTATGCCGAGTGCATTGCAGTCGATCTCCACACACTGGCTTTGATATTCTTATCCGTGCTGCTGACTGAATAACAGTAAGCAATGAATTCAACTATTTCACCACTACAGGAGGTCAATAATCGTGACCTGAATACCTCAGTGGTCACTTACTATGGCAACAGTTGATACGGATTTGATTTTCAGACTGGACACCAGTACCACAGACTGCAGGTGGATTTTGCTGGTGAGTGCCAAGAAGAACGAAACTTAATACTAGAAATTCCTGTCAATCGCTTTCAAGTAAATTACGTTGTCTATTATTTGATACCTTGTAGTGCCAGTGATCATACATAGTAATGTTAGATATTTGGAACAGTTTTAAAGATCATCCTGGCAACTGATGAAATAACCAATCAGGTTTTAGTGTTTTGACTGAGAAGGTAGAACTTCATAAAATAAGGAAATGTAAGTGGTTTTATTTAATCAGTTGTTAGACTGATCTTAGAAACTATTCGATATTTTAAGCCCTCCTTAAGATAAGAGACAGAGAGAGAGAGAGAGGATGAGGATTGAATCACAGAGACTCACCTGATTGTTGTGTATACTGTGAAGGATGTTGTCGATTCAACTTCTCTGCAGAAGCACTACGTTGTTCACTGTTAGTAAGGCGTGAACCACTTAAAATATGCTGTGAAGCTTGTAATGATATATCTAAGTCTAATGCTTCAATAACAGGCGGTAGACAATGACTTGATAAAAATAATACTGGTTCTTTATTATCATTATTACTATTATTATAGTTTAAGTAATTTAATTGTTCTTTGAAGGTTCTTGCAGAATTGCTACATATCACACTGATTTTCTTTGTTTTATTATTGTCATTATTATGATTATGGATTGTTTCATTCGAAAAGTTTGTAACGATATTCTCCAACAATTGATTAGTATTATCATAATTATTACAAGTAGGAGCAGTAGTAGCAGTAGGACTACTTGACTGAATAGGATTATCCTCTAATTTAGAGACAATATCATCGATAATTATTGTTTCTTGACTAATATTTTCTTGTTCTTCATTCCTTATATGGTCAATAATATTAGTAGTTGAAGAAATATCATTTATACTGTTATTAACAAACATATTAGTTGACTGGTTATTATCATTATTATTACTATTACTATTATTATTGTTAATGTTATCATCATTTCTATTTGTTATCATTTTATCAGGTTTAGTTAAACGAAATTTACGTGAAAGTATACTGGATAAGCTAACTGCATGTTTAATATGTTTCACTTTGTCATTAGAATTGTAATGATTTTCAATGGTAGGTATTCTGTCTACACATGAATTCATTTGTATATTAGTCGATTGTTTAGTTTTACGCATTTTATTATGCATATGTGTAACAGAATTTATTTTACCAGAACGAAATAAATCACGAAATCCTTTACGACGTGATGGAACTTGAAACTGTAGAAATAAAAAAAAATAGAAAAGAAGTAAATGAAATAAACTTGACTATTAGTAAACTTTCTACTGATTATATTTCATCAAAAATTTTTCCTCTTCCTCATCAGTTTTAAATATCTTCTGTATGTACCAGGTACTACACCAGTACGTTTTTGATAAAAAAAAAAGAAAAAAATGTTTACGAACTTTCATTACTCAAGCTTAGAACAAAACAAAGGTAAAACATTCTACTATTTGGAATACTTAGGATACCTATCTGTATAAGGTTATGAATTTCTATACTGGCTCACTGGGCTGAACTGTCACCATCATTAATTACACTCGATTTTGTATTAATTTGTGAATCAAGAACACTTATCCTTATGTAATACTAACTATCCGTTTCATACTTCACCATTGTTATTATTATTATTATTATACAAATGTAATAATAATGGTTACGACATGATGAAACTTGAAATTAAGGAATATAGAGGTTAAAGAGATACACTGCATGACTTTTCATTTTGAATACTGCTACAAAACAAGAGTATTGTCTAATATAAGTGTAAAACTTGAGCACTTTCGTAGAAACTAAATCCATATTAGATTTGTTTATTTGATTTATAACACACAGTGAGTGATCTAGTATTACCTATTTACTTGATGACAACATTTCGAGCATAAATTACTCATTCCTCATAATCATATCAATGTGTAATCACACACAGAACTATCGACATTCGATCTCTATAGTTATGTCACTTTATATGGGTTGTTTTTATTGGTAGTAAAATTTTCCATATCTCTGGTACAGATGCATGTTATGTCATTTCTATTACATGTGTTCACTGAGTGTTGATTCGATGAACAAAGACTCACTAATCAATCTCTCTCAATCTCCACATAATTATATTCGATTGAAACATAGTGGGTTCATCCCACTGACCCTATTCTGTGCTTGTGTGTTAATGCATGCATAGCAATAGCCCAGTTTTTTTTTCTAGATTATTGATCTTATTCACCTCTGTCATTCTATATTTAGCTAAACTCCTATGTTCAACTATTCTAACTGACCCCGACCGACTAGTTTGACCTATATACTTGACCTCACAGTCATTACATGGAATTCGATAGATTAGATTATTTTACTTAATTAGTTCTATCGGATCCTTAAGCCAACAGAAAAAGTTTATCTCTCAGTGAGGTTGTAGGTTTAAATATCACTCTCAATTCCAGCTCTGTTGAGGATCCTACATAAAGTTTCTGAGGTACCCTCCTTATAGAGTAACACAATGGAGGCTGTGAGCTCCTTTTTTCTCGTGTTGTCGTTATTAGTCGAACTCATGTGACTGTTATATTTTTGTTTTTTGTGTGTCCGTAAGAATTTCTTAATAAACTGTGGAAGATAATTATTAACTATTAGCACTTCTTTTACTTGTTTCAATTCCTTGTTCAGGTTCTTACTCTGACTAGTCAGTTTTCTACCTCTATCATTTACATCTTTCACTAATCCTGCTTTAACTGACTGACATCGGATGGGATGATATGAAATCTAGATACCTGTTGGAATGTGTTAGTTTTCTGTAGACAGTAGTATCTAAGCCACCGCCTGTTCTTCGTTTCATTCTACAATCCAACATACATAGTTCTCCTTGTTCATTTCCTACCTCCCCGTAAGTGAATCGGATAGCGTTTACTACTGAGTTTACATATGTGATGAGGCTGTCGATATGTTCCTATTTCAACACAGTAGTGAATGTGTCATCCACATATTGCCACCATATCTTAGATGCTGGACTGATTCTTTGTAAAGTCATGTTATCCCAACTATCCATAAATATATCTGCTACGATTGGGGATATTGGCGATCCCATTGCTACTCCTTCTCTTTGTCTGTATATTTTGTCCTGAAACTTGAAGACTGTGGAGGTCAGGAATAACTGTATGCCTAATATAATCTCATCAACCGATATCTTAGTTCTGTGAGCAAGTTCTGAGTCAATATTTAGTTGACTTCTGATTGCCTCAAGTGCCATGTTGATTGGTATTTTAGTATACAGACCAGTTACATCGAAGCTGACCATTTTTTCATCTTCTTCCATGCGTAGGTCATTAAGCCTAAGTTTTAACTCGTAAGAGTTTACTAGTCTGGAATTTGAACGGTTCCTAATAGGGCACAATATTGAAGGTAAATACTTTGCTAGTTCATATGTTGTTGTATTGTCTACTTCAGTATGAAATACCTGAGTAGAAATCTGTCAGCTGCTACTGAAGGTAGACGTCCCACTAATCAGGAATAGCATAGTAAATAATAAGTTTGATTTGTTGTAATTCATATCCCAGAAATAAGAGATCTCAGTTCCATTTTAGTCGGTTTGTCAGAAATATCACACAATGAAGAAACAGTATCACTTTCTGGATAACATTTTGGACATGGTTTATTCTCCATCATTGTTTCGATAACACAAAGATTCAGTCGGTTATGAATTTCTTCCTCCATCCACCCAACTAAGTTTTAACGCTGTCGCTCTATCCTACTCTACTGTGTGATTATGTGTCATCGCATGCAGAATTATAACCGAGCTTTTCTCCAACTTGCTTATCTGATTAGCATCTAATTATCTCGATTTATCTGAGTTTTTGTGGTGTTTTATTCTAACCGACCCTTGTCGACTACTTTGATCCATATATTTCACCTCATAATCGTAGCAAGGGATTTGGTAAACCAGATTATTTTGCTCAATTGCATCGATAGGATCTTTCAATCTACAAGGCTTGTTTCTAAGCGAGTTTGTTGGGTTAAATGCCAGTCACTTTAATCCCAACTAGCCTTGTTGGGAATTGTTCGTAATACTTCTGAGGTGTTTGCTTTTATGATAACATAGTAGAGACTTTGAATTCTCTCTCAACCCTGTCATCATTATTACTACTAGCAGTAGAATTATTATGAATAACACCTGTATTACTACTACTAATGCTAACATATTTCTTAAGACTTTTTATGAATTTGTACTGGGTGATGGATGATTGAAGGGGAGATAAGAATCTGAACCGCGACCGGATTCGAAACAGCAACCACCATGTTACCGGGCCGGTGCTCTACCAACTGAGTTACAAGGTCCGACTGCTGACCAGAATTTTATTTCACTTCAATCTGTTGGTAGAGCACCGGGCTGGTAACCCGGTGGTCGCTGGTTCGAATCCGGCCGAGGTCCAGATTTTCATCTCACCAATCATCATCCAGTACAAATACTAGTCTGCCAAAACTATGGCTATCTTAGATGGTCAAATCACAATTCTTTTGAACTTATTTATAAGTTTTAGGTGGATAATTATTGAGACGCAAGGTATTCTTGATATTAAAAACAAGGTATTCAGAGAAGAGGATTCTTTTCAACCGGGAATCCGGAGCGGTCACTTCAAACGCCAGAGAGTTACCCACTACACCACCGAACCACGTTAGCTACTTCTTGTGCGAAAAGTAATAGCATCGCATAGTATCGTGGCTCTCTGGCGTTTGAAGTGATCTCTCCCGGGTCCGAATCTCGCTGGGAACAAGAAAACTCCGCACTGGGGTACAGGTACATCCAGTTGACCAGTGAGTTCCAAACAGGACGAGATGCGCATCCTGGATCCCACTGCTAGCCAGTATCCATCATTACTACATAATTAAAATACAGGCAATATCAAGGCATCCGCATAGAAGCCCACATGGCAATAGAGACCGATCAATTCGGTCCAATCAACGACGGTATTATACACGCAACTATACAAACACAATTATTAGTGTTTCGATCCCCCCATCATTTAAGTTAAATCTTCCTCATGGATTACAGTCTTTAAATATCATGTATCTCCATTCACCACTAGGCCACTGGCTTTGAATCCGATGGTCCATATTTCTAACTTTTGTCAGTCCACGAAATATGGACCGTTGGGCCACGACCCAGTAGCTCAATGATGACGTACTGGCTGCGAAACCTGAAGGTCCTAAGTTCAATTCCTGACAGGGTTGTGATTGCACACTGCCGTGTAGTCTCGTATTTGGAAGAAACAGATGTCTAGTGCTCTCAGATTTGTCAAGTTCCCTCCATGATGAATACAAACTTGAAATCAATAAATCCCTACAAACCCCCAAAATGGAAAATGAAAATTAGTAGGTACTTTAACGAATAAGCAATGTAGAAAAAAGTTCGGTCATAGCTATTCATGCAGTTACATATAATAGGGTAGGATAGCGCGACAGTACTGAGAACTAACTTAGTGCTGTGGAGAGAGAGAGGGGGGGAGAGAGAGAGATTGAAAACCGAATCGACACCAAATATATGCAGTAATAGAAATAATTCCGTAGCTATCTGAGATATATGAGAAATTCTGATACCCTTGTTACAAGGAAAGAAGATTGGGACTATATAAAGAATGTAGTAAAATTGTGAAGTTACCCGATATGAATATGGACAATAAATTGTGTCCAAAGTGTTATCCAGTAAGTGATACTATTTCATTGTATGACATTCCTAGTAAACAGACTACAATGGAATTTTAACACATTTTGTGTAAATAGGTCTAAATGAAGTAGCAACATCAATTCTGTAACCTGTCTCAAAGACGTATTCCGTGATCGAATAACTTAAATATCTGCTACCAACGCTTACAAGATTCAAATAATTCAATTTACTTCTAAAGCCAATTTGGAATATACTCCAATTTTTTTTACTTGTATGAATCTATAAGTCCTCCTTGTGTAGTATTACCATATGTACTTTTAAATTGGTAGATACAGTGGAGTGTAACATTGTTATTCATATACTGTTAGGGTATGGGAGAATATACAGGCTTAGTGCTTTCTGTTAGCCAAACTACAGCTACATAGTAAGTCCTTCTAACAGTAGCTTTAAATCTTTGGATAAAGATTGCGCTATGAAAGTCACTTTTGAACAAAAGACTGATGAAGACATCTTTGTTTGGGACAAAGTGAAGAGCTAGTTAGTTTTGGAGTTCTAGTTATTTTGTTCTGGCTAGTGAGTTCCGATGAATAGTTATTTTCTAACAGTACTTCTATCATCTTTCAAAGTATCATCTGTGTATATTGAATAAGCAACTAAATAACGTTTGCTTGTGCCAAACTGGAAAAAAGCTATGATAGTTCAAATATTGTCCTGTCTACACAGGTTTTCTGTAGAAAGATCGTTTTATGGATCCATTCTGCCTCCGACTAATTAATATATACAAGAAAGGCAATAAATCACCATCCTGTTCTACATATGTCAAAGTCACGCTGCTCTGCACTTTATTCAATCGCCTTAGAAATGAAGTGGATTCACCTGAGTTATCACAACTAATTAGGATATTATCGATATACCTTCGATATTGCTTTCTCAACTAGATTATTTGCTGAATTTTCCACATGTGATAAAAATATGTTTGCTAAGAGGGAGCCCAAGGGATCTCTTATGGCAATGCCATCAACTTATTGTAAATCGTAACCCTCGAATATAAATTCAATATGCATGTATACAAAGAAAACTTATAGTTCCATACAAGTAAGAGCCCCGGAGCATATTTCAGAGTGGATTCAGAAGCATACTGAATCACTTAAACGCATAAAAGTGAGTAGGAGATATCCACGCTGTTTGATCGTTAAATACAGAGTCGAGACAGGGCACAAGATTGACGTTCAAACTTTCTTTCAACCTGTTTACAAAACATACGAGGGATGGATCCGTAAATTTATCGTAACCTTAGCTACCTATGAAAAGGATATGTATACGATCAGATTGTTCGAAATGTGTTGTGCAAATATATTACACCGTTCAGACAATTTATGTCATTGTTTTGTCGAACTCATAATTCAATTGTATATCATCTAAAATGGGATCAAAAGGCAAAAAAAAACAACTAACAGTTATTTATGCACAAGACACCTCTTCATTATATGCTTATAAAGCCTTTTAACATATTTCCAGTTGGTTTCAGTTGTCGTAAATGTCACTTTGTTTGATTTATTATTTGTCCCTTGGGTTCCTATTGGAACATACAACTTCAGTAGCACTTCATCATTTCACTCTCTTCTCTGTAGTCTTCTTAAACTGGCTTCACCACTGCCCATTATCTTTCATTTCTTCCACACACCATCCTCCTCCATATCACCCTCGCCACAGACGCCGAATTCGTCGTTTCCTATCTGGATTCCACTCGAGTGTCTGGCCTCGCGCGTGATGTCTCCGAATGGTTTTCTCAGTGCATGCTCAATCCATCTCCACCTTCTAATGCATATTTCTTGGGCGATAGGTTCGTGGTTCGTTCATTCCCAGAGTTCCTTCTTGCTTATTCTTAATATTCTGGTCATCCATATCATCTTCAGTATCGAGCATAGGCAGACGTTGATGAATGTCTGTAGATTGTTGGAAACGCTTTTAGTGACATACCAACTTTTTGAACCATATAGAAACACTGACTTGACGTTGGTGTTAAAAATCAGGATCTTGTTTTTTGTACTGAGTGCAGTAGATCTCCACAGTGATTTCAGATTAATGAAAGCCTGTCTTGATGTCTTTCCGATCCTGGTTTTGACATACTCGTCAATGCCGCCGTTGCCTGTAGTTGAAACGATGCTGCCTAGGTATGTGAAAGAGATTACTTCCTTTAAATTTCTCCCTGTTATTGGTGCTTGTTGTTGGTTGGGTATCTTTATCACCTCTGTCTTCTCTACGTTCGCTTATGGTCTCGTCTTCGCTATCCTGCCTGTTCTGTCAACTTGTTAGTTTTCACTTGTAGATCTTCAAGTTTGTACTACAAGACATAAGATATAAATCATCATGGGCGAAATCGAAATCTTCTTCTAGAGTCTTTTCATCGGTCAAACAGCGCATGCCCTCTTCACGGTTTGTTGCATGATCCAGACCACCATAATCAGGAATATCATCAATGATAGTAGGCTGCAACCTTGTCTTCACTTCATAGGCATTACTGAACTTTCCATTGTGAATCACTTGGTATATAACGTCGTCATATAGTTATTGAATGAGGTTGAAGCAGATGTCAAATTACTTCTCGGTTGACACTGTAAAAAGCCTTTTGAAAATCGATGAAGTTGAGGTTGAGTTGACTTGACTGCCATTCTATGCTCTGTTCTATGATGATGCGTAGCGTTGCAATTTGATCTGTATATCAATAGATAAATGAATCGTTGAAACGGATAGCTTGATGATATTAAAAGTTATATTTTGTTACTTACTGCTTGAAGAACCTAGAAGACTTGGATTTCGCCGATGACTTGTGCCTAATGTCACATAAACTTGAAGATGTACAGGCAAAAACTAACAAGTTTGCAGAAGAGGAAGAGCAGCGAAGACGGGACTTCAAGTGAATATAGAGAAGACAGAGGTGATGAAGATACCTCACCACCACCAACAACAACAAACTCCAATCACCGTCAACGGGAGAAACTTAAAGGAAGTAACCTCCTTCACTTATCTAGGAAGCACTGTTTCAACTGCAGGCGGGACGGTCGAGGATGTCAAAGTCAGAATCGGAAGAGCAAGACAGGCGTTCATTAACCTGAAACCAGTGTGGAGATCCACTTCACTGCACTCAGCATGTGGAACAAGATACGGATTTTCAACACCAACCCAGTCAAGTCAGTGCTCCTGTATGGTTCAGAGACTTGGCGCGTCACGAAAGGGATTTCCAACAAACTACACACATTCATCAGCAACTGCCTACTCTGGCTCGTTACTGAAGATCAGATGGCCAGAAAGAATAAGCAACAAGGAACTCTGGGAACGAACCAACCAAGAAGCTATCACCCAACAAATATGCAGGAGGAAGTGGAGATGGATTGGCCATGCACTGAGAAGGCCGACTGAGGACATCATGCGTCAGGCCAGGTACTCGAGTGGAATCCCCATGAGAAGCGACGAGTTGGGCGTCCCAGCTGAGGGTGACATGGAGGAGGTCGTGCGAGGAGGAAATGAGAGCTTGTGGGCTGTCGTGGAACCAGGTTGAAAAGATCTCAGAGAACAGAGGTCACTGGAGACGTGCTACTGAAGCCCTATGTTCCACTAGGAACCCAAGGGACTAATAATAATAATAATAATAACTTACTGCTTGATGGTGGCTAACATGTAAAACTGTTTAGTTCTATTCAATATTCATCAGCTATAGATATACCCAAACATACATACATATTATATTAACTGTTTAGGTTTCATTAAATATTTGGTTAGAATACTTCATCATAAACTGGTTAATCCTTTAGAATGAATATGATTGGATAAGAAAATTCAATCTAATGATTTCTACCAATCATCTTTAATCATTGTAATCTTATGATCAAAAATTGTTGAATAAAATATATTATTAACTTACTAATGTTGGAGTATTTTTTGTAACAGAGACAACAGCTGTATTACATATAGCTAATGCAAGAAAATAGTCTTGAACACGTATAGTTTCACTCGTTAAATGTTGATAATGTTTCTTAAATTCATTTACATTAGTTATATCATCATTTTGTTGTTGAGAATTTGAGTTAATTTGTTGTCTAACTTGTAAATATCGTTGAGATGATAACATATTATTATCAGCTGATATATAAGAATAAGAATTATTATCATTTTGTATTGGATAAATAGGAATTATTTCATCTGTTAACTTTATTGCATTCAAATTCAATTTGTGTATAGATATTTCAGGTATAAATAATTTATCTGAATTAACTCTATGACAATTCATATCATTATTGATAATTATTTGATGTAATGAAAAGATAGTTCCATTGTCTAAGATTGGTTTAAGTACATTCAATTTTGTTATTGTATGGATCTATTATTAATTGAAAATAAATATTAAAAATGATATGCATAGATATGCAACTAATAACAATATCAATGACAAACACTAATCATCATCATCAACTACACGCAACGACATAGACACACAGAGGAGGATATCAAAACCAGGATCGAAAACACAAAAAAAAAAAAAGAGATTTTCATTTATCTAAAGATTTACTGTACTTAACATCAGTCAAGTCAGTACTGTTATATGGTCCAGAAAATGTTAGCATGTCACAAAAAGTATTTCAAACAAACTATAGACATACATGAATAGCTGTCTACGCTCGCTCGATACTGAAGATCAGACGCCTTAGAAGAATATTTGGATTTCGCTAACAATGATGATTTATGTCTAATGTTATGTCGCACAAATTCAAAGATCTACAGGCAGAAACCAACAAATTGACAGAATAGGCCGGGTAGTGAAGATGGTACTTCCTTCAGGTGAACACAGAGAAGATAGAGGTGATAAAGATACCTAACCACTAATAACAAGCATCAATCAGCAACAATGGGAGAAACCTAAAGGAAGTTGTCTCTTTCACCTACCCACCTATCTAGACACCAACAATTCAACTACAGGCAGCGGTCGCACAGATAAGGGTGTCAAAGCCACGATCAGAAAGACAGCTACATAGGCCTTCCTCCATTAATCTGAAATCAGTGTGGTGATCCACTGCACTCAGCATAAAGCATGAACAACGTCCGGATTGCCAACAGCATTGTCAGTCAAATCAGTGCTTCTATGTGATGGTTGAGAGACTTGGCGCGTTATGAAAAGCATTTCCAACAAACTACACACATACATCACCAACAGCTCCCACCTACACTCACTCGACACTGAAGATTAGATAGATGGCTAGAATAATAAGAATAAGCAAGAAAGAACTGTGGCCTGGCAAAAAAACGATCAAGGAGTTATCGCCAAATACATATGCAGAAGGAAGTGGAGATGAATTGGACTGAATTCCACACAGACTGAGAAGACCGATTCGGGACATCACGCACCAAGCCTTCGATTGAAACCCACATTGGAAACGACGAGTTGGGCGTCCGAGGCAAGGGTGATATGGAGGAGGATGGTGTGGGGAAGAAATGAAAGGTAATGGGCAGTGGTGGAGCCAATTTAAGAAGACTACAGAAAAGAGAGTGAAATGATGAAGTGCTACTGAAGTTGTATGTTCCTCTAGGAACCCAAGGGACAAATAGTAATAAAATAATAACTGGCGTTCTGATTGGCTCCTGCCTCCTTCAATGTATAAATTATTTCTTGTCTTAGAAGATTACTGTAAACTACATAAATAGTGCTGACTTTTACTAATAAACGTTTTCCGTTAGTTCGAGACACTGTAAAACTCAGCTGACTGCCAGTCTTTTGATTTCCATTTATGAATCACTCGGGTTGAACCATTTCAAGCCTCAACTATCAGTCATTACCGTTCGTTCTCACAACTTCACATTGTAACAGTATCCGTTATCATCGCTTGGCCGGTTCGTGAAGGAACAATAATGAACAAGCTTATGCAAAACAGTTATATAACCATGACTTCTTAAAATCATTCAAAAAAAAATAATTGAATTGTAAGTATCCTCATGTAAAAGACTATAAGGATACGGTCAGCATTTTGTAATAACTTACCGATGAAAAGCTATTACTCGGTCGATCTGCATTTTCATAATTGTCATCTGTAAAATAAGATAAAATATTATAATTTAAGAAATACAATTTAGAGATTGAGAAAACAATCTTGTTATAAAGGTAATATACTAGTAGATGAGACCGATAAACATGTACATATCAATAGGCTGAGTTTCAACTAACTGGGTTGCAAAGGTCTTAAACTTTTTTAAAAGTGGTTTTCATCTTCAAGAACCATTGAGGACTCTGAAGCATTGAACATCTGTTGAGTAACAGTCTAGGAACCTATGACAATCTAGTCTCATTGCGCAAAAGATATCAGTCATCTTTTAGGTATAAAGACAATGATGAATTTTTCTCTAACCTCTGTAGATTCAAGCTATGGTATATCCACAATCCAACATCATCGACGCGTGTTCATTCTCCCCTTCGGACTTAGCTGATTTCATCGGTCATATTTTTTCACCACGTGGTGTGAGTTGTATCTACTTAGCATTTTCTTGGGACTGACTAGTTTCAAAATACTTTCCATAATAACTTGACGTCAAGCAGATAACGCTGTCTACCATCACCCATGATATTCTTGATTGTAGTCGACTGGATCATGCAACAAACAGTGGGGAGCGAGAAAAGGGGGATACGCTGGACCTCGGAAAAGAACCTCGAAGAAGATTTTGATTTCCCCAGTGATGACTTGTGTCTCATGTCACACAAACCTGGAAATCTACAGGCGAAAACTAACAAGTTGACAGAAGAGGCGAGGCAGCGAAGACGGGACTTCAAGTGAATATAGGGAAGACAGAGGTGGAGGTGATGATGATACCCACCCAACACCACCACCACCACCACCAGCAACAACAACAACAAACTCCAATCAGCATCAACGGGAGAAACTTAAAGGAAGTAGCCTCGTTTCACCTACACCTACCTATTTAGGCAGCACTGTTTCAACTACAGACGGCACAGACGAGGGCGTTAAAGCCAGCCAGCCAGCCAGCCAGCCACGATCGGAAAGACAGCAAGACAGGCGTTCATTAACCTGAAACCAGTGTGGAGATCTTCTGCACTGCACTGCACTGCACTGCACTGCACTCAGCATAATGTGTCAATAGCATCCGGATTTTCAACACCAATCCAGTGAAGTGAGTGTTTCTATATGATGGTTGAGAGACTTGGCTTGTTATGAAAGGGATTTGCAAGAAACTACAAATATTCATCAACAGCTACTGCCTACTCTGTCTCGTTACTGAAGATCAGATGGATTATCAGAATGATAAGAATAAGCAAGAAGGAAGTCTGACTAGCCTGTTAGCGAACCAACAAAGCGAGAAGCTGTCTTTCAACAAATATGCAGTTGAAGGAAGTGTAGATGGAATGGGCATACACTGAGAAGACCATTCGGGGACATCATGCGTCAGGCACTCGAGTGGAAGTTAAATGGGAATTGGTGAGTTGGGTGATGGTGTGTGAGGGTGACATTGAAGAGATGGTGTGAGGAAGAAATGAGAGCTTGTGGGCTGTCGTGGCGACAGGTTGTAAAGCTTGTAGAGAAGTGGAGAGTGGAATGGAGACGTGCTACTGAAGGTATATCTTCCACTAGGAACCCAAGGGATAAATAATATAATAATAATAATAATGACGTCAAGAATGGTACAGTTGTAAAACTGTCAGCGATGGACACCTGTAACATCCCATCGAATTGAACAGTCATTTCCAGGTATTTCAGTATATTCTATTTTATGAAATGGATCTATTTCAGCACATATCACCAACAGATTCTTGTTCATGTAGGTATAAAAAAGATGTCGAATGTTTAATATAACCTGTAAGTGATTTAAGTAAGCGGTGACTTAAAACCGTATAGTATATAGCCACTATGTTTATTCAATTATTAGGAGATCAGTACTTTAGTTCTGACAGGTTGATTCAAATAGGAAACCTATAATTATCGTTTTTCAGTTCGTGAAATCGCTTAAACTGTTAGAAATCTTGACGGAGGATTATTATTACTATTATCAGATGATTTTCAAAGGTTTGACAACGAAATGAATAAATAATAAAATGTGCGTATCCACGAAGTATGTTTTGAATACGCTATACATGTCCAATGTGTTTCTGTTGTTCTCTAGCACCATCAGTACGTAATCTTACTAGAATCATACTGCCTGCCAACTTATATTTACTATGATGATAACTTTTTGTGACTTGTTTGTTAGTTATCTTGTTGTTATAATCTCCCCTTTTTGATAGATTACATTCATCTTATTGACTGATTTGTCAGACAGACAGGTATAAGTTCATCGGCTCAGGTTGTCACATTTCACAGTAGAACGCAAAGAATAGATGGATAGAAAAGTAGTAATATCAAAAAAGATAAAGTAGTATGAAAAAAGAAGACAAAGGTTAGTGTGAATATCGAAGTTATACAAGACGTCGAAGAATGGATACATCTGCGCCATTGTAACTGATTACCAGCCATGTCATCAAGAGTCTTTAACCACTCATTTCTATATCCCCAGGACCCCAATCAGGCAGTCTACATCCTCTACACAGCTCAGACTAACTGTTATGGACTTCATTGGCTACTGCCAAGTCTTGATCTGACTACTCTGAATCCTCTTGCAGGATAATCCAAGTTCCACAAGCACGGCATGTAGAGGTAGGTGGTGGCTGGGCACGTGTAGCACATGTCTTAGCCACCAACTCATCGACAAACTTTCAAGCCTTGACTAGCATCCTTAGCCTGACCATGACATTGTTAACACGAAGGTTCCATCATACACCAGCAATGCTGCGAAGATACCTATGGTATTGCATATAGTCTTGATAAAAATGCCAAGTATGTCAAGTGTGCCTTTTAGACCACATTTCTGCATTTGATCCTGTCCCAAGGCCTCTTTTGCTGGACAATCTAACCGCGACAAATACTGAGTCTTGGATAATCAGCTGGATGCATTCCTATTTCTCTGAAAGGAAAGAACTTGCTGTTCTCAGAGGGAAATGCTCCATCTCATTGCTTACTGTGACTGGTGTTCCCCAAGAAACCTTCCTTCCCCCTGTAATTTCTCTTTCTTTCTGTATGACTTAACATCTTCAGCTAGCATCAACTTCATCAAATATCCTGATAGCCTGACAGTTTCTACAGAATGTTCCCCACTGGATGATTTTCTATCTACTGTTAGATGATGGTCCTCTGAGAATGCGCTTGTGCTCAATTCTTCAAAATGCCAGACCATAAACTTTAGTTTTAGAGGCGAACATAATCTATGTAAATTGCTTAGTTCTCATAATTCCTGTTCTTTGATAGTTGTACACTAGAGGATTTTACAAGTGTGATTTATCTATGTGTTTTTCTTCAAAGCTTTCCTGATCCTCCCATATCGCATTATTATTATTTTTATTTGTCATTAGGGTTCCTAGCGGAAGATATACCTTCAGTAGCACGTCTCCATTCCACTCTCCACTTCTCTACAAGCTTTACAACCTGTCGCCACGACAGCCCACAAGCTCTCATTTCTTCCTCACACCATCTCTTCAATGTCACCCTCACACACCATCACCCAACTCACCAATTCCCATTTAACTTCCACTCGAGTGCCTGACGCATGATGTCCCCGAATGGTCTTCTCAGTGTATGCCCATTCCATCTACACTTCCTTCAACTGCATATTTGTTGAAAGACAGCTTCTCGCTTTGTTGGTTCGCTAACAGGCTAGTCAGACTTCCTTCTTGCTTATTCTTATCATTCTGATAATCCATCTGATCTTCAGTAACGAGACAGAGTAGGCAGTAGCTGTTGATGAATATTTGTAGTTTCTTGCAAATCCCTTTCATAACAAGCCAAGTCTCTCAACCATCATATAGAAACACTCACTTCACTGGATTGGTGTTGAAAATCCGGATGCTATTGACACATTATGCTGAGTGCAGTGCAGTGCAGTGCAGTGCAGTGCAGTGCAGAAGATCTCCACACTGGTTTCAGGTTAATGAACGCCTGTCTTGCTGTCTTTCCGATCGTGGCTGGCTGGCTGGCTGGCTGGCTTTAACGCCCTCGTCTGTGCCGTCTGTAGTTGAAACAGTGCTGCCTAAATAGGTAGGTGTAGGTGAAACGAGGCTACTTCCTTTAAGTTTCTCCCGTTGATGCTGATTGGAGTTTGTTGTTGTTGTTGCTGGTGGTGGTGGTGGTGGTGTTGGGTGGGTATCATCATCACCTCCACCTCTGTCTTCCCTATATTCACTTGAAGTCCCGTCTTCGCTGCCTCGCCTCTTCTGTCAACTTGTTAGTTTTCGCCTGTAGATTTCCAGGTTTGTGTGACATGAGACACAAGTCATCACTGGGGAAATCAAAATCTTCTTCGAGGTTCTTTTCCGAGGTCCAGCGTATCCCCCTTTACTCGCTCCCCACTGTTTGTTGCATGATCCAGTCGACTACAATCAAGAATATCATGGGTGATAGTAGACAGCCTTTTTAACTCCTATGTTTACTTCAAAAGCACCACTGAGAAGTCCCATACTATGACGAAACAGCCAGCTGTCCAGTGCTTCCAGGCTTTCAATGTTCCTCCAACTGATGTCAGTTCAAAATGAATACCAACCTGATACTTTTTTTAAACTATTTACCTGGAAATTAACAATGACATAATGTTGGATAATCAGTAGTAGTCTATTACCCAATGAATTCATAAATATATCATGTGACTGTAGAGTGTTTTGATATGAAATTCATCACCTTATCATAAATCAAGCAATGAAATATATTACAGAAATGTTATTGATAGCTAAAGTAATGTAACTGTTAGTTTGGATAATGAAAAGAAATAAAGTCTTCCTGGTTGATGTCCATCAGGAATCCTGAAATGTGTATTTTTTTTTTGAACATCCTAGTTGGTATTAGTTGGGAATGGATTTTAATGCTCCAGACATACTCGTATATTATCTTCATCTAAATTATGATATTGACTTATGTTTGTATTTATCTCACGGTTTTCAGTCTGAGTACGATCTATGACTGTGAAATTTCACAGAACACGATAACTAGTATACGAACATTAAGATCAATTATTGAAATCCTTAGCTTAAATTATTTTCCATATCAATATTCAATGAAAAAGTAAATGATGGAAGAGATTTGTAGCTTAAGATGAAGATGATGGTGATTGAGTGTTCTCTAAGATTCAATATTTTATCGTGAACATTTCATCATTAACTTCATAAAGAAGTCTTTCCAGTGTTATACTTTAGTACCTTCTGAAGTAAGTCGTGAAATAATGAAGAATATGTGTAGCTCATGTGGATGGTCTTGGTTGTATTGTGTACTCTGAGTTGGATTGTTTAATTGTGAAGCTTTCGTCTTTCTGGACGACATCATCAGCACTAACTTCAGTATGAAGACGATGAAAGCTTCACGACTAAACAATCCAGCTCAGAGAACACAATACAACGAAGAAGTAAGTTGTATTCTGTCGTAGATAATGAGCGTTTTGAAAGATTCACTACCTACTCATTTTTTAATTCTTTGTCTGTTAGTTGTGATAACTTGGATAGTTTATCATTCAGTTTATACCTCCTCTTCTCACCTTTTATCTTAGTTGTTATATTCATAAAGGCTGACAATTTGTTCATGATATCTGTTCGGATACTGTTAGAAGCCATTCAGGCTATATCAGAGTGACCTAAACACCAGACGACCATATCGCTTGTTTTAGGTTGAACTTATAAGTGGAGCATTCGGAAAAATTTCACGGTTCATATTGACATTTATCATAGCTGAATGGTTTTTCTACTAACAAACTCTCCCAACTATATAATAAATCGTCATAGTACTGACTACAAATATGTCAGGTGTATAAACCAAAGTGGTGGTCGATTCAAGAGCTTTTTAAAGGTTCCTTTGTTTCTCTTCTTCGCTAACTAAGTTTCCTTCACTATCTTTCATTGCTTTCGTCTACGTCTCCTACCAGCAGCCTGTTCTACTTCACTTGCCAATGTATCATAAAAGTGTCTTTTGTCTTTTTGTGCACTTCTTCACTTCTTTGTCCTGTCTAGTGTTTTACATTTTACGTTGTATTCAGTTCCTCTTTTCATCCTTGTACATCCTTGCACTGGTTTATCTTTTGTTTCATCATCTTCCTCTCCTCTATTAGCTTTCATGTATCAGTTGAAATCCATTCCCAAGGGAATAATAATAATAATAGTAATGATAAAAATAATAATAATGAATAAACCATACACTTCAATTGAAGTAACCAAAGTAAATAAGAAGATAATTTTTTTTTTTGACTAACTTTCATTTGCATCATAATCTTTTCCATTGATACTAGCTCGTTTAAATTCCATTTTATTTTCAGTTAATGTACCAGTTTTATCTGAGAAAATATATTCAATTTGACCTAAATCTTCAGGTATATTGAATGCATGTATTTCAACACGTTTATCCAAAGTGGAATCATATAGTTTTAAATCATTATTCATATGCCATACCTGATGCATTTTAACAAATTCAATTGTAACATATAATGGTAATGGAATAATAGTCTATTTTAAAGAGAGATGAAGAGAAAAAGAAATATCATAGATTAAAATGAGTTTTGTTATAAAACTTGATATACAAGGTTAAGAAAACATAGTATCAAAACATTTATTATTTGTCCCTTGGGTTTCAGTGGAACAGAGAACTTCAGTAGTAGCGTGTCACTATTTCACTCTCTTGTCTGCAGGAATTGTGTTCACTGGTAGTTCTGTGGCTGGGTTGGTGGTGGTATTTCTGTACGACTTGTAGGTGGTGGTGGTCAACTGAACAGCTTTCTGAAGTGGTCAGCCCATTGTTTCCTTCAATTCTCCTCTTTGGTGGTAACTAGGTTTCCATCACTATCTCTCATTGGTTTCATCTGCATTGATCTCTTCCAGATCTCCCAGATAGCTGTAGCCTCGTTATTTGATATATAATGTTGTCACGTCTCTGTCTCTCCCCTACCTGAAGCCTGTTCTGCTTCACTTGCCAATGTATCGTAGAAGTGTCTTTTGTCTTTCCGTGCACTCTTCTTCACTTCTTTGTCCAGTGTAGTGTTTTATAGGTTGTGTTCAAATCCTCTTTTCGTTGTTCATCCCTTCACTCCACTGCACTGGTTCATCTTCTGCTTCACCATCACCATCCTCCTATCCCTGCTCTATCAGCTTCCATGTATCCGTGGAGATCCATTCCTTGTCTTCTTTCTTCTTCCTTCTTAACACGATTACGCAAGTTTCCTTCAACGTCTCTTTCAAAGAGTTCCAGTGTTGTTGCACGCAGGTTTCTTCATGAATGTTGCCTAATGTCTGCTATTTTGTCCTAATGGCTGGCCGACGAGAAGACATCCTTTGTAGTTTCGTCCTTCAGTTTAGTTTCTCTTCTGGGTGTTGAACTTGAACTGTGGTCTATCACCACCTTCTTTGAAGGCTTTCAACTTGATTTTGAAGGTAGGTTCCTTGCACTAGATAGTGAGTGGTATGAACCACCTACATCTGCTCCCCTTCTTGATTTTCTGTTCGGTAAGCTGCGTCTCCACTTTCTTCAGATTGAAATGAAGTCGATCTGATTTCTAGTATGTCCATCTGGTGAAATGCGTGTTACTTTGTGAATACCTTTGTGTTTGTACATAGTGCTTCCAATCACCAAATCGTTGAATGCGCAGGAGTCTGCAAACAGTTCTCCATTCTCATTCTTCATTTCCACGAGCGCTTCTCGACCCATGATGAGTCCTCTTCCTGTGTTATCGACTCCCATTTTGGCATTCATGTCACCCCACCTGTTAAAATTTTGATGTCGCCAACTAAAGTGGGGTCTTGTCTATTACTGGTTACAGTTGTTTCTAGAATTCCCGCTTCTTCCCTTGATCTGCATTATTTGTAGGTGCGTGGCATAGCATTGCATGATTGTAACTTTCCTTCCTTTTGAGTTGAATCTTCCTATCATCATCCTGGAGGAGATCGGTTCCCACTGCATGAGAGCCTTTGGTGCTTTTGGGGACATCGTGATAGTCACTCCAAAACTCAGTGTGCTCGTGGTTGTCGTCTGGGTGACCGGAGTAGATTATTGACTCTTCAGTTGACAATTGAGAGAGTCCACTTCCATTCCATCTACTTTCGCAGATTCCAAGCCAAACACCTCTGTGCTATACCTTCTCACCTCTTTGGCAATCTAGACAGCCTTGCTAGGTTCATAAATGGTCTGGACATTCCATGTACCCATGTTCACTTTGGCCTTCATCGAGAAGAGACACATCGGCCAATTGGCTTCCTAAAGGCTTTCATCAACTGGCGTCATTTCATCTCCTCGATTCCAGTTAGGGATAAGTTTATTTTTATTTTCATATTTACTTCGTGCTTTGAAGTTTCTCTGGCGGCTGGATTGGTTTTACGGGACAGGGTTACTAGCCCTATGCCCCACCTTCCCTTTTTATCCGGGCTTTGGACCGGCTGGCAACTAGTGAACTTCTTAACCAGGTGAGGTTAGTGTCAAAAGAAAGTGATTACAAAACAGACTGGCGAAATGTTAGATGGTTGGAGGTAGACAGCAGAAAGACCTACAGACAGCCTGGGTTTCGTCATCGGTGGCACTCATCATTAGGGCGGATCCTCAACTTAGAAGAAACTATCGTCCCATCTAGGCTCAGTGACACTGCCGATAACCTATGCATGCTCAACTAGGTTTCCTGAAAGAGTAGATTACATACTGATTGATCACTGCAGAGGAGGCAATTTCATCTTATCTAGTCTTCAGGACATATCGAACTCTCTATCGATATCTAGAACTGCTACTACGGTATCGATTGATTACTAACAGCCTAGCCAATAGCCACTATTTAGACATGGCGGTGAGATAGACGTATTTAACGATGAAATACCAAGATATACTTGCTAAAAAGATTGTCTGTTGAGGTTTTATCGGGTGAGAAGTATCTGTTTGATAGCAATAAAACGAAAAGCAGCTTTCATCACAGTTTACACAGGAACGTTATAGCGGGAAGCTTTACTGATGGTTGTGAAGACGGTAGGATAACATCCCGCTGCTCTCTGTAAGTAGAAGCAGGAGAAAGATAAGAGGAGCCCGAATATTGGCACACTTCTCCCTGCCCTGCAGTCTTCCAGTGTCGGCGGTATTCATTACACTAGACCGCGCAAATAAATCTCAATTCGAAACACCAAACAGACCCAGCTTAGACTATCTACAAGCAAATGTCGTATTGATTCTGTTTTCACGATCCATGTTTTCGAAACCACTCCTAATAATCAACCTTCTTGTCCAATGACTTCAAAAATTGGCCCTCTAGACTGAAGCCTTATAAATTTGTCTGCACTTATGTACCTTCCGAATACAAACCAATAGACACCAACGTTTGTTGTATTCTTTCTTCGCGCTTTTGTCATAATACTCCTAATCTGTAGTTTTCTCTCTTTCAGATTTGCTCTTAACTACATATTGAACATTTCAATGTCCATATTCTCTATCAAATCGGACAAAAAGCATCATTAGCCAAAACTAGGTCATGTGGAGCCGTGAAAATGGACAGTATTTGTGAAACACGCAGAAGTGCATTGCTTGATTGAATTTATGTAGAATTTCACCTGTGCGATATTCTACTGAACAAAACAGTGATGCCTAAAAAGAATGGTGACACATATATACACACACACTGTTGTCTCTTTGTAGCCTTTCCTTACGAAAGGATCTACTTACTGCAGGTCGGATAAAGTAAAATATAAGTTTCACCAAAAACTGCTTGATCTTTTACTAAGAGCCAAGAGTTCATATGTGGTCATGATAGTGTAAAATGTCAATGCACAAGTGGAAAGGTTAGGCCATACATGAGGAACAGATGACGGTGATCATGTGCTACAACTGTGCTCCGGTAACCACCTATTTCTGATCAGTGCTAATTTCAGACATCATTAAGACACTGACTCATGGGGTACCCGACGATCTCGAATCAACAGTGGACACAGACAGATATAATGGACAACAGCTGTTTCTGAAGAGAGTAGAAGCAAGGTTACCAGTCCTTCTGGAGCCTGTGCTCAGATAATCACCACCTGTTGGTTCAAACACGCCAATATTTCTGTCTGAACAGATGTGGGAAAGCTACAACTGTAAGACCGCTTCAACCCTAGCTAGGTGGTGAGAATGCCAAGTCTGTCTCCATTAAGGAACTCCTTCCAAAGTTATAGGGATGGAATAATGCCACTAATTCTAAAGCAGCTTCCTGCCATCTTAAATATCCTGCAACTACTCCTCAAAAAATGGTTGGAAGGTGATAATGGATTTCATTAGAATAGTGGGCATTCCTGTTAACTCCTAAAACAATGATGATAGGAAGGACTTCAAATGTAAACTGATCGTGAGCAGTGGTGGATATCGAAATTCTAAAATCTAGAGGGGGTAATGGTGATAGGTAACAGTTAACAGTTGTTAGGACTAATATATAAAACTGTGGCACAAACTTCACCGGTTAGTGAGACTACGGGGGAGGAGAATGTATCTGCCATTCACGCACAGCTGAGACGACTCCAATGATGAATGGAACATTTCCAAAGATAATTCAATTGGCCTCACCTTCCTAATTGGTTCCTCACTATACAGTTACATCTTGAACAGAACAACGAGACAGGGAACCTAACTCTTGAAAAAATTCAGAAGGCTATACATAACCAGAAAAGAAAATTCACATTAGTTAGGGGTCGATGGCTTGGTGCCAGAGGTATTTAAAGTCAGTGGTTTATTATTATTAGATAGATTAGCTGATACGCTTAGACTAATGTCGGCCACTAACAGTCATAAACTTACGTGAATCCATACACCATCTTTATCTTAATCGTCATGCTTCATTTCTGATGACTTCCAAGTACTTTTAATTACTGTTTTTCATATTTCATCCTACTTAACTTGGTGTGTTCCAATTTGATGTTGTGATAAGTGTAGCTGTTGTATAATGATGTCAGGTACCATGCTATTGTTGGCTAACTGACTACAATGATTGCTTTGCAGTACAGTGTATATTTACTTATATATTATTATTATTCCCTTGGGTTCCTAGTGGAAGATATACCTTCAGTAGCACGTCTCCATTCCACTCTCCACTTCTCTACAAGCTTTTCAACCTGTCACCTCGACAGCCCACAAGCTCTCATTTCTTCCTCACACCATCTCTTCAATGTCACCCTCACACACCATCACCCAACTCGCCACTTACCATTTAACTCCCACTCAAGCAACTGGCCTCGCGCCTGTCTCATGTCCACAATCCGCCTTCACAGTGTATGCACCATCCATCTACACTTCCTTCAACTGCATATTTGTTGAACGACAGCTTCTTGCTTTGTTGGTTCGCTAACAGGCTAGTCAGACTTCCTTCTTGCTTATTCTTATCATTCTGACATTCCATCTGATCTTCAGTAACGAGACAGAGTAGGCAGTAGCTGTTGATGAATATTTGTAGTTTCTTGCAAATCCCTTTCATAACAAGCCAAGTCTCTCAACCATCATATAGAAACACTCACTTCACTGGATCGGTGTTGAGAATCCGGATGCTGTCCACACATTATGCTGAGTGCAGTGCAGTGCAGTGCAGAAGATCTCCACACTGGTTTCAGGTTAATGAACGCCTGTCTTGCTGTCTTTCCGATCGTGGCTGGCTGGCTGGCTGGCTGGCTGGCTGGCTGGCTGGCTGGCTGGCTGGCTGGCTTTAACGCCCTCGTCTGTGCCGTCTGTAGTTGAAACAGTGCTGCCTAAATAGGTAGGTGTAGGTGAAACGAGGCTACTTCCTTTAAGTTTCTCCCGTTGATGCTGATTGGAGTTTGTTGTTGTTGTTGCTGGTGGTGGTGGTGGTGGTGTTGGGTGGGTATCATCATCACCTCCACCTCTGTCTTCCCTATATTCACTTGAAGTCCCGTGTTCGCTGCCTCGCCTCTTCTGTCAACTTGTTAGTTTTCACCTGTAGATCTTCAAGTTTGTGCGACATGAGACACAAGTCATCACTGGGGAAATCGAAATCTTCTTCTAGGTTCTTTTCCCCGGGGTCCAGCGTATCTCCCTCTAGTACAGTACATATTCATCATTAATTATAAAGTGAGGTTTAAATTCAACTGGTCTAATGAACGAATATGCTTAGACAGTTAAATTATTTAGAAGTAGTATTAATCATGGACTGACATCAGTTGGGGAACGATTGAAAATGTGGGAGCACAGGACAGCCGCCTGTTTCGTCTTAGTATGAGACTTCTCAGCAGTACGCACTCACGACCCGGATAACGGTCGAACCCAGTAACCTTGAGGTTTCAAGGACGAACGCGTTAATCATTCAGCCACTGGGTGGTCAATTTCCAGTAGTTCACAATTTACAACTTCTATCAATTCACTACATACCGCGATTGTCACCCAAGGTGTTCAGTTAGCATCCAATTCACTTACGACTGGTTGACTCTACAGATCATGACTTCTCATTAGAACTTCCTAACATCTATCTAGAAGCAAGTCACTAATGAATTAAATTATTGACAAATTAACTTTTTTACAATACTTGGAAGAAAAACACTTTCATGTAAGAATGATTTACTAGTTTTGTTTAACAAGATAATTGGATTATTAAAATAATAAAATGTAAAAAAAAATCAACTTACTTGAAAAATAATAACAAATCGCCAAAAATTTAGAAAACCTTGATATGCAGGTGTTGAAGTAGATGAATTTCTATCAAGTACAACAAATAGTATATCATCACCTGGTAAATTTTGATGCCATACAGCACTACCTAAAATAAATAAAAAGCAAGAAACTTAATGTAGAATAATTTTTTCTAAAAGAAAATAAAAACAACACTATCTACTATCTATCTACTATCTACTATCTACTAATTACAAGAAGTATCTTCTCTTCCATGATAATATAAAACAGGAGTACTTAGAATGTTATTCAAATGCTTTTTAAAAAAAAACACTCTCTGTCGATTGAAAGAATCTCAGGAAGAATTACTTATAATTCAGAAATGTCTATATATAATAATAATTATCCAAGGAAGTAAACCCCATATATATATATATGGAAATTAAGAAAAGAGTGGAGTACAACAGATTATGAAACAAAAACTATCTATCCTTTTACACATAAACCTTCAAAGTAAAAATGATTGCCAAAAGAATCAACAGTGGACCGAATTCTGTACTGTAGAGTATATATCCTGTTATCACTTTCAAATTTAAGTATTATTACTATTATCATTATATTATTTATCCCTTGGGTTCCTAGTGGAAGATATACCTTCAGTAGCACATCTCCATTCCACTCTCCACTTCTCTACAAGCTTTCCAACCTGTCGCCACGACAGCCCACAAGCTCTCATTTCTTCCTCACACCATCACCCAACTCGCCAATTCCCATTTAACTCCCACTCAAGCAACTGGCCTCGCGCCTGTCTCATGTCCACAATCCGCCTTCACAGTGTATACACAATCCATCTACACTTCCTTCCACCGCATATTTGTTGAACGACAGCTTCTCGCTTATTCTTATCATTCTGACATTCCATCTGATCTTCAGTAACGAGACAGAGTAGGCAGTAGCTGTTGATGAATATCTGTAGTTTCTTGCAAATACCTTTCATAACAAGCCAAGTCTCTCAACCATCATATAGAAACACTCACTTCACTGGATCGGTGTTGAGAATCCGGATGCTGTCCACACATTATGCTGAGTGCAGTGCAGTGCAGTGCAGTGCAGAAGATCTCCACACTGGTTTCAGGTTAATGAACGCCTGTCTTGCTGTCTTTCCGATCGTGGCTGGCTGGCTGGCTGGCTTTAACGCCCTCGTCTGTGCCGTCTGTAGTTGAAACAGTGCTGCCTAAATAGGTAGGTGTAGGTGAAACGAGGCTACTTCCTTTAAGTTTCTCCCGTTGATGCTGATTGGTGTTTGTCTACTCTATATTCACTTGAAGTCCCGTCTTCGCTGCCTCGCCTCTTCTGTCAACTTGTTATTTTCGCCTGCAGATCTTCAAGTTTGTGAGACATCAGACATGAGTCATTACTGGCGAAATCCAAGTTTTCTAGGTTCTTTTCCGTGGTTCAGCGTGATATTTTAGTATAAGACAAACTATTTTCACTGTTATCGAATGTAAGAAAGATCTATTATCATTTTAATCTCTAACTACGTCTACTAATTTATATGTTAGTAGTATGTCACATCCATTGGGATAAAAGACAGATAAACTTTTGTTGACATTTCTGAAAATACTCCTAGAAAAAAGTTCACAAGTATGGAACAGTAAGATTGTTCTTGATACTGCTGATATCAGACATGGTGTAAACACGACTAAATCACGGAAGTAATTATCGATTTCCCACCGCTTGAAGATTATAGTTTAGTAAAATCTCATCCGAATTTTCTTTGTAATTTGATGAATAAACTTTTGACCTTCCATACAAATAAACTCTAAAATCAGATCTCAGAAGTATGATATTCCGTTTTTGTAGATGATTTCTTGTGTAAAGGGAAATCTCCTTCAATTTACAAACAACTACCAATAAGGGGTTTTGTTAATCAATAGTCCTGATAGCTTTGAATATATCATTCTAGAAAGCTTTCTGCCTACTAAATTACGGAATAAACCTTTCAGTGAACCTAAACCTAACGTTCGCCTTAACAGTAAAAGCCCACGGTTAAAATATTGCACTACATTATAAATAACAGTAGTGAGTAATACATGAGGTTTCTAGGTGTTTATTACACTTTCAAAAGTATTGTATGAGAAGTTTATCGGTAAAAATGATAGACAGTTAAGGCTGTGCCGAACTCAGCTCATGGCTGAGAATGAAATAGGTACGAATATTCAAGATATTCGGAAGATATAGGGATAAAAGAACGGTATGAAAGACAACATCAAACACGTACAAAAGCTGGACAGGGTGAAACACAATCAAAAAATGAGGCGAAAAGCTAGTACTCAAGTACTTCACACACACTGGTGAGCGTTGCACAAAATTAAAGATTCACAACATTACTACTCACTATTGTAAAGTAGTTAAAAATTTAAAGCGTGTATTATAGTAGTAAAATTAAATATACCAGGGTGATGAGCCACATAATCACATTTCGATAGACAGTCAACTATTGCAGTAAAAACAAGGAAGTCACATAGAATTAGTACTGACCATGGACTGACACCAGTTGGGGAACCATTGAAAATCTGAGAGCACTGGACAGCTGTTTCATCCTAGTATGGTACTCCTCAGTAGTACGCACCCACCCAGTGCTCCCAGATTTTCAATGGTTCTCCAACTCATGTCAGTCCATGGTGAATACTACTTCTAAATTTAAAAAAAATCCCTATTCATCCCAAAAATACATTACGGAAGTTATACATTGAAAATTCGTTTTTCTGTTCAATAAGTCTACCACAGGTTGTTCAAGTTCTCCAATAAAATAAAAGTTTTAAGGGGTTGTGGGGATTTGGAAATATTTTTCAAGTTGTAATTCATCGTAGACTGACGTCAGTTGGAGGAACAAAGGAAACCTGGGAGCACTGGACAGCTATTTAGCCCTAGTATGGGACTCCTCAGTAGTGCACACCCACATCCCCACCAGGGGTCGAACCCGCGACCTTCAGGTTCCGTGGCCAGCACGTTACCGACTCAGTGACTTAATAGTAACGTGCTGGCCACGGGACCTGAAGGTCGCGGGTTCGATCCCTGGCGGGGATGTGGGTGCGCACTGCTGAGGGGTCTCGAACTAATCAAGGAACTAATTCCTTAATTTTCAATCTGAAGGTTTGTGGAGATCTATTAATTGATTTCAGGTTGAAATTCATCATGTTGAATACCAACATGAAGTCGATCAATCCAAACCAACCCCCAAATTGAATCAGTCTAATCCTCATTGGTGAGTCGCTTTGACAGATGATTCCTCAGGTTTCAAAGAGAAGTCGTGACCTGTGGGGTAAACCTCATGGATGGAGGATAAATGCTCAGCGATAGCATTAGGTGATGGTCGTGCTATATCGTGACTTGACAGAAGTTAGAAATATGAACAATTGGATTCCCACTCAATAGCTGCGGAACCCGAAGCTCCTGGGTTCGATCCCAGTAAGGATCGTGGGTGCGCGCTGCTGAGGAGTCCCAATCTAGGACGTAATAGCCAGCTGTCCAGTGCTCCCATGTTTCCAAAGATTCATCCAACTGATGAATTCTAGCCTGAAATCCCCAATTTTCGCTAAAAAGCTTCTAGAAAGGCGATCAATCATGAAAAGTACGAGGTAAGAAAGATAAATCAATCAATGACACTGGAAGTCTCCATCTGAAAAAAGGCTAAACTTGATCAGCTCAAAACTCAGCACTTATTTATGAAGTCCTGGATAGTTTTTCGGTTCTTCAGTTCACAGGAATCAATTGCTGGAGAATCTCAGCGATATGATTCAAAAGACAGATGGAACTATACAACTTCGACGTGCATGAGCTACATTGAAATGACCTTAAATGCACAGAATGCTTATTCCTATTTAATTTTCAACACAGACATTAATGGCGATTACAGTGGATATGTGTTTTTTAACAGTGTTTAAGAATTTATCTAGGTTATTATTTGAGTTTATGAGATACATTATTTCAATATGGGAAACATTACTTTTATACATTTCAAGTGAGGATTATTGTTCCTATTAAGATTTGAAACCCAGACTAATCACTTTAATTCGGTTCAGTCAATTTTACCGCGAAACGGTGGCCTAGTTGATAACACACTGGCATTTATCAATGATTGGTTCAATGTTCGAGTCTTAGTATGGAAAACATCGCTCACTGCGAACTAGGTATATCGAGCTGATGAACTAAAATAGGATGAAAAACGTGTACTGGATTTCATTGCTAGCTGTTAAAAGTATTTGTGTGTATACTTCAGAATATAAAATCTAATTTATTTCAATTTTCAGCTCTATTGCTGTACTTGATAAAACAAACAAGTGTCTTTCAAATGACTTCATTCACAAGGCTAGACACTAAGCATAAGATGTATGCATTCATTTGGGAGACTTTAAAGGCAACCTTAACCAATCAGGTTCTAGTATTTTAGTTGAGAATAGAGAAATGTAATTGGTTGTTTTATCAATTCTTAAGGTGACCTTTTAAGTCACCTACATCATTCAAACATCTAACATCACTGATTCATTTAGATGAATAAATTTTTGTTAAAATAAAATTAACATTTTCTTACCAATAGCTCCAGTGAAACAGACTATAATAAGAATGATTACACACCATATAACATCCATATTAATACGTTTCTCTAGTTTACTTCTTTTAAAACGAACACCAGAATTGTTTAAAGCAGCCTTTGTTTCCCGACCTTGAAGGCAAAGAGAAAAAAAAAACGGGAAAATCTTGATAAATTTAATGTACTTGTCATTACAAAACATTCATTGAATCAATGTATAGTTATTAGATAGAAATATTTGTGTAGATGATGATGATGATGAAAAGAACCATTTTATACGAGGTCCCCCCTTCATATCATCTTTCCCTGGGTTGAAAAAAAAATCCCTTTTATCTATCAGTCTATACATGCTTAAAATGGACAATATTAAGTTTATTCACTAGGGTACAACAATAGTCTAAAGAAACAACTAGTTTTAAATAATTTTACTAAGTCCATTCTTTCAACTTAATTCTCAGTAATCAGGTAGTAAAGGCAACAACAGACTTAACCATGACACACACACACACACACACACACATACAAAGGTAATATCACTTTTATTATCTTTTACAGCGATGTCTTAGTAAGATGGAAATGAATAAGAAGTAAGTAACCTGGTCTTTGAATCTTATTCATTTTCCAAACAACAGTCTTCGGGTTAGGGAGTGAAATGGCCCAGTCTTAGAAGAAAATATTCCTAAACTAAAGGAATTCGCAGTACAAAATCTTTATACGTCCACTAGTACAGTCAACAACTTATGACATTACATGATGAGTCTGTTAACAATTTACCAATTAAACGAAAATTTAATTTCAGTAAGAAGCAAGATGTCAATATCTCACTGTCAATGATCTAGTGGTTTGCTCTGAAGATTGTCGTCTAACTGACTGCATAGACTTTCTTGCTGGTTGTCCCACTACTTCACCTCTGGCCATTCTATCGTTTATCAATTTTCTTATTGGTTTATAGATTGGATCTATGTCTATACATCTGTTGATTGTTGACTGACCTGAATTCCAAGCTTTTAGGAATTCTCTGATATTCTGTGTGTTTCATCTGTCCTGTACAGGTAGCCAAAACACACTGACCAAATTCTCAACTACAATAGCAACAACCCAACAACGCACAAGATCAGTTGTATTCAGATTCTATTCAAAAGAGCGAGAAAACACTGCAGTACAACAACTTCGTGTTCATCCGAAAGAAGAACGCCTATCCACGAAATTTTGTCAGAAGATGCCAATCCGGTACATCATCAACTACAAAGTCATCGACCGAAATAAAAAAAAAAGCACCATCCTACCATACATAAAGTATATATCGGAAATCACGACAAGATTACTGACACCACTTGGAATTGGTGTGGCTCATAAACCAACAAATCCCCTCCAAACACTATTATGCAGACCAAAGGATGCAACAACCAAAGAAAACAAACCGAATATCATTCACAAAACCAACTGCAATAACTGTAATCAACACTACATTGGACAAAGTGGTCGCCCTCTTCGCCTTCGTCCACATGAGCACCAATCGGCAATTAAACGCCATGACATTTCATTACCCATTTCAATACATGTGGATAACGACTGTGGACATGAATTCAATTTTGATGATGTAGAAATCTTGGATATGGAGAGGAAACACAAAGAATATTATCAGGAAATTCCAAGAAGCTTGTCATTCAGGTTAGTCAGTAATCAGCGGTACAGGTGAGGATGTCAAAACCAGCCAGAATCGGAAACACAGCAACACAGGTTTTCCTCCATCAATCTGAAACCAGTATGGAGATCTACTACACTACACTCAGCATAAAGCATCAACAACATCCCGATTTTCAGCACCATCGTCAGTCAAGTCAGTGCTTCTATGTGATGGTTGAGACACTTGGCGTGTGATGGAAACATTTACAACAAACTGCAGACATACATCATCAACAGCTGCCGCATACACTCACTCGATACTGGGGATCAGATGGATGATCAGAATAATAAGAATAAGCATGAAGGAACTGCGGCCGGCAACGAACCAACGAAGCAGGAACCTTATCGCCCAACAAATATGCAGAATAAAATGGAGATACCACGCGTCAGGCGCAAATGAGAAACGAGTTGGGTGTCCGAGGCGGGGGTGACATGGAGGAGATAGTGTGAGGAAGAAATGAAAGGTTATGGGCATTCGTGGAGCAAGGTTGAGAAGACTGTAAAAAAGACAGTGAAATGGTGAAGTGCTACTGAAGTCCTATGTTCCACTAGGAACCCAGACAACAAATAACAAATTAAATGTACCTGCATCCTTGTGGTTGCTCCTACTGAGATTTCAATCAAGCAGAAATGTGAATTTCATTCACTCAGGCTATTGGGTTATGATAGTCAAAATTTATGCAAGCGTGATAATTTGAAGTTTATGGTGTGGTTTTTTGCATTGTTGATTTATTTGGACTGGATTGATCACTGGTTATCAGCTCTAGTAATTAGCTGTCACAATTTACTTTTCCGGTGAAACAATCCTCATGAAAATAAGTTTTATTATATTGTGAGTATTTTCCTCTACTCATGGTCGATAGAGTCGAATAAAACCTGCAGGTCAACAAATATGGCAGGTTTGGGCCACTGACCGGTAGATATACCTACATTCCGGAACCTGTCAGAGGAGGAGGGTGGATATAGTCGATGCAACCTCGTCCAACTCTGTCTGAAACCTCACTAGTTTTCTGGGGTTAGCTGTTCTTAAGCTCCAGTTAGGCGTCGGATAACTATTGACCCTAGGATTTTGGACACAATATTAGTCAAACTAATCCTTCCATGACTGTTACAAGAAGATTTGTCCCCACCTTCTTATCGACCAAGATGATCAGAGAAGTAGACCAGTATGATGGCACTATATCTAATCCCCATATCCTAACTAATACTTCTGTCACCAAGGTATCAACTTTCAGTTGGGATGAGTCAAACGTACCAGCCTCCTAGTAGATGGTATTATTATCACCAAGACAGAAACTCAGCACCTATCATTTCAAACACTTCTATCCATCATTACTAATGTATGACATTTTTGAATTACAAAGGCGACTGAAGTAGTAATATAAAAAAAAAAAGTATAGTCGGTAACTTAACAGAATTGAAGACTCAGTGTTCTCAAAATTCTCCCTGATTATGATACATGGAGTATTTTGAGTAAACTCAAGGAAATCCACTGAAAAGCAATATCATCTATAGGCATTATTTGAGATTTTTTTAACTACAGAATGTGTAGAAAAATATTAAAGATGTTTAATGACAAATTATATAGTATACCAAGATTTTTAATTATTCTATGTACCGGTGTAGGAGAGTCGTCACGATGAATATACTATTTGATTTTCAGTCCTAAGTAATTTTTACCTTCATATATGCATTTTTAACAACTGTACAAGAGAATTATCACTATTTATTGATATACTTGTAATTCTTCGTTGCTTTTATTAGATCGAATTGTTCGATCAATTAAAATTCAGGCAATATCGAGGAATCTACGTTGGAGCCTATATACCAATAGCTGTCGAATAATTCGATCCAATAAGAAACAACGAAGAATTACAAATAAATCAATAAGTAGTAATAACTACTACCCATTTTACAAGAAATGGCTATTGTGTATCCATGGCATAGTGGATAACGCCTTGACATTTGAACCGATGGCCAAGAGGTTCGAGTGTCAGTGGGAACAATATCACTGGGGTGCAGGTACATCCAGCCGACCAGTGAGTCCCGAATAAAATGAAACACGCATCCGGGATTCTTCTGCTAGTCATAATCAAGCAAAAATTTACAAGAGAATGTTACAATTGCTTGAGATAAGAATGAATTATCATATCAATGATGATTGTTTTGTAGGCGTTGAAATGTTCACTAAACCAATGATTATATTATATCAGATATAGCTTCTTATTTAATGTTTCCTAAATATAATCTGTTGGCCGAAGTAGGTTCACGCTGGAAAAAAGCCCGAGGTAGCCAGACCAAAACATGGCATCAATGTATAAAGTCTCTGACTATTGGTTTGAGCCATGTTGGGTGATGCAGACACTAGCCGGTTGGGGTTCGCGGGACAAGAGAAACCAGTGGTTTCACACTCCAGGTGATCACATGGCTCAGTAACAAAGTCACTGGCACAGGTGTATACACACATTATCGTCATCTTAACGACTCTATACCGAATCTCACCACTTTCTCATTCTTCCTTTGTTTCTTCTAGTACTTTATATTTCTTTTGACTGAATTTTCTTATCTTCATCTTCCATTTCACTGCCTTTTTACTTGATGTACTGATATGAGGCGTGGCAAGTGAGACTGTTACACAGTAATGCCTGATTCTATATTGGTTTGGATGGATGAAATATAATCTTCAGTCACAGGGATATGTGTATAGATAGTCAGTAGGGTATGCCCGATTAATTACAAGGAAAATCGCTGAAACTTAGGGCCTAAGTTTCGTGCTTTTATTGCACTCGTCAGCAAGCTGTATGTGTAACCTCGACGAAACTAATATCTCCTATGAGATTTGGACCTGCGGCACCCAGTGATATAGCTGGAGACGCAACCACTGAGCTGTTCGGGTTATGACTGGTCTCCTATCAGACTGGATAGTCCACATTGGTTGGTCACGTCTGTGTCACAGCATCGCGATGCTAAGTCTCCTAGCTTGGTGATCACACTGCGAAGCGATCGATAGAATTCGATAAGTAGTCAGGACTGGACCACATAAAGTGACCAGCCAATGTACACAGCCAAGTCCTACGAGAGGTCAGTCGTGACTCGAATAGCTTTGTGGTAACGTCCACGACTGCAGCGACGGGTCACACGGGTTCGAATCCTACGTGAGATATCAGTTCCATCGAGGTTGCAGTTACACCTTGCTGACGAGTACCTGAAAGTGTGAAACTTAGGTTTAAGACTGCCTGCCGAGTTTCTTCATCCAACTTACATCTAACGATTCCGTAAACTATTATTTAATAAGATCTCCATTCGTTATTTGAAAACAAATCATTTACATAAAATTGGGATTTTACATGATAATAATTGAGGACAGTTCTCAATGCAGGCTGATTTTAGTCAGTGAGATATTATCCAAGGGAATATCAAAGAGACATTCTGTTCTAGTTTCACACTGTATGGAACTGTGACCCATTGGTGTAGATAGCTGATATGCAGTCACTGCGCTGAGTTCGAAAACTGTCCCATCTAGCGAGATTTGGCCAGCTAAGTAGTACCGAGTGTCACAGATAGTTCAGTACACTCATCCGGTTATACTCATATTGGTGACTAGCACTAGAATTCAGTAGGTGAGTTTCACCCTTTTTGGGACGCGTCAGCCGGATTTATCTGCACTTTAGTAACTGATGTTGTTTCCACTCAGAAACGACTTTAGTACCAATTGTCCAAAATGCCAAGGCGTTATCCACTAAGCCCCTGAGACATGCGCAACAAATATCAATTGATGCTCTGATGAGTTTAATTTCTCGTTTCTATACAAAGACGAATAGCGCTACAGGTGCATAATGGACAGTGATGCGATGTTCGAAGCGATCCATACTGGGTTCATATCTCTCACTGAATTGAAGGTACTTCCAGATGACGAGTCAAAAATAGGACGGGAAACACATTCTGGGTCCCAGTGCTAGTCATCAAGAACAACACATCGTAAATATCCAGAAGCATTGAAACATTCGCAAAGGAGCCCATCTACCAACAGAATTCGAACAATGTAGTCCCATATAGCAATGGGAAGTTAAAAGTATCAAAATAACTATCTTCATGCTGTCTTAACTGATTCCATCGCTTACAGCTTCTTATCGAAAAAGCATATTAGTCATAAAATATTCAATCGACAGTGAACGCGATTCTCGTTGAATCAAACTACTGAAAAATAACATTCAAAAACTTTACATTATTAAATATCATATATTTTTATGTAATGGAACGAAGTAAATAAAGCTTACCAGCGTAGATTACTATACCCTCCACAAAGTCAGTATTACGCAATACACAACCTCTCAGCAGCATATTTTTCTTATGTATTGGAATTCGAACTTCTGGGAGAATGCTGAAATAATGTTGAATAGGCAATGATTGATGTTTTACTTTCATGTAGATGAAAGAGAATTAGAGATATATAATACAATGTAGAACATCTTCGGTATACAATAGCTTCATCATAGATATACATTGAGTGACAGAAAAATCAACTTATAACCTCGCATATAGGTGAATCAGGGGAAGTTGTTACACTTCACAGTAGTGTACAAAGAACAGATGGATAGTAGAAACTGATATCAAAGTAGATTGTTCAAATATTGAAGCCATAGAAGACATCCGCGGCATTGTGACTGATTTACAGTCATATCCCTAAAAGTCCTCAATCAATGATTCTGATCGTCTCGGTGATCCCAACCAGATAGTCTACAGTTTCTCATACGGCTCAGACCAACATAACTGGCTTCAAATCTTGGTTTGGTCACCCTTAATCATAATCCAACTTCCCGCACCACCATGGAAGGTCGAGGTAGACAGTGGCTCGGTATGCCCCACACATTTCCAAGCTATCCTCACTGACTAAGGCTCACAACCTCAACTATCGACTTGTTTGTCTAGTCTAGTACCCTTTACCTGACCTCAACATTGTTCACACAATGATTCTATCAAAAGTGAGCATCTATAGGAAGACACCTAAGATAGAAACCCCCAGACAGCTTCATGTCTTCTACTTTTTAACGGCTATGTCCCACAGCCGTACAACAGGAGAGAATGAGCTTCAGCGCGGCATACTCATCCTTTATTAGGTAATCGGATATCTGACCATTTGAAGTCACAGGTAATGCAATTTGGTAGATCCCACTGGAGCCTTCTGTATCCGAGCTAAGACTTCGTCAGCAATCTACACAAGGGTTATTCTTGGTGGAAGCAAAGCGTATGAAAGATAGAAACTACAAGAGTGCGTAGATCCAATGAAAAACTGATAGAAACAGTCGAAAAGGTTCAATATCCACGTGCAATAAAGTTTATTTCTAATATTTTCGCTAGTTCTGAGTGCTGACCTTATTTTATTGATCACCACCGGGCTAAGAGACTCTCCATAGTGGTGGACTTTGACGGATCTTATAGACACACCATGCTGAGGAGTGCCAACAACCGCGAAACCCAGGTCACGCAGGTCTTTTTACCGACCACCTCCAACCAACTAAAATCTATCAAAGTGCACCGTGATGGTGAGTCTTCTAGCTTGGTCGTCATATTGCAAAGTGACCGACAGAATTCGATCAGCACTCCAGACTAGGCAACATGAGATTACTTCAGGTTGTTATTCATCGTAGACTGACATCAGTTGGAGGAACAAAGGAAACCTGGGAGCACTGGACAGCCGTCTAGTCCTACTATGGGACTCCTCAGCAGTGCGCAACCACGACCCCACCCCACCAGGGATAGAACCCGCAATCTTCAGGCCCCGTGGCCATCACGTCACCATTCAGCCACTGGGTCAGAATCCAATGCTCCATATTCCCAACTTTTGTTAGCTCACGATATAGCGCAACCTCCACCTAATGTCATCGTCGAGTAATTGTGCTCACGACCATCAGGCTTTGCCCCCACCGGTCACAACTTCTCATTGGAACTTCGGGAATACCTCTCAAAGCTAGTCACCAATGAGCACCAGTCAATGTATACAACAAACATCAGCATCAAATGCTCAGTGTATTGGAAGTGTTTCACTTCTTTGATAACCTGTTCTAAGTTATAGTTCGTTAACTTAACAGAAGCTGAATACTAACTATCAGTCAGTCAATATCGACATTAAACTCGGCATTAATGTACAACGGTGAAATTTGCCACAATACACATCAACTTTCTACACTGTAAGGTACCATGATAAACGAAGAGGAGAAAGGAAAAATGATCAGGTGTAGCAGAAAATTTCAATGAAAGAAGTAGAAATAAAACAATATTGAGACGAGATATAACGAATAGGATTAAGATAAAGTATGAATCCATCTCCACCATTGAGACCGATTTTAAGCAATATCAGCTAAATTCGCCAACAATCGATTTTCGTTCACTTATAGATCCCAGTTGCAAAGTCTACATTTCTCTGCATGGTTCAGACTGGAAGTAAGAGATTTCGTAGATTATAATCATGTTTTATTTTAGTCACTTGTAATCCCTATTCAACCAATACTGAATTCACCTAAAGTTAAGTGGTGAAATAGACAATGGCTAGACATGGATAACACATATCTCATCTACTTCAGTCGAATAAAATTAACCACCTTTTGACCAAAACTTCTTGTATAGCAATTGTGTTACTGAAGTAGTCATGAGATGACACACGGTCTGTGCTATGAAATCAACTATCGTTAAACACATGAGCCCTTCTCATGTTACCTATTTCCAATGGACATGTGTAGCAACCATATAGCAGAACGGAGTGAACTAAAGCACAGTACATAGCTCATAACAACTGATCGGATATAACGTTTGATGCCCTAAATGACATAAGATGACAAATGACAATCGAATGTTTAGTCAGTGAGCAGAGACTTTATCGGTCACTTGTCAATCGTAGCTGTTCCGACATTCCAAGTAAGTGAAAGGGTAAATGCTCATAGACACTGTACTGTTAGACAAGGAAACAACAAGGTTCATCTCTATCAGAGATAATTAGTTGTCTCAACACAGTTATAGCAGACAATCACTGTTATCTATTCATTCTGTATGGCATAGACTTCTTACTTGTGTACTGAAATCTTACACTACGATGAACACATCTCAACACTTAGCTTTCCCTAGGAGACTGTGACTGACTGACTGACTGACTGACTGACTGACTGACTGACTGACTGACTGACTGACTGACTGACTGAAGTGCATAATGGTCATGTATAAAACAACATAATCTCGATACATAAAAACATTAATATGAAGTTATACTTTACCAGTCCCCAGTTTCTACTCACGTATCAATGATAAATGTAGTTGTAACAAGTAAACAGTTTATACCAATAAAAAGTATTCTGAAATTCGAAGACAGTTAAAATTGGCTGAATCAAAGAAAACCAAAGACTAATCTGACTATCAATGACAAATTTAGTCTTTAGACCATTATGACTGTATAACAAAACCTTTAATTTGCTAACTGACAGTTACTAATTACCTACTAGTGAAGAACCATAGACTAGTTCAAGGTTAAATGTTGAAATCACTTCTGCCAAGGAAGTATTTGAGACTCTTTAAGAGTGAATTATCTTTTTACGGCTGTTCTAGATCGAATATGCAATCCGACAGTGGATGGGATAATAGTGAAGCGCATCGATCACTTAAATTGCGTCAGAAGTTACACAAATTCTATCGAGTTTAAACTAAAAAAGGTCTTTCCAGCGTCATAGAAAGTTTGATTGGACTACACTAAATTCAGCAATATTTAAGTACCAATGACGCATCACCCTAGAGACTAAAAAAATGCTCCGCATTTAGAATTACCACCGGAACAGACTGGCTGGCTGGCTTCAAGGAAGTACAAATCATGTGCCCATCAAAATGCAACGCTACGCATCATTGTAGAACACATCATAGAACGGCAATCAACTCAACACAGCCTCAATTTCATCGACTTTGAAACGGCATTCTACAGCGTCGACTGAGAAATAATTTTAAAAAATGCCTAAACACTACGGAGTACCACGAACCTTTATCAACCTCACTCATGCCAAGTAATTCACAATGCAATGGAAACTTCAATCATGCCTTTAAAGTGAAGTAAAGACAGAAGTAAGACAAGACTGACACCTACTATCACCGATGATCTTCCTGATTGCGATCGAATGAACTCAACTGGATCACGCAACAAATTGTGAGGAGTGAGAAGATGGGCATACTCTGACTGGACCGATCAGATGAAAAGACCCTAGAAGAAGATTTCCATTTCACCCATAACTTATGTCTGACATCCAGTAATAAAAACTCGAAGACCTACAGGTGAAAACTAACAAGTTATCAAAACAAGCAGGGCAGCGAAGACGGAACTTCCTTCAGGTCAACGTAGACAAGACAGAGGTGATGAAGATACCCAACCAACAACAACAACAAGCACCATCAAAGGGAGAAACATAAACAAAGTTGTCTCTTTCACATACCCACCTACCTAGACAACAACGTTTCAACCACAGGCAGCAGTGACAGCGGTACAGGTGAGGATGTCAAAACCAGCCAGAATCGGAAACACTGCAACACAGGCTTTCCTCCATCAATCTGAAACCAGCATGGAGACCTAATACACTACACTACACTCAGCATAAAGCATCAACAACATCCAGATTTTCAGCACCATCGTCAGTCAAGTCAGTGCTTCTATGTGATGGTTGAGACACTTGGCGTATGATGAAAAACATTTACAACAAACTGCAGACATACATCATCAACAGCTGCCGCATACACTCACTCGACACTGGAGATCAGATGGATGATCAGAATAACAAGAATACGCAAGAAGGAACTACGGCCAGCAACGAACCAATGAAACAGGAACCCATCGACGAACAAATATACAGAAGAAGCAAGTGGAGGTGGATTGGAGGTAGAGTGAGGAGACCGATCGGGAACATCACTCGCTAGGCCACATCAGGCCGTCGAGTGGAAGTCATAGGGAAAACGATGAGTTTAGAGTCGGAGTGTTGGTGATGGTGTGAGGAAGAAATGAGAGGCTATGGGCAGTCGTGGAGCCAGGTTATAAAGATTGCAGAGAACTGCAGAGTGAAATAGCTACGTGCTACTGAAGCTCTATGTTTCACTAGGAACTCAAAGGACAAATAATAATAATAATAAAGGAGACACCACAGCCGAAGTGCTGAAAAATCGTCTGTCAAGATGTATCAATAGTAGCTTCTATGCTGCTAGACTGAGATTGATATTCTCCAGCCACCGTATGATTCGACAAAGTGTGAAGGATAGGCTACCACTTATGTTTACATATATATGTTTCTATAAATTCACATGCTACTGTGGGGTTGACTGTATTGGACGTTGTAGGTGGGACTTCCGAAAACGTGTTGCTGA